GGGGGGGGGGGGGGGGGGGGGGGGGGGGGGGGGGGGGGGGGGGGGGGGGGGGGGTTTCAGCTTTTGATGTCAGTGAGGACTGAGCATTCCGCGCTTCGTGCTCATTGAATTGAAATTGACTTCTTATTTTTTTTTTTTGGTTATGTTGTGTGACTATCGAAAAGAAGGCTGTCAAGACACAACGATGCGTCCCCCACATCAAGCGAAAAGTCCAGCTCTATCCCCATGTTCGCCATGCTCAAGTCTGTCAAAGGATCGACAAAGGTTGCTGATGCGGCTGGAGGGTGATAATCGTTTCTGGACTGATTTATGGCTAAATCATCGTCATGGAATCCAGGCGGGATTGCCGAGTCTGGCGACAGCAACGGTACTTCGACCTGGTTGTCCCACTCCTGAGAATGTGGCCCGGTATTTTGATTCGATGTACTGCTCTGTTTACCAAGCTGGCGTTCAAGATGAGTTTCCAAAGTAGACAGGTTCTCCAAGAGCGCATCGGGAGTGTTCCAAAAATCCGCGTATTGCTGGCAATTCTTCCGGAGGAGGTCGACCTTTGCCTCTATGAGCTCCATGTTCGTTCCAGCGGGTGCGATGAATTTGTACGAGAGCTGCGCCGCTGCAGCAAACCAGACTGTGCTGGAAATGAAGGGGTTGACATGCTGGACATGATCCCGGGTGCTGTTCTTGATGATTGTAAAGATATTGTTCGATGCCTCGATACATTCTCGGAGACCTTCAACGTCCGTATCGTTCGTGGCCCGTCCAGGATGATCGAATGGTCGTTTAGGATCTGGCCCCAGATGGTTCTGATACAGCATGAGCGTAGCCAGCTGTGACATGCAGTAAATATTAAACTTCGCACTCTCCGCATTCTTCGAGTCTCCAGGCTCGAAGCCAGGATACTCATTGCGGTAGCACAGACCATCCGGTAGAGACAGCGAGTAGCAACGCAAAGCATGACTGACAACAGCTGCGCGCTCTGCCGCATCTTCAGTCTGCCGTCGACCTTTCGGTTTCGAAAGCAGGTGCGCCTCCCTCATCAGCGCCATCCCAACGACCATCCACGCCGCTGGACTCTCGCTGCCGCATTGCCTCAGCGCCCTCACCCGCTCGATCGGCCTGGCCTCCAGAAAGCAGCTCCTTTGAAACCGTCTCTCAAACCAGCAGCTGTCCCTTACCGGCAGACACGTCTCCATCTCCGCCCAGTCCACGCCCAGCGGACAGCGCCGTATCGTGCTCGCGAACGCGTCCATCTCCCAAATGGCCCACCACGCGCGCCGCCGCTCCTCATCAAAACACCAACGCGTGACGGCGTCTGTGCCCACCGGCGACGGCCGCCGGTTACTGCCATACGGCTCCCCCGCATCGACCGCGTGAAGCCCTAGCTCGTACGCCATGCGCACGCAGAGCCCGAGTGATCGCCATGCCCGGCCACGCACGCCTTGAATGAGTTGGTTGAAGGTGGTGAGGATGAGAACTTGGACCAGACACAGAGAGGGTGGTTCGTCGGCGCACTCGGCGATGGCGTCCTCCACAAACTTCAGGGACAGGCGATGAAATTGGGATTGACTGGGGGTGCCGACGAGGACGCTGCCGAGGGAGTCGTGCGAGACGCGTTCGGGTGGCGGCGTTTCGAAGCGGGCGGAGTATGCGAGCATGGCGGCGAACCCAGCTTTCAGGATGGCGGGGGATTTGACGTTTTGGATTTTGGCGCCGAAAGAGGGCTGGTGGAAGAGGGAGAAGGTGGTCATGTGCGTGAAGTAGGCGTCGATGCTAGTGGCGGCAGGCGGGGCCAGCAGTGCTCAGTCTTTTTGTTATTTTGCTGACTGAGACGTGACTGAGACTTACAGCTTCCGGAGCGAGGAGAGAGAGATGTCAAGCTCGCGGCAGGCGCCCATGATCATGTCCGACGGCGCTGGCAGAGTGAGGAAGAAGCCGGATGTGTTGTCGAAGTTCTCTTCGCCTGGGCTGGCTGCTTGCGTCTCGTGCGAGGGGTGGATGATGGTGGAAAGGTTGACGCCGTTCGACGAAGTGTCAGAGGAGCTTGGAGAGAGCGTTTGGGAAGAGCCAAGCGTGGTCTGCGGGCCCTCAGGCCTCTGCCACCAGGAAATAATGCATAAGTCCGCGTCACTATTGACGTCGTTGCTGGTGTCAGTGATCCGCCGTCTCTTCGCGCGCTGCGGGCTGTCTTCATCTGCGTCCTCAGAATGTCGCCGGCGACGGGTGGGTACTTGAGGCTCAGTGCCATTATTGATCCTCTTCCGGCGTGTGCTGCCTGTGAGTTTGTTCAGCGGTGGTCCCGTCTAAAGTTGTGAAAGTTAGCTGCGCGCACCGATGCGCGGGCCAGGCTTGAGTCGTCCGGCTGGCCATGTGCATGTTTGCGCGGTTCGTGAGCAAACTTGGCAGTGGGGCAGTGTGCGATCACTGGTCGTATTAGTTACATGCTGCAAAATGGAATAGGGCGCCTTCACCATCGTGCCTTTCGCCTGCGGCATGGCTCGCAAGCTAGGTTGGAGCGAGTGGTGGTGGTGTTCATGATTTCGTGACATGACGTGGGGATGCGGGTGCTTTTCGTTTTTAATGGCAAGCGTGTCCCCACTTTCCCCCTCATGCACTGCACGGCACATGCCGAGCTATTGTATCAAACTACCCAGCTATGCACCAGGCCAGCTACCGTATGCAATGTGAGGCGTCCTATTGCTTGCCGTGTGAACATGGCCCTTGCGCCAACGCAATCGCATTTGTTAATTTTGCTTTGATCTTGATCTTGTTTTCTTTTCCGCTCGACAGTGCCCTTGAGAGTCTTGGATTGGAGTGAAACGCGAGACGGGGTTCTGGGACAAGTACATAAGTAGCCGAAAGGGTCCGTGTTTCTCGCTTCCTTGTTTTTGTAATTGAACCTGGCTGTGGAATCTGTCCGGGAATTAGTCCGAGCATTGAATTGTTCCGAAGACAACGCTCACCTCAACCTACCAGAAAATCATTCTTCCCCGGAGTGATTGACATCACTATGCCATCACATATAGAACCAATCTGGACAAGGGCTATGGTGATGAACGCCCGCGTAAACCACCGCAATATTCTTGTAACCCGTCCACAGGATATTACAGATTTGTGCACCGTTGCGGGCAACAGTAATTACTCCGACGCACGAACTGCATGGCTTTGCACCGAAAACAGACTCCATTTCTCCCTAAAAGACAAGTATATGATTAAGAACTACAAAAACGACGTCAATAATGTCTCCACTGACCATCTCACCCTTAGCACAGCCGTCACTGCACGATGAACCCGGGGAATCCGCCGTTGATAGCAGCCGTGATGCGTTTGGTGTAATCGGCCAGTCCTCCAATATAGTTCAGCATCTCCTTGGGCTTTCCAGGAATGTTCGTGCCCATATACTCCGACTTGGTGTATGGCAAAAGAGTGCCGTCGCCAACCAGGTTGACATGGGCACGCCACCCATTCTCGGCTTCCTTCGTCGTGTCGAGCTTCTCCTTCCCGTTCTCTCTCATGTAACAAAGCGTGTCGACAATCCAATCGCCTTGCACTTCAGCGCAAGTGGGCCCATTGCAGAAAGACGTCGGCCCTTGCGGACCGTACAGGAACATCATGTTCGGAAAGCCTGCTGTCATCAAACCCAGGTTGGTGTACGTCCCCTTCGCCCACTTGTCCTTCAGTGACTCGCCGCCCTGCCCCTTGATGTCGATGGACAGGATGCCTCCTGTGACGGAATCGAAGCCGGTCGCCAGTATCAAGACATCGAACTCGTGGAGCACCCCGTCAGCCGTGACGACTCCCTCCGGAACGACCTTCGCAATCGGATTGGCCTTGGCGTCGACCAACTCAACATTCCCCTGGTTATACACCTCGTAGTACCGCTGCTCCAACGTCGCGCGCTTGGTGCCGAAAAAATAGGGCGGATCCGCCGGTGCCAGGACCCTCGCCTTCTCCGGGTCGTCGATACGCGGCAGCACCTTGCTGCGCCAGAAGTCGTACGCATACCTATTCGCCTCCTTGTCCCGGATCACGTCCTGGTACGTCCCAAGCCAAAACGCCAGTCCCCCCTCTTCCCAAATCTTCTCAAAAAACTCCTCCCGCTCCGCCTCTGACACTTTCACCGCGCTCTGCCGCCGGAACTCGTAGTCCAGCCCCGCAAACGTCTTCCGCCGCAGCGCGTGCAACTCCTTGTACGTCGACTTGTCCTGGTCGGTGACGCTGAGCGGGCCCTGCCGCATCGGCAGCGCGTACGTCGGGCTGCGCTGGAAGACGGTCAGATGAGACACGTCCGGGGCAACGCTCTGGATGACTTGCAACCCGCTGGACCCGTTGCCGACGACGCCGACGCGCTTGCCGCAGTAGTCGATGCCGGATTGCGGCCACTTGGACGTGTGGCAGTAGACTCCAGCGAAAGTGTCGAGGCCCGGGAAAGCGGGGATGTACGGCTTCGCTGCGAAGCCGGTGCAGAGGAGGAAGTAGCGCGCCGTGCGGTCGGCGGCGCCGTCATTTGTCTGGATGCGCCAGTGCGAGGTGGCAGCGTCGAAGTGGGCGGAGAGGACGCGCGTGTTGAAGAGGACGTCGCGCTTCAGGTGTAGTTGCGCCTCGACGTGCTCGAAGTACCGCTTGATTTCGTCGACGCCGGGGTATTTTTCTGTCCAGACCCAGTCTTTCCACACGCGTTCGTCGGAGAATTCGTATAGGGGCACTTTGGTGTCGACGCGGGCGCCCGCGTAGCAGTTCCAGTACCATACGCCGCCCAGGTCGGCGCCGTCGTCGATGACGAGGCATTTGAATCCCTTGTCGCGGAGCTTGCTGAGCAAGTAGCAGCCGCCAAAGCCGGCGCCGACGATGATGGCGTCGTAGGTTGGGGGATCGGCCTTGGAGCCCATGGTGTTTGTGTATAGGAGAATTTGATGTTTTGTATCGAAAGAAAGGGCTGGGAGGGAGATGAGAAGAGCAATGGAGGAGAATAGTAAGGAAAGGAGTGCTGAGTCTCTAAGGGATCGAGAAGCATATTATATAATGGCGCTTTTGCGCTTGAAGGAAAAGCCACCAAGTGTCCGACATGTGAAACAACAAAAACAGACCGGTATGATGTTCTACAAGATGATGGCACGAGTGAAGCTCGAGCTAACGTCATCACTATCATTTTTCTGGTTTTCTCGTAGAATATTTCAGACCGTGGTAAATAGTCCGTCCGGTGGCACCACTGATTGTTGCGGAGTAACTAGTTCTTGGGAAGATAATAAATAGATAAGCGCACAGGCTCTCTCGAGAACTTAGGCGAGACTAACTGTCCCCACATCAGTCCCTCGGGAAGACGAACATCACTCATTGCAAGGCAGTATGGACGAAAGAGGTTTCGTCAAAGACGATGTATGGATTTTGAGGATTAATCCCAGGTATCTAGCTAATTAAGGCATACAGAAAGAGTACAGCTCTGTTGACAAGCAGTATGAATTTCTCCACATGTCCCCGAGCAAGGTCTGAAGCCACCTCCCCACCTCTGCGGCTTGACTAACCCACGCACCTCAAGTACCACAACCCAGCCTTAGTCAATGAAGAACAAGAAGTCCTCGACCAACTCTACCGCGGCTGGCTCCACTACTGGAACCACGAATCGCGGGAAGACCTCAAAAACGGCATGGTGGGCGCCCGGCGCTTCTACGACTTCGATGACATGCTATCATACGACATGTTCGGCAACACGGAGCGCACCAAGTTCAACGAGCACTTCGAGCGCATCTTCCCGTACTGGAACGACGGCAACATGGAGTTCAAGGACATCGAGATCACCGCCCTGTCCCCGGAGTTCGCGTACTCGACCATGATCCAGCACACTTGGGGCACCGCCGGTGGCGTACCTTTCGATACGGCTTTCCGGCGCACCGGCGTCGCGCGCAAGAATGAGAAGGGGGAGTGGAGGTGGATTCATGAACACTTGAGCTTTCCGACTGATATGAAGACCAAACAGGCGGACTTCACGGCCACTTTGGATCCTGTGAAGGCAACGAAGATGTCGTAAATACTGTATCTATGCCACTCTGCAATTTCAGTGAAGCCTTTTTCTTTGTATTATGCTGCATATGTGACATAGCGCAATGTGCATTTCTTTGGGGTGTGTTCATCAGAGATCCGTTTGCGAGAGCTTTCTGCCGCATGACATTGCATTCGCGCCATAATCTACCTACGAAGACCGTGGGCCAGTGCCGTAAAACGTCTAGTCGGCACAAATTCAACCGCGATATATTTTCATCTCAATGTTCCTCTCATGTGACGAAGAAATCAGACCGTTCGGTCCTGTTTTGGGTTGTAGCAACGGACCAATTTCGGGCTATCTACCGGACCATTTCATGAGTACCCCGCCTTTCGTAGCTGCGGCTTGATAGCAGGATTAATCTACGAGTTAGATATTCTCGGTCGAAGTTCCAATGGGCGGATGCTACGCTAAGTTCTCGAACAATTAGAAGAAGGAGGTAAGTATGCCACCTATGGCGTATGATGCATCGTTATTCGGAAAGGGGTTCAAGCCAAATATGTGGTTTGTGCATTTAATGAGTACCTCGGAAAATGATCTGAGATCCTACATACAACGATAGTGAGTTGAAATCTACCATGGCATCTGGACCAAGCCTTTGGAGGCACAATCTCCCTACTTAAGCGGACGTTGATCGTTTCTTGGACGCTGTTTCGTCACTAAATCCACAGAAAGACGAATGCGGTAGACAATGCCCCCACCACGGTCTTGTAGCATCATCAAAATCGTACTTGGCAATTTTCTCATCCAAGCGATCCGTCGAATCGCGGCTACATTCTCCACTCAAGACGCCGGTGTCATGGCAATAACTGTCGCTATGACATTTTGGAACACAAATCTTTTCGCTACACTCAGACCAAGGCGATCCAAGTGAAACGCACCTAAAAGAATTTGTGATCAATCGATCCGGGTCGACGCAATCGTCGTCATCGGAGCACTCTGTGCCGGAGATCTTGGCATTGAATACCTGTTTCTGTCCCGATTCAACACCATCGTCCCCAAGCGCAATAATTGATTCCTTGAGTGGACCATCAAGGTAGTCGCTGGGAACATTACTTATTGGCGGAGGACGAGCGGGTTCTGGTGGGTTCAGTCGATTTTGACCGGTGGAGTTGGCCACGCAATGGCTGTCTGGGGATCGCAGTGCCTGTCCAGCGTATAGCCATAGTGCTGTCTGATTGAACAGAGTCTCTTGAGTGTAGAAGATTCGGCAATCAGCGGGATCGTAAAGGAATTGGAGCGGTACGTCTTGGCCTTTCCGGATAGCGTCGCGGATGTTCACCCCGCCGGAGAACGTGTAGATATCGTTGATCCTCTCCGGAAGTGAAGTCACTTCCTTCTTGAGGTAAGGGGCAAAGTCTGATTTGGCATAGTCGATATCGATGTCTAAAGCGGAAAGTGAGTGTCCACGTGCCCCACGAGTGCCGCCGGTAGCTTGCATGGGCCCTGCTACAGGACGGCCGCCGGCTACGACTGCCTTTACTCCGGCCTCGTGGCGCATCAGTTCGACGAACAATGCGCAGGCTGAATCACATAGTCCATCAGTGAGCTGATCAAAAAAGTCAGCAATCGGAAATATCGTTGTAGTCGAAGTCCCCAGCCTTACTATTGTAATACTGTCGGCCGCGAATAGTCCCTTTTTGTCGGCTGGGTTTCCTTCGTAGCCATAGACAATATAGAAAGACTCTGGCTGAGATAGAGAGTCTGTAACGTAGAAGATATTCGAGTAGTTGTACCGTTGCTGAATTCACTATTAGCACAAGCCATGGTAGGCAACTACGGGTGCTCACTGTCTTCGTAAAACTGTCACCATGGAGCTCCCTCGGTCCGTAGAATTCCTGCCAGCTGGCGAAGCTGTCATTCGTGTCGGCATCAATGCGATTCGATGCAACCCAGTCACTGGAGGCTAGAGTAAATCTCCAGGCAGCAGCGTTGTACCCGTCAAACTCTCCCTCCTTCTTCCAAAACTCATCTGTGACACGTCCAAGATCATTGGCCATATCGTGAGCACGCATCCGAGTCCCTAGGATTGGGTCCAGATCGGGAAAGAACTTTACCACTTTTAGCATCTGAGTCTATCGGGTAGGACAAAGTGCACTTACTCGCTTGAAAGCATCGACTGCAAGCGTTGCTGATCCACCACCATTCCGCTGAAGATCAATCACAATTCTTTTCTTGCCTTTATCGGCGCTTTTTAAGATGAATTGGCTAATTGCGGAACCAAACGCTTTTGCTCCATATCCGCGGGTTTTGAAACTGGGTATGCTGATGACGGCGAGGTCAGTCCCCTCAAGGAAATACCCTACTTCAGCCTTAGTCTTCGTAAAATAATGACACAAAATGATTTTGGCAGACTTACCCGAAATCAACGGGCCACTCGATTGGCCAACATTAGCCTGTAGCAAGTTTGGCTTTGGGTATGCTGGGTTTAGGAGGGCCCAATCCACGTCCAAGGGAGAAGAAGATACGGTAGGATCTGTATCGGGTTGGGCGGGCGCAGTCTCAGATGTAGGAGCCGTTACGATTTTCCGCGGTGCAAAACTTTCCAGAAAGGGTTCAATGACATCCTGGTAGAATCCAGCGGGATACAGTCCGAGAACAAAAAAGTTGTAGAAATCTCCGCCCGTCTCAAGAGGTCCGGTCGGTCCAGGATCGACATAGAGTGCGCTGAACGGCTCGGGCCCGAGTTGCGTTCCATTCTCGAATACTATTGTTATAGTGTCGCCAGGGTAGAGCACGAGGTCGCGGAAGAGTTCGGTTTCGAATTGGATCGTTTGCGCCGGACTGTACATCAGGGAGTTCCAGTCCGCATGAGGCTCGATGTTGCCAGAAGAGTGTTTCTGCGCAAATCGAGTAAAGAAACGCTCTGGATCTTCGCCGTTGATACTTTGGATTGGTGAAGGTTGCCACGGATCCATAGCACCTCTGCTAGCCTGAACGTCATCTATTTCACCTGTTAGTGCTGATTTAGAAAAATTAGGAAGTGGCTATGCATACTACGAAGGTATAGTCGCGGGGTCTGCCTTCCATCAGAAGAAAGTGAAACAACACTCCAAGGGCTCGCAAAACGAAAGGCAGAGAGAATTCCTGCATTGAGTCGGAGGTGTTTATCATGAGCCGAATAAATGAGTCGTTGTACTGCTTCTTCGAACTGGTACTCATTTCGATAATATCCCTGATCGATCCTGTTCTGAACGACTCCAAGTTCTTTAATTAAGTCGACTGCAGGTTGCTGGTATTCTTTGGGAGGATCTCGTAAATAGGCAAGAGTACTGTGGAACTGAATTGTATCGTTGAAGTACTTCACAAAGCGAGAGGCGACTGCGGGATTGAAGGGTACGGTGGAGAGGCAAGCAAATACATCGGGAGCATCGAAGCGGCGGGTATAGTGTTGCAAATCTGAACTGTTTGTCCTGCGAATGATATCTCCACATGCTGTTGATTGCGGTACAGGGCTGGAAACACCTGTAGGCTGAGTGCTGGCAACAACAGCCCAATAAATGAACAAAATCAACAAACACGGGATCATGATGGATGCAAAGATTGTCGTCGTTGTGATTTTCCGAACAAAGTTGGGGCCAGCAATTAATCTTAGGCCATGTTGACTTGAGCCGCAACACGGCAGAGTAGTATGGTTCTACAAAAATCCTCTTGATTAGAAATTATTGAACAGAAAGGACAAAAAGTGGACCACAGGATCAGCCTCGTCCTTGGCAGGAGCTGCGGAAGCTTGGCATCAAGGATAAATATTATCAAAGGGCTCCTACTTCGGAGTTTGTGCAGGATCAAGTAATATTTGGGGGCGAAGTGAACAAAAGTAGGCCCTCAGCAAGAATGACCACCAACGATAAGGCTGGAGCTTGCCTTTTGACTGGCCAGGTCGCACCCAGCTAAATTACCATGGCCTGTATGCTAGAAATGCTTCACCAGTAACCTTATCTTTCCGTGAGCCCTATTGATCATATCCGTACTGAATTTGTATCCCATATTTTTCCTGGACTTGCAATCGATCACTGAGAGAAGAAACATGTCCAAGTTTTCATTCGGTAATTCTTTCGGGGCCAGATAGTATGCAGCCATATCATATGCGACAAAAATAGCACGTAATCGAAGCAGTAGTACATTCATAAGAAGAGTTGATTGGGTATCTCTATGAGTGGGGGCCGGCAAGGCTGAAGCGTTACATCAGATGCGGGGCAACAACACAGCCTACGTGCGGCACGGGCGGCTCTGCCATATAGGCTGATAACATATGGTGCCATAATCAATGCTTGGGAGTGGTCCAAAGTCAGTAGTTGTGGCATAGACAATAAAAGAGCCGCATTGCTTCTAATTCTACATCCGGCAGGAGTTATCCGAGATCTGACAAAGCTGAGCCACCACCGCGGCCAAGATTATTTCTGGAAACTCTAGGTAGGCAGTCTAGAACATAATTGCGGCAGAATGCCAAGGGTGGTGGGCTGCGACGCAAATAGTACCTGACAATCGCTGATCGTATGACCAGGCCCCGTGGCCCGCTACCTTCAGCCTTGCGGTATTCGCGCCCACCCATCCCCCTTCTCGCATGATATCATTCAACTCCTGACTTTGTATTTCTCTCGGTCGTCAGGTCTGATCTCACTTTCACTCAGTCCGTTGTTGCAGCCTCGACAATGCCGAAAACCGTGGTATACCGTGTCCAGGACATCCCCGCCACTTTCTCGGAAGAGGACGCCAAACAAGCAATCTTGAGCTTGCTCGAGGAAGATGAGTCTCCTGAAATGCTACAGGATTGCGCAATTTTCCCATTTTGTCAGGCGCAAATCCCGGGAAATGTCGCTCTCATCAAGCTGAACCAAACGCCGCGATTCCTTGCCCCTCTGGCCGGAGACCTTTCCAAATTCCATGTTGTTCGCATCGACAGACAGACAAGACTCAAGTTTGATCGAAACTTCCTTGGATTCACGCAGCTGAATTGGCCTGATGGGACGCAAGGGATTGCCGCAGAGTATACCCCCCGAGGCAAATGCCTAGAACCCTACTGATGTATAATCAGTATCGTCGCAATCACCGGGATCGACGGACATGCATACGGATCTTGGAGAAACAGTGAGGCGGACTTCATGTGGATTGAAGAAGGCCTTCCAAACCAATTCCCTCAATGTCGAGTATTGCTTTACGGGTACGACTCGAAGATCGAAAGCCGGAACACCAATCGTCTTAGCGACTACTGTATTGGGCTACGTGAGCAACTGGGGAGGATTCGAGAGAGTGAAGAGGTAGGTTCTATTGGTACATCGATGATTACTCTATCATAATCTCATTAATGACTTGTAGGAACGGACAAGGCCTGTGTTCTTTATCGGCCATAGTTTCGGTGGTATAATCGCTGCAAATGTAAGAATGTCACCATGTTTATAACGTAAATCACTAACATAAGTTCACTTAGACATTAATTCAAGCAGCCACGGACAGAGACCGGAGCCTCTATAACGCGATCGAAGCCTTTCTTTTCTTTGGAACTCCGCACGGAGGCCTAATAATGGATGGGATTCGGAAAATGCTCAGTGATACATCTCATCCCCGGAACATACTCCTTGACCAGATCGACGTCAAAAAAGAGTTTCTGCCAGATCAGCTCCTCACGTTCAAAAACGTTCTGGGGGAACGTGTCGCCGCTAGCTTTTATGAGACAAAGCAGACCAGGGAACTCCAACAGGTATGCTATCCCCAGTAGAACATCTCAGCTTGAAATATTCTCTAACAGCAGACTGCAGGATGAGAAGGGGCGTTGGGCGAGGACAGGGGAATATATGCATCTGTCGAACCGAGCTGGATCGATACTGGGCCTTCCGGACTCTCAAGAAAGCAAATATCCTGTTGATGAAGATCACTCAAGGATGGTCAAGTTTGAGAGCCCCACAAACCCAGCATATCTGAAAGCGGTTCAATACCTGAAGGGCTTCCTCCAATCGGCCCAGGGAAAAGTGCTCATGCGGAGCGGTATGTAACTAGCTACAAGATAGGCAGCATGTCTAGAATATTTCATTGCTGACATACATTCCGCGCATTTGCTATGTGGCCAGACCCAATGTACAACCCTCGTGAACTGATCGAATGGTTGTCTGATGTCGATTTCCGAGCCTGGGAAGGCAAAAGGTTCAAACCTCGAGAGGTTGCGCCCCTTGGAGATGGCTTTTTAAGATCACAAGAATTCAAATTTTGGGAGGAACAGCAAGTCAGTCAACTTGAATGCTATGGTGCGGTAGGATCAGGAAAGGTAGGCCATGGCAGATCTCTCCGGCTTCCAATTCCCTAACGCATGACAGACCTACCTAGCATACGTTGTTTCAACACGTTTGCGTGAAACCAAAAAGAACACATGCGTTGTTTCCGTATACATCGAACCGAACGACCCCACGATGACTGTAGAACGACTACTTGGTGCCATACTCAAGCAGGTGCTTGAATCACGGGGTTCAAGAGCTATTGCGACAAATCTGCAACAGTACCACCAAGTAGAGTCATACAAAAGGCAAAAACCTCAGAAGAAAGAACTTATCGAATTTCTTGCAGAGGGAGTGCAGAAATATGACTATACATATTTCGTCGTGGACGGATTTCACGACGCCTCGACAGATATCCAGGATAGCCTATTCGATGCAATCGACCAGATCCGGGAGCGTACCAATAGAATTGGTGTGCTGTACTTCAAACGCGAAGATGAATTGGTCCCGTCCACCCTCCCGTTTTGCGACAATTGCGGTAAAGTCGCTCGTGTTCACTATCGTTGCGAAGAATGCCCTAGTCCATTCTTTGACCTGTGTCCGTCCTGCAATGAACGAGATGATGGAAGTCTTCGATGCAATCCATCTCATTCGCTTATTCTCGATCCGGACGTCATCATGATCCTCCCTGCGAGAGTCGAAGAAATGAAGCGCTTTGTGGACTTCATGATCAACAGCCTCATTGAATCTGCAGGTCCTCGGTACGAATTCCTCAAAGCTCTCTTATTACAACATCTAATGCTAACCTGACATTCAGACAGGGCACAAGCAACAGGCATCGCCGGCCAGCAAACACATCCGTTCTAGCGAAGTTGTGCCTGGAACCCTCTGATCAAACACCAGATCTCCGAAGGGAGATAGTTGAAAACATCTCTCTTAGGCTGTGGGGCCTCAATTTCAGGGTTGCCCAAGAGTGGTTCAATAGGCTGAAGTTACAGCCCACTCGAGGTGGCATCATGGAGAACATCTCGCAAATCCCTTGGCGAGGTAGCTCTACATACCGTGCGGATCTAAACCAGCTTCAGACCGATGAAACACACGCCGAGGACCAAGCCGGATGGAGAATTGTCAGCCTTGTGATGGCGGCCAGGAGGACCCTCAAGCAGGAGGATCTCCGCACGGCCGAAGCAGCCTTGAGATTGCGCAAGCTCGAGGAGAAGTACATGGACAAAATGGATCACAGCCGGATGATTTTCCTTTCCAAGGGTCTTATCACCATAATCCAGGATCCGAACCAGAACGTAGTTGCAGACCCGCCATTCTACGACTTTTTCCACAGCCCCGAGAGAGACTCCGGCAGTCAGTTTCGTGAAGCGCATTACAACATGGCGTCTGCGTGCCTGAACTATCTTCGCCTGGACAAGCTATTCGAGAGCAGCAAGTACGATGTCAACAAAAGGCTCTGGGAAGAGCCTTTTTTGGCTTATGCAGCGTGCTTCTGGGGCGAACATGTCCGTCTAGCGAAGAGCAAAGATGTCGATTCCAAAGCAAGGGACTTTCTCCAGGATCACCAACGGTTTGCAGCACTCCTCAAAGTTGCCTGGACCTGTAGCCTACCAGCACAGGCGTCACTTCGGTGGGATGTCAATTCGGGTCTCCATGCACTCCACGTCTGCGCATGGTTCGGGCTCGCGTCGTTGATTCCGATGGTCCGGGGCAAGAGCTCAATCGACGAGCTAGAGTCATTCTACAACCAGACCCCGCTGATTTACGCAAGCAGAAAGGGCCATGAGAGTGCCGTGGTAGTTCTTTTGGACGCTGGGGCCGACCCCGCACGTTTCAGCAGCAAAGGCTACAACGCTTTGTTCGAAGCAGTCACGGTCTACGAACTTTCTCAGAGAGACTCAAAAATTCGAATTTCTAAGAGGCTTTTGGATGACGGACGGATCGACATTCATGCAACCCACCCAGGATCCAAGCACCGCACGGCACTCCATATCGCTGCTCGCCAGGGAGAGGACTGCGCTTCTCTCGTAGAAACGCTGATCTCACATGGAGCGGATCCCAATCGTATCGATGACCGAGGCTGGACTCCAATTATGTCCGCGGCACGACTAGGGCGGGAAAGGATTGTCGAACGCCTCCTCGAAGCACCTGTCGACGTAGACCTTTTTGGCTCTCAATGGAACTTCAAGACCACTGCTCTTCACTTGGCTGTTGAGGGTGGCCATCAAGAAATCGCTGTCCGCCTGCTGGCAAGAGGAGCGAAGCCCTGGCTCAGAGACGTTTGGGGCTTGGATGTCGAGGCAAAAGCGAAGAGAAAAGGCCTGCAGAAGCTCATTGACCTGATGGCGGAGCAACGTACACCAGGCAGTGGATCTCCAACAGTAGACGAGATCCAACCAGCACCTTTGGAGACCCATGCACTCCATGAGGCTGTATCTGGAAGGTATGTTAGTCGAGTTGAAGCTCTTCTCAAGAAAGACTCGTTGCTTGCCTTGACGAAGGACCAATGCGGACGTACACCCTTGCATCTCGCTGTCAACAACTGCAACAGGCACCTATTTAGAGCAATGAACGCCAGCGACATCGCAATGGCCAAAATGCTGATCCCTCACAGCGATCTATCTGCTACTGATCGCTGGGGCCTCAGAGTAATGGACTACGCCATTTACAATAGGAGGGGCTTTATGCAGGTTGAGCTTCTCGACGCTGGCGCTGAGTTTGATGCACACCGGTCCGATGACCTCAACTTTCTGTTGTCATTGGCATATCACGACGAAAAGGCCAACGCTATATCTCGTCTATTCGCAAAAGGAGCAGATGAGTTTCAAGCATACCCTCTCGTGCCCCCGCAGATGCTTGAAAATAGCAATATTGGAGCTCTACAAAGTCACAAGCGTTCTGCTACCTCCGGACATACGGATAGTATATCCACATCGATAGCTTCCCAGAAAACCATGGGCTACTCTCATGATTCATTGAAAGGGCAGGGAGTGAAGAGGTTATCACCTCAAGAAGACGATGCGCAAAAGAAACGGCGTCTAGTCTAATTCTATATCGCGACGCAATATTTGAGTGATCTCAGTTTATCTGAAAGATGAGTTCACCGTCGAAGATTTTTGATTTTTAGCATATCCTTTCTCCATTTATTGACGGCATGTGTTGGACTCCTTGGGAGCTCCTCGGATGGTCACTCGGATGGTCACAGCCACCGGCACGTCCACTGGCACGTGATAGTATTTTATCTGTAGCTTCTGACTGGTCTAGATAAGGGATAAGTAAAATATACCTTACCAATATCTTTTTCCAGAAGACACTAAGCCGAAGACGCTACTGGTGGACGTGCCGGTGGCCACTACCATCCGAGGAGATAGGAATCACTCAAGCGGCGAAGGAATTTTAATACGGCTTGATACTGATGACAGGAGATTATCTTTTTTCAGGTTTTTTGGGAGTCGCGACAGCTGCAGCTGAAAGGTTTGGAGTAGCATTGAAGGGCCCAGGCTCTATGAACCCGCCCCCACCCCTCACCCTCTTCGAGCCAACGGTACGCAACCTTTCTGTGATCACACTAGCTGCAGCCAATATTGCTTGCGTGCAACCTGAACTCCTCTACTTGGCGGCCAGGTTGACTTCCTGCTTCCGCCCTCTACGCATCTTGCTGGCCATGTGCGCCCCGTTTCTGGTCCCACCAGGAAGTTGAGTTTCCAGAGCAAATTTGTTCTACCTTGTATGTCGATCAGGTTTGCAATGGCGCGGAAAATGCCGCCTGGGCTTCACGTTTTGTAACAGTATTGGCTGCCTTGAAAGGGCCAGAAATATGCCTTGCATTGTGCGGGAAAGCCAGCGGTCTCAGCCTTGAGCTATTAAAATTAGTTCTCTCAGCCTGCTAGTATAATGCTATTGATTGGTAGTTGCGACTTTTGCTAGCCCTGATGATTGGATGCTCTAGCGCTAGAACTCGGGGCTGAGACGCGCAGCCTGAAGCACTGCACATCGGCCGTGTCGCTACAACGTGGCTGAGGCAATGTTCAGCTTTCAAATTTAGGCGATCTTTGCATAGGTAGACGCCGTGCTTGCCTCTTGCATAGCAGTCTTAATATCAACTTGTCTATACAAAGCGCAGACGACACTCCTATTCATTCAAATCCTTCACTCTTGGTATCATCTTTATATTCATCTTTCACCCTAGTGCTATCTACCAAAGATGAGTAACATCAGCACGTCCGATCCAACGGCCTGGTATGACATCTATACGGGCCCATGGATCAACTGGTCGCATGGCCGAATCCTCGGACCTACCATCACGCTCACTCGCCGCGATGGTGGCTTCCTCATATCACTTGTCGCCCTATTCGTCACCTGGACAGGAACTGCCTTCTGGAGGATATCATGCTATCTACTCCACCATTACTATTCGTCTGAAGCTCCTCGAGATGGGCTTTATCATCAGCAACAAGCCGTTCTTCGCAACTCCGCCAGTGGTGTGACCGGCCTTTGGGCTCTAGGCCAAATGGCCTGGGTTTGGGGCCGCAAGACGTCAACTACCCACACGTACGGCCGTATAGCGCCGCTCTTGGCTTTCACCCTGATCTGCCTTAGCTGCTTTGCAGTTGCTGGTGTGATGTCTTCCAAGCTTGCAACCTCAACGGGATCTGAAGTCCTTATCTCAAGCTCCAGGTGCGGTCAGTTCAACTCATACCGAAACTCAAGCTTTTTGCTACAAACCACGGTTTATGCACCATTTATACAAAGGAGATTTCTGGACTTTTCCAATTACGCACAAAACTGTTATACGGATACTTCCAGCCCTGAGGAGTGCAAAAAGTACGTTCGACAACAGCTCCCGTGGATGGCTGACCGAAACGCAAGCTGCCCATTTGCGGAAGGGCTTTGCCAAAACAATGTCGGCAATCTGGAACTTGACTCCGGATTTCTCGATAGTAACGATCATCTGGGCTTCAACGCCCCACCAGAACAACGATTTAGATTTCGATCTCAGGTCAAGTGTGCACCTCTCGTCACTGATGGATACAGTCAATCTTTCAAATACGCGCAAGAAAATGATACAACAGAGTATATGAGGTACTTCTACGGCGAGCTCCGATCGGGAGCCAACTTCACCTACGAACATCCCATAATCCCGACCGAAGTATTCCGCAATCAATACTTCACCAGTGCTCAACTGATGGATTACACTCTCTCGTAAGTCAATTTCTGAGAAAAGGAGATGGTGGTGCTTTCTCCCCTAGGCGGGTCATACTAGGGGGAAGTTATCGCAACCGAAGGCTAGCGTGGCGAACAGTAAGGTCCTGGGCGCGACTATTCCTCGGCTCTTTCTTGAAAAAGTGACATGTGTGGGTAGTTGGAGCTGTCGTCCGGGCGAGAAGGTGACGTGAACAAAAAGCAAACCCACGCTAGCCTTTGGGCTACGATACGAGATTACATTCTCTGCTGATGATTCCTCGGACAAGAGTTGCGGGGTCCTGACGTTTAACGCTGTAGAAGAATTCTAACATGCCCAGGTTTGCCGCAGCGACTTTTTACAACGGGTCACTATATGCCGATGCTTCTACCTTTGCGCCAATCCCAGAACTACGCCATGCACGTGGTGACATCAGTCTGTTTTTTCTGTCGCCGAACTTTGTACAGTTCACTGGAGAGACCGACGACCCATGGTATTCTGCACACGTTCCATTCGCCAACGCAACTGCTGCTCAATTCAAAGATGGTAAATTACAGATGTACTTAGCTGATAAACCGACGTCGATTCTCGGTTGCCTCTCTCAATACCAAATCTGCAATCCGGACCTTCCTGCAGACCGCGGTTGTACCACCCGGGACTCCATATACGACACATTCAACCTCCACAAAGATGAGTCGCGTCTGGATCAGACACAGAACCGGGTTTTAAGTTGGATAGGACAGGCATTCACATCGACCATGGCGACCATAGTGGATGAGATGGGAATCTCTGGATTGACTTCGAGATACGGACTCAACCAGGGGGTACAAGGCCCTTTGGCTCCGGATCAGTGGCAGCTCGACGTTCAGCACTGGTTTACCATTTGGTTAGCCACCCTGCAAGGGTCACTCGTGATGCAAGCTACGGGGCCATCAAATCCAGATGTCATGCCTTGGGTGCAAACTCCGCGAGATGAGACGGAAAAGCATTTTTGCCAAAGCCAAGTGAGTAGAATCACAGCCTATGTAATACTTCGATGTCTAACGATGTGCTTCTCCAGAAAATGGTCTCGACCGCATATACCAACTTCAACACCTTCGGTCTCTGTCTCACCTTCGTCGTCGGCACCACCATCATCGTTCTCTCGCACACAATCGAACCCCTCGCCAGCTGCATCCAAAAGCGCCGCAGACTGGACACTTACTCTCGTCCCGAGTGGTCTCTAAACGAAACGTTGCAGCTCCAACGCCTTGCACATGAAGAACTTGGTGTTGGCACCTGGCACAATAGCGCGGAGACGATTCCATTCACCGACAGTGGTGAACGGCTAGCCACGGTGGATCTTACAGATCCCGATCATCTGAGGCTCAAGGCGCCGCCTCCACATTTCGAGAAGCTACTGGCACGTGGCGATGATAATGGGAATGACAAGCCGCCCTCTGAGTGGGAAACGGGCGATTAACACAATGTAGCCTCTCATGTAAGGGTTGGTGCTAGTTTTCATATCAGCAAGGCCACTAGCATGTTGTCCAGTGAGAACGCAGAGCATTATGTCTCTACTGAGCAACTTCCGAGCGCTGAGGAACTGGCTCATGTTGAACGGCAGACGGGCGATCCTGGAGTGACGGAAGGTCGGTTGATTTGATTGTTCTTCTGAGGCCGAAAGCAGAGAGCGCGCCGAGATGACTCTACGTGCGGGGAAGAGTTGATGATTCTAGAGAAACTTGGAATTCATATCTTTCGCATGACCCATCACCAGAGTGCTGCCGTGCAGAGACTGTGGGAAACATTGCGTGACGTCACTCGACGAGGGCCTTCGCCGCACTCGTGGCAGCTACAACACCTCCCCGGCGTCCATTCACCCACTTTTTGTTCTCACATCTCTCCCGCACCAAACACCCCTCACCTGCACGATCACCCCACGGACTCCAAGCGTGGTGAGGCGTTCCAGAGGGTGACACACGGCAAAGCAACAAGACGCGGCACGCGTTCTTCTCGACGCTGAACAAGGGACAACGACGAGTACGTGCCGCCTGGGCCAGCGACGAGTGGTTTGGACAATTGAGGGTGCCCAGCGCGCGTGAGCCTGGTCGATGGGTACGATCCAACATTCTGCCTCTGCAATTTGGCAATCTAATGACGCCGTAGGGGTCAAAACATACATTTGCGTCCGGACGTTAGCTCCACCCACCGATGTAATGTCTCTAAAGTGCCAATTCAAGAAGGACTTGGAGTGCTCCTTCCACTCCTGCCGCTTTGGAGTCAACAAAGGCTTCATGCAGGCACGAGCACTGCATTTTGCACAGCCTGTGCCGGCAATGCGCACTTCTTGCGCGCCAAAATTTGCTCACCACGTGCCGAACGATGTGATAAAAATCCATGCACGTGAGTCCCTCCGTAACTGTGCCTGCCCGTTACACGTCCGTATAACTTGATAGACTCCTTCCGAATGGGCATGAATATTTAAAAGACTTTCACTACTGTAGTGCTAACTTCATTCCACAGATCTCCTTCGAGTCTTAGTGTTCAGCACAAGTTCGTTCTGGAACGTGTGATACAGAGACAAAAAGTCCCCGGACTCGGGTTCTGCGTCTTGGGCGATCTTATGGTTTGTGGAACAGCGCGATGATCTGACGAGTCTGGAATGAGGATTGCGTTCTCCATGTACCTGCAATGCTGCGCTACAACAAGCACTAATCATGCTGGGCTCCAGCCTTTCCTCTTCGCGAATTTGAAGCTTCGATTGAATCGGCTAGGGGAAGTTAGAGCCAAGCGAGGAACAAGAGGAAGCAAAGTGTGTCATCGGAGGAAATTGTTGAGCAAGCATTGCGGTGTTTATTGTCAAAGCAAAAGCTGCCAGTGAGGGGGTCTTTTATATTGAAGCCGCGGTTAACGCAACTGCCGTCTTCTGCTGTTCCGCAAACCGGCCACCGGCCAAAAAGTTCCTGAACCAGTTATCACCGGTGACCCAGCACTTGCTATGGCACCTTAGCTGTTAAAAAAACAACATCTCGGTCTTCTGACTCCGTTCTTCGTTCAACAGGCAGCTCCGACCATTGCCAGCAATTCAGGGCACAACACGCTCAAACCGACTGAAAAGACTCCCCTCTGCCTTCTTCTCTCAAGCTCTTCCATTCCCGAGGGATGTTGCTTGCGGCTGGGGTCTCTGAGACTTCAGCATAATCACCGAGTGCAGATAACCATCATGAAGTAGCGAGGCTCGACAACAGAGTGCCAAATGATCATCACCCGCAGTAGCATGACTTTTTGAATGAGACAGTCCGGGCCTCCCTCCACATATGGCTTTACAAACGTGATGCGTCAAAACTCCGCATATGCCGACCACGAACGGCACGCCCGAGTGGCTCGTTGGTGTCTGGTTATAATTATGTGCCCTCGCTCAAGGACTGCTATCAAGATTCTGTGATGCTTTGGAGGCAGTTAATGTACCCGGCCGCCGTATCTGGGCGAGGTAAGTCACAGGTGCGGCTGGTGTTGCCCTTCGCACCTGACCATGCACTGTGATACTTTGGCTGTCTCCTTATCCCTAAATACGTTTTATGGTCATCCGTCTTTCTACTCTGCCAAAGCCGCACATTCTGGGTGCCAAAGAGCAGACACAAATGTTGCCCACTCGTTCTCAGAGAGATCACACAATCCCGAAGGCTCACTTTCTCTTTGCTGCTTTGGGTACCTTTTTCCACAATATCAGCCGGCTATCCAACTACGCTATAGTAATGCTGCTCATCGTTTAATGGTGGTGTTGCACAATAGAAGCTGCGCCTGACGCAGATCTAAAGCAACATGATTTTCTGAGCACGACTATTCCAGGTCCTCTCTCAGGCGCCAGCAGAGAATTTTACTTAGGTGCTCGCAGGAAAGAAGGAAACAAGCAGCCGAGTTTGCTGTTTCCGAAGATGCCATTATTCTTAGCAACTCTTGGAATATGAGCGTCGAAGTGTCACTCAACCCGTCGCCATTCCGCGTTTAAAAGGGCCAAATGGCACGGCCACCCATGTTCCTTCAGAAAAGTTCCAGCAGCCGACTCGGGCACGCCGCGTGCAGGGAACATGAGACCTTAACGGATCATCCGCCTCCACGGCATTGTCCTAGCATGTGTTTTCTACACCGCTCGGGTAGCTTAAAAGTAACTCTCCTCCCACAGCGGACATTTCTCCCGTGAACAAGCTAAAGTCAGGGGCGTCGGCTCGATACCTAGACTTCGTCATTGAAAAATACTCCCGCTCCGGCATGCCGGGGTTTCGGTGCTAACAAGCACTATCGCAAGATCTCCAACTTCGCTCTTCTAGTTCTCTCCCACAGTCAGCGACTTCGCCAACCTGTATCCATGAAGCAGTGTCTCTCGCCACTGAACAACCATGAAGGAGTCTATCAGCATGTCTCAAAGTTCCATCTCAGCAGCATTCCTCCTCTCCATCATCATCACCAACCGTTCCGATTAATCGGCTACCACAGGCCTTTAGAAGCTCAAGTATCGAACATGTATCTCCAAGGAGAAAAGCCCGCAGAGAGTAGTGAATGGACATTTGTCCAGTGTTGGCCTCGCCATGCTCGATCGCCGATGAAAGAACTGGAGCGTTCCGCCCCAAAGCCCATTTTTAAAGCATGGCGGAGCCACAATTGCCTGGAGCAAACCACGCCCACGCGCCGAGCCGCGCACATGGTGCTCAACCGACACCAGCACATGCTTCATGCCCCATCACTCGACGTGCGGACGTTCCCGACGCACGCAGCGGACCCGCGCGCTCAACCACCGCCGTCTGCCGTCCCGAGAGTCTATAAAACACGGCTCCATTCATTTGCTTCTTCTCGGCAAGCAAGTCAGCGACAGTTGCATTCGGGTGTCCTCACAGGAACCTCAAATTGTCACTGTTTCTCTTTTTTGTTTTCGCCATTTCCAGTCCTTCAGGATACTGTTCTCTGTCGCCCTTCTCCGCCAGCCAGCCAATTCATCTTCCTATCTCCCATCAACTCACCTCCAACACTCACCAGCACAGCATGATGCTGCCGGCCATCACCAACCCCTCGTTGCTGCACTCCACCATCAAGCCTTCATGCTTATCACCATCACCAACCGACCGACGAAGCAAACACTCCTCCACGCCTTGCGACCCACCACCCGGAAGTTAGTTTTTTCTTTTTTTTTTTTGCCGAACCAAACCACACAGTTAGCAGTCGAGTGTAGGGTATGGTTGTCACAACCACTTCCCCACCCACTGCGCTAACGAAGAAAAGAACACTCGCATCCTCCCCTTTAAATAGGTCCAACAGAGGAAGAAGAGGAGGAGAAGCGCGTGTCGTGGCCGCGCGAATACACCTGACCGGGCTGCCCTGCCGCCCATCTCGCATCACCCGTCACCCGCTATCTGTCCGCCGTATCCCGTCGTGTGTCTCTGGCCGCCCCTCACCCGTCACTTGCCCTCACCCGTCACCTGAAGCCCACCACCTGCCTCCCGCAGCCTGTCACACATCACCGGTGACCCGTAGCCCGGTGCCCAACGTCGGCCATTCGTCATTTGCCCTCCGTCATCCGCAATCCGCCAGCCGTCGCCCGTCATCTGCCGCCTACCATCGACCGGCCACCGGCCGCGGTCCGAGGCGCTTATAAGCGTCTCGACTGCTCCACCGAGCTGCCTTTTTCTCCGTAAATCAACCTGCAACAGGTGCAGATTGGAAAGCCCGACTGGGCGACTGGCTTCCAGAATTGTCGATAACAAGCACTCGTGCTCCTCCGTCTCGCCCGCCCACCCATCTCCCCCAGAGCCATCCCCTTCCACCACCCGACCACCCCACTACCTCACCACCACAAAACAACGCTACGCTCCACCATCACCCACAAACGCTGCACCGCACCATCACCTCTTCACCCAGCCCACCACCATCATCACCGACCACTTCTACCCGCCATCCATCTGTCCGCTCATCCACCCGCACGCCCGTGAGAGACAAGCTCGGCAAAGCTCCCAAGTAACACCACGCGAAATGGCCGCGGCAAACGACAACGCCAGTGCTGGCCCGGATCGACCGAACATTCCCAGTTTGAATCCAATCTCCATTCGACTGCACAAGCAGAAGAAGCGGTGGATGCTCACAGCAAGGAAAACTGGTTGGAGGCCGAGTAGGCGGGCTTTTATAGTGCGTGAACGGCCCGCGTAGAGCTGGGCTCACGGGCAGACGGGCGGGCGGAGGAGCCAGGCGGGAGGGCAGACAGCGCGTCAGGCAAGCAGGAGGCAGGGCAGGCGGTAGGGCACGCCGCAGGGGACGCGGGAAAGCCAGGCACGGGCGTAGACAAGTGGCCCAGCGGCAAGGCAGGAGGACAACCGTGCATCCAGGAAGGCGGGTGAGCAGGTAAGCCGGCAGTCAGGCGAATAATCAGTCAGGCAGACGCACAATCAGCCATAGACCCAGACCAGCATATGGCCCAGCGGCCAGCGGGATCGACCAGATCAGTCACCGGGAAACCAGCGATCGCAGGCGCAAGGGCAGACGCGCGCGCTCATGCTCCCGCCCATGCGCAGGTACACGTCCCGGCGCACATCCATGTGCCTTCCCCGCCATCCCGGTGAGGCATGCTACGAGGCAGCAGCTGGAGCGAGGGCTGGGAGGCGCGTGCGCGGATATCCCGTTCCGCGGTGGTGGCGAGTGGGGCTTTAACAAGGGACGGGGAGGGCGTGTTCGAAGCTTCGAAAGCCACTGCTATCATATCCTCACTGATTCCCAGGAGAATACTTAAGCACTGCCTTTCGCAGACGTTCAGCAAAAATGACTTGTTTGCTCTTCCGCCCTCCACTCCCACATCCGTCACCTCACAACTCCCAACTCACCGCACCACTCTTCATCACCCTCACCATCATCACACAATCACCCTCACCACCATCAACCCAGAAAAAAAGTTCAGAACATCATCAAAATTCATTACTCATAATTACCACATCTTCACCCTAGCATTAAAAAGCCTCCCCCTCCCCTCATCCCCCCTTATGCCATTAACCCCCTCACAACTCAAGCACCCCACTCAACGGCAACGTCCTCGACGAGCTGCCAACATACACCGTCTTCTCATACTCGGAAATAACCCAATTCTGGCTGACGGTATCCCAGTTACTCAAATCCCTGCGCGTAACATCGACGCCAAACGTCACCGCCTGGCCGGGCTGAATCGTGTAGCGCTCAAAGCCCCTAAGCTGGACCTTCGGATCCTCCGGGCCGCCCAGGCTGACGTACAGCTGGGGCACCTCGTCGCCCTCGACGTCGCCCGTGTTAGCGACGGTCGCCGTGACGGTGAAGAGCACGTCGTACAGCGCCGGGTTACCGCCGGGCGCGCCGCCCGCCGCGATCTTCGGCTGCGGGGAGCCGTCGAGGGCGCCGGTGGGGATGTATGTGTCGTTCGGGGCGGCGAACTCGGTTTCGCTGTCGCCGTTGGCCGTGGCGGCGTCGGTCGAGTTGAGGTAGGGGTAGATGTAGCCGGGGATGGGCGAGACGTCGGCGGGGAACTGGTAGTCGCCGAGGTCGGTGCTGTAGTTGCCGAGGACGGGCGCCGCGGTGGTGTTGCCGGCGTTGGGGGTGTAGTCGGCGACGGTGTGCTTGACGATCTTCAGGTCGGAGTACTCAAAGGTGGTGTAGGACAAGCCGAAGCCGAACTCGTAGATGGGGGTGATGTTGTGCTTGTCGAAGCTGCGGTAGTCGATGAAGACGCCCTCGTTGAAATCGTCCTGAGGGGCGGCGTCGCCGTTGTTGGGCACGTAGATCAGCTCAGTGCCGTAGTCCTCGCGCTTGGCGCCAAAGGTGAAGGGCAGCTTAGCGCCGGGGTTGACGCGGCCGTAGAGGATGTCAGCAAGGGCGTTGCCGGACTGCTCGCCGGGAAGGCCAGCCCAGATGATGGCGGTCACGTTGGGGTTGTCGTTGAAGGCGCCGAGCTCGACGGGGCCGACGCTGTGGATGACGACGATGGTGTTGTTGTTGACCGAAGTAACATTGGCGATGAGCGCCTCGCCGTCGTGCCAGACGGTAAGGTTGTTGCGGTCGCCGATGTTGCCGTCGTAGTTAATGAAGCCCTCACCGCTGTCCGAGTTAACGAAGACGAGGGCGTGGCTGGCCTGGGAAGCAATGGCGTTGACGCGGTCGTAGTTGTAGTCGTCAGTAACCCAGTCGATGACGCCGTTGTTGGCGTAGACCTCGTTCTGAAGAGCAGTCAGGGGCGAGATCAGGTAAGGGTAGTTGGCGGTGCCGGAGCCCCAGCCCATGGCGAGGGTGCCGTTGGTGCAGCCGTGGTTGTCGCAGCCGTTGGGGCCGTTGGGCGAGTCGCCAGCGTCGCTGCCGAAGACACCGAGGAACTTCTCCTTGCCGGTCAAGGGAAGGGTACCGTCAACGTTCTTCAGGAGGACGGTCGACTTGGCAGCGGCCTCGCGGATGTTCTTGTAGTGGTTGGCGCGGACGTTGACGTGCTGGTTAACAACGCCCCAGTTGGCATCGGCAATGGCGTTCTGATAGCCGTAAGTGTCGAGGGTCCAGGAGTTGAAGTTGGTCGGAATGGCCTTCTTGTCGCGGCCAGTGTAGAAGTAGGCGGCCATGATACGGGTGGCAGAGTCATCCAGACGCCACTCGGGGATGGTGCCGTTGATGACAGCAAGCGTCATGTTGGCGCCCCAGAAAGCGTAGCCCGTGCTGAAGAGGGTGTCACCAGGCATGGCCATATCCAGACCGGCGAGGGAGGAGCCAACGCCGGAGTGCTGGGCTTGCCAGTCAGACATGATGAAACCCTGGAAGCCGAGTTCGCCCTTCAGGAGGTAGTTGAGCGTGTGCGAGTTCTGGCAGCCGTAGCTGTTGTTGATCTGGTTGTAGCTGCACATGACAGCACCAGTGCCGGCCCTGACGGCGTCGGCGAAGGGCCAGAGGTACAGCTCGTGCATGGTCTTGTCATCGATGTTGGACGAAAGGGACTCGGTGATGTTGTCGCCGAAGCCCTGCGCCTCGGGAGCCTGGCGGAAGTGCTCCTGCTCGTTGACGATGTAGTGCTTGGTGCAAGCAATGACACCAGCATCCTGAATACCCTTAATGGTCTCGGCAACGGCAATGCCGGACAGAGCTGGGTCGGGGCTGAAGCCTTCCCAGTTGCGGCCGCCAGTGGGAGTGCGTCCCAGGGGACCAACGACAGGGCCGAGAAGCACGTCAATGCCCTTTCCAGCAAACTCAGCACCCATATCGTATCCGCGCTGGTACCAGATGCGGCGATCGAACGAGGCGGCGACAGTGCCGCCGGAAGTGAAGGCCGAGTTGTGGTCGGCTACGGAGAGTTTAGCTGTGGACAAACGGCTTTGGATGAGTGATTGACATACTGAAGCGGATGCCAGTAGGCGAATCCTGCATGCACAGAGAGTGCAGGCCCAGACGAGGGACAGGACCAACGTTGCCAACGCAAGGACCGCCCTCCCAGCTGGTGGAGCGTTAGCGGCTGCTACTCAAGAGATATTCCTGTCCTGTCAACTTACCCGATGCCGGTCGTGAGGTTGACCTTCTCGAGGAGCGTCATCTGCTTGACAAACTCCTGGGCCTTGGCGTAGGCCTCGGCCCAGCCACCGGAGCCGTCCATCCACGGCGACGGGTAGAATGGCGGCGAAGTGGCGCCCCAGAGAGCATCGTCGGGGTTGGAATTGTTGAGGGCCTGTGGGCGGCGGATCAGTAGTCCACTTCTTTTGCATAATTCAGGTTTTTCAGGCAGAAGGAGGCGATTACAGGGGTGGAACCCATCGATGATGACGAGTAATATGAGGATAGCCACGCCTGCTGAGATGGTGCCAATGACGGCTTCCTTGAAGCTGAACCTGGCCGAGTCTCCCGGGCTCACAGCCGAGCTGGGAGAAAGCGAGCGCTCAGGAAGCGGGCTTGCTTCCCGAGGCACGGCATGCGGCTGGCTCGGGTTGGCCGTGTACGGAGGAGGAGGATCCTCGTACGCGGGCGTGGGAGACTCATAGCGTGGCAGAGCATCTTCCGCGGCGGGAGGAGGCAGTTCTTCGAGCGCGATATCATCCATGTTGAATGCAGGTATTGTGTGCAGATGAAGCGCAAGATTTCGTGGAAAGCGTGACAAGTGTGGAGAGTGTGCGGAGGGTTGTTTTCGGGTTGCGGGCGGAGGCGGTGATGGCGCCGCAGTAGGAAAAAAAAATCACCACGTACCTGGGAGGCGACAAACGGCGCGGCTGCGAGCGCAGCGGTGGCCGTGTTGAAGCGCATTGTCACGGTCTACACTCTCAACAGCGATTGAAGGGAAGACTGGGCCTGACGAGCGGGAATGATCAGGGGAAATAGCTTGGGCTTTATTTATGGCGGTCGCGCGACGCAACATGACTTCAGCGGACCGGGGTAGCTTGGGAAGCTCCCGGCGCGCGGGGAACCTTACCGCCGAGCGTTAGGCCAAATGTTCCTGCTGATCCTGCGCGCGACGGCCAAGCTCCAAGCCACCGAGAGCCAACTCTCCACCTGTTGCCGGCTAATCTCTCCCCATCCGGCTTGCGACATGGGGCTCCGTCCGGTCAGCTGGAGCCCGTGCCGTCTCTCTCTCCATTCCTCGTCGCGCGCAGCGCCGGGGATTTCCCGCTCGGAGGGACACCAAGGTAGCAGTGGCTAGCGCTCAGGCGGTTCGCCTTGGCATGCAAACACCCGCCCAGGACCAGCCTCATGAAACGGATTTGCAGCCTTACCCGCAAGCGACCCAGATCTCGCAACTCTCCTCTAATCTCCTCAAACGCACGCCGACCGACCGCACAAGCCCGCTGAGTTGTCGCCGGCTGCCAGCGATGCGGTGCTCCTCTCTGGCGCCACGGCCAGCCAAGCGGCGGCGCCTCTCGCGCGGGCTGCAGGCTGGTGGTGCACAGACTGGAAGCAGAAATAAAGCCGCGCTCCGCCTCCACACGCGCCCCAGAGATCGCCGGGTAAACGCCGGCCTTGGAGAGCAAAATTCCTGGGGGTTCGAGCGTTGTTCTCTCCCCCTCGCGCCTCATCAAGCCTCTCTCTAAGCGTTGCCGCCAAAATCCGCCTGCCGTGTAACGGCGGCACGACGCCCGTCAGCCGTCACAGCAATCCTATGCGGGGTTGGCGTTGCAAAAAGATGTCGCATCTAATGGTCAATGCAAGGCATCCGCCAGCTCCTGGTGAGAGGTGAGGTGATGGACCCAGAAGTTGCAATAACATTGCTCCGGCTCACCGCGCTTTTTTTTTTTCTCTCTTTCCCAATCCCCCCGGCCCCCGGATTCGGCGCGCCGCTCTCATCATCACGCCCCGCGCGAACCCGCGCGGCCCCGTGCTTTCGCTTCCACAACGCCCCCCGTGTCACCGTCTCCGCGGCTCTGCCGCCCGCCATTCCCACCCCACCCCACCGCATCATCATCGAATGCCCTCATACTATCTCACCCCAACCGCGGACTCCGAGAACCCATTTTAACGTTCCCACTGTCTACCGGCGGACACGAGCTTTTAGCGTCGACTGCGGGTCGCAATTGCCACCATTCTCCGGTCCGCCGTCGCTTGGCGAAAAAGTGCATGTCATGCCATCGGTAGCCCCCCAGTCATGGTGTCGCCCCGCCCATCGGCCGGCGCGTCTTCGCGGTCCGGCTTCCGACGATGACCGCCCCAACTGCCGTACGCTAGGCATAGCGCGCCCGCCGCTCTGGCGATTACCAATGTGCCCAATCGCCCAACCATCCATGCCCGCCCTGCTTCTTCGCTCATCAATTGAGATTCTGCCGAAATGAGGTGCGGCATGGATGCCTTCTGCACGCTGACTCAGAAGGAAAAATTCATCAACCTTGTCTTCCACCGCGTCCTCCGTTCAAGGAGCAGCAGGAAAAGCCCGAGATTTGACGGGTGCGTATCTTCTCCAGAGGGTAATTCATCTCGAATGCGCTTATCAGAAACGAGAACCTTGCTTTGCTCCATGTCAGACGAGGTGCCCTTAATCATTGTGGTATTCCCTCTTTTTCACCGATCGGTGAAAGAAGAATCGCCGGCCTCGCCTGTTGTCGCCGCATCGCCCCCGTGCTCCTGCATATGTAGTGCCCCTCTCCACTGTTCTGGAATCTCTTTCTCCGCCCCGCCAAGCCTCTTGACGTGCCCACCCCATCACGACATCACGCTGTCCACTCATCACAACTCCGCTCCGAGATTCGTCCCGCCTTTTGCCTCGCTTACTCGCCAGACCTTCCTTGTCCTTAGTGGTGACTTAATCAATGCTTCACAGACTACTATCCACACGGAAATTCGTCGGAGCGCCGATGGGATAACAGCTGTCTGTCGTGGCGCCATCCTCCCACCATCTCTCGCCCATCTACCGCCCCAAAAAAAGGTACCGGAACAGACGGAGTAAATAAGACAGCCAACAACATCCTGCGATCACACGCGTAGGTTTCTTCTTGTTGTCAAGCAAAAACACCTCACGCAACCCATGGCCGCTCTCTCATTGGCCGTCCCACTTCCCCCGGTCTATCCCGATATCCCCATTAAGCATGTTACTCCAACCCAAAATCCATCACCTTTCTACTTCGGGCCAAGCTGGGTGCCGAGGGAGTGGGTGTTGGGCTGCTGCCGGCTGCCCGCAAGGTTAAAGGTGTTAAAGTTGTTCCTGCCGCCGCCGCCGACCCTGCAGCGGGATCGTCCGCAAACCTACAGGAGGAAGGTGTAGGGCTGCATCGAGTGTAAAATAGCCTATGCTTGCGCGCGTCCTTGCAGCCGGCGGCTAGCGCGAAGTCTATGTGTTTTTAACGCACACGGGGATTGATGCGCCGGTTCGTCTTCGAGTGATCGGCTGGACATGTCGGACGTTGTTGCGTCCGACGGTTAAAGTGGAACGATGTTCTTCTTGAGCAGGATGCGGTATTTGTTCATTTGGTCATTTCGCGTTACTATGTTTAGGAGACTTGTTATAACCTATGGAGATTGCGGTGCCCATCTTCAATGATTGTGCTAGTAACAAAAGAAAAGGGAACAGCCTCAAACAAGATGAAAGTTCTCAATCGGGACATTCTGTCGGAGCTTCTCGTCAACCACACCACTATGCATTCGACCATGGACAAAACACTCCCCAATGAATTCCCATTCCTGTCCCTCCGCCTGACCAGGCAGCGGGACTGACTGCTTTGGTCGCAAGATGAATGGCACCTTCCCACCAAACAAAACAACGATGACGTCGCCCGGTTCGGTCTCTGGCGGACAGAGGCCCAACCATTCGTCCGACATGAAAAGCGTCTTTCCGCGGAGAGGGACGTTACCTAGGAAGCCATTGAGTGGATGCCATGTACCCTTTTCTGCCGCCAGCGGCTCCATGAACTTTCGGACCGAGGGCGGTAGGGACTGCAGCCCTGGGTCGTGCTGTTTCCAATATACCGCCAGCCGATGAGCTATCTCTTCTTCCTCCCAAATTCTTCCTTTGACGGGCTCCGAAGTCCTCAACATGATGGTCTCCAAGAAATCCCTGAACATCGCTTCTTCGTCTCCTTTATAAACGCTTTCGGAATGGCCGAGCCAGACGTAATACGGCTCTCCCTTCACACGAACCCGGCGTGATTTTACCAGTTCCCACAGGACATTGAGCGGGCAGCGAAAATCGTTATTAGTCCGGTAATCGAAGACGTAGAATTCCACACGGGGACCTTCATCCATCATTTTAGTTGATAAGACACCACTATTGATGGATTTCACAGTGCCTACACGTATGCCTTTCAAGGTAAGCGTACGGAGGCTACCGCTTTGCAAAGCGACAACATCGACATCTTTTTTGCTCGAAACGTCGAAGGGATGCTTCCCGAGGGCGATGTTCTGGCATATTTTGGATGACTTTGCTCTGTGCCAAAGCGCCCACGACGGACGGTCGGCGTCATGGCCACTATCCGGATGTACGGGGCAGCGATAGGTAGGACAGAAATGGCCCGTTGTTTCTCCCACGACGCTGAGGACGTCCAAATTTCTGCATTGCTCGATGCACCACAGGGTGAAATCGCAATACACTTCGCTGATCGGCTTCGCGTAGTCGATGGCCAGTCTTGCTGGTATGACGAGATGGGGTGAAGAGGAATCACTTTGGCTCATGTCTCTAGCTAGACCCAATAGAGCAAAAAGCTTGTCTCGAGGGTCAGTAGCGTCGAAACCGTTGCAGGTTTTGCGAAAAAGTTCAATCAGAGTCATCAGTCCACCACTTTCAGACTCGCCGCCATTGCGCTGTTGTGAAATGGCGGATAGGTCCTTCCAGGCTGGAGGAATGTAGCCGCAAGAGGATCCATGGAACCCGTCGGCGGAAACAGCGTTGTCGAAAATGGAAAAATGATTGGCGAGTAGGACAATATCTAAGTCGACCAAGTGATTCGGGCCAGCGTAGATGTACACCGGCCCTCGTGCGCGAAATACTTCTTGCAATACCCAAATCCGTTTGAACCAAGGCTGCCTCAACACATGGGAAAAAGCGGACACAAAGTCGGCAAGACGGTAATCGACATCGCCGTAGGTTATTTTCAGGCCATGTATCTTTTCTATTGCGGCGAGACTGGCGTTACTGTCGAGGTGAGACGTTGTTGGCCCCAGTACTTGATGCACGACTTCCTCGAAGTTTTGCATCTTTCTGATCCCGGATGGGATTTCCTCACCATCGCCAATCCATATCCAGACATACCCAGCATTTGCGTATATCCGGTCCATCATGCTGACTTGGTGTGCACGCTCCTCGTTGTCGCCTTGGTTGATGCAGAGTGCGTCGACCCAGAGCCATGCGCTCAGAGAGGGCACCTGTTGCGCCCGTAAGGTCCTCCGGATACTCTTGAGTGCATTAAAAAGATTCTCAGTCACCCGGAATGGGTTGAAAGCTCCAAAGAGGGTTTCACCGTCTGGGCTTTTTCGAGAATTACAGAATGTAATGCCTTTTTGTTTTCCCATATCTCCCCAGCAGTATGACAGTGCCATATAGGACATTTTTGAGTCGATAATGGTCGTTTTGGTAATGAGACAGCTCAATGGCTCGTCATAGTCCTGGGAAGGCATAATCGAAAGCAAACGTATCTCCTTGGCATCCCTGTCCAAGGGCTCGTAGTCGGCGTAATGCTCGTTTCGCAGTCTTCTCGCGGTGGTGCTGGCAGCATCCTCAATGACTTGGTCCCCTTTCACGAATCCGTCCACATTCTGGTTAAAGACAAATTGTGGAGTGAGATAATAGTTAGTCATTTTTCCTGCTGCTTGACATGGCATGCAGACGAGTTGCTGGCAGTTCGTACACGCGGAGAATTGATGCGACAGTGGGAGACCACAAGACGCACAAGGGTCCGAAGGCACCGCGGAACTCTTGAGCGCGAGTATTTTGGAGTTCAGTCCAGCCCTATCTTCCAGTTGAGGTTTCCCACTTGCATTGTCTTGTGACCTGCTCTCTTCAATGGACCATCGAAATCCATGCTTTTCAAACACCTCCTCATCGCTCAGGCCGGCATCGATGAATGTTCCAATGCTTCCAAAGAAGGCATCTTCGCTCGACTTGGATACACGCCCCGGGTCATAGCGACGAGGCAGCCAATTTCGGAAACTAACGAGGCTTGGTTCCTAAGGAGTTTCCACCGATTTTCAGCACCTCCTTAAACGTTTCATTAGATTGAGTGGTACCTTACTGCAACGGTGACCTCAACTCTTGCATGTTTCACATGATTCGTCTGATTAGGAGACTGTAAGGCGTCAGGAATGGACATACAATCAGCTTTCGGGTAAATAAGAGGTCACAAACGACTAACCTTTGCTCGCGCCCAGATCATGAATCGATCTCCTTCTTTCAGTGTGTCGATGAACTTTGCACCAGGAATTTTATCGGTATCCGAAGCCGAGCCTGCGTTCCAAAGAATCTCGTGCGTCTCCTAGTGGGCCGAAATGGAGTTCATGCAAATCCGGAACACGCCATCGCATGGTACGTTGTCGACCAATTTCCATCTCTGTTGTTCGAATTTTTCCGCGAGGTCAGACGGTTTGCTACAGCACGTGGTGTCCGTCACGAGGTGGGGTGATGGCCATCCGGAATTTCCATCATCTTCTGCAGAGCCAATGTGGCGTAAAATGGTAGCGTCAAACCAAGTACTTGATACCTCGGCATTCGTCATTGTGAACCCTTGGCCATGGCTCACGATGGAAAATTTGATGGCTGATATCTTCGCGGGCACAGGGTGCGACAGGAGGTACAGCTTTGTGGCTCGGGCGGCAGATGTGGCGTGGACTGTCAATACACGTGAGCTATAGCTGTGTACGAAGCTCTGGAAGTCTTCCGGGCTGTCCATGTGTATTGTCCGAAAGTGGTTTGTGGTAACTGCAAGTGCAAGATTCAATGACTACTTGATACGTTGATGCGGCTGGTCTAGGCGCAAAGCTGAGGAGGTGAACGGGTGATGTGTTGAGCTACCCGAATGAAAGCGCTAAATACCCTTTGCCTGCCAACAACGTCAAGAACTTCGTTTTGGACTCGGACTCAGCCGTTAGAGCTGTCAAGTCATAAAGCGGGGAAGAAATATTCACGTGAGCGCAGGGTTTCATACTCTGCGACCGGGACAGGCCAGCTAGCCAACCACTCGATGTTATCTTACGACGCTGATATCATGTCGCTTTCGGCCGCAGGGGGTCGTCGAACAGCCTTGAGGAGATAGTGATAGTACCACATCGTAAATAGATATTCTATTCATTCACTTTATTACAGTCTATTGTTACTGCGAATAAATTTTCCCCAGCCAGCATGCAACTAAGAATGGTCAGGTCTCCGAGAAATAAATAAATGAACATAAGCTATTCGCTCATCTGCACATTTTGACTCCCACTCTCGCTTCGCTTCTTCAAACTGTATTAGTGGGGATGTGGGCCTGGTTGAGTTTGCGCTGCCTTTTTGTATGAGGCTGAATGTGTTGTCAAGAGCGGTGTCAGGATCATCGAAAATTTTTCCGCAATCCGTATTTCGCAGTCCCATTTCAACATTTGGCGCGTCTTTGGACTTTACGTATATATATCCAACGCCACGGCAGACGGTAAGTTTATAACCATCTACATCGTTGAATTACCTCCTCAAAGTTCCCTACTTCCTTACTTTGTCGATATTTCCACCCTGAACTACGTCCATCATGGCTGAGGCCTTTGGGGTTGCGGCATCCGCAATCGCCGTAGCAGAACTGGGATTCAAGCTCACCAAAAACATCGCTGGCTATCTGAATGACGTCTCAACAGCAAGACAGCAGCTTGAAGGAATTACCAGCAATGTCGACATTACGGCGCAAACAATTGAGCAGGTCGGCTCTGTATTCAACAACCAAGACTTCATTGCTTCAGCCAAACCGCGTGCTATGGAAATTGCCATGAAAGCTATCCAGATATGCAAAAAGTCATTTGAAGAGATTGGAGAGGAAATCGAGAAGGCACAGAAGTTCTACGGCTTTGTTTTCCCGTTAAAGGTTAAAAGCTTGAAAAGGCTCGGTGACGTTCTGGAAAGCTACAAAAGTACTTTGATGTTGCTGATGCTTATTTTGCAACATTCAAAGGAAATGCGTACAGATCAGGAGCTGAGAGCAAAGGCCAAAGAGTACTTGCGCCTGAAATCCGAAGCAGAAAGTCGTATAAGAGAGGCAGCACGAGAAGAGGAGGCTGGACTTGCCGAAGAGGTGTCGGGTGAGGATCGCGGCATTCCTCTTACGTGCCAGGAGTCTAACAAGAGCTCAAGAGAGACGAAGGCAGAATCCGACCAAATTGACACGACGTCAGCAAAAGACAGTGGGAAATCTCCTACAACCCCGGAATACCTGCAAACTTTCACAATTCCCACCGCCCCTGGCCCCGGCAACAATCACTTATTCCTGGCCGCGATAAAGGAAGATACGCCTGCAGACAGAGATGCAACTACCCCGACGTCGCAGCATGTGACAGAAGCCCAGCTCGCAGATTGTATCGAAAGTCTCAACTACATGATTTGCAAGATTGAGCTCCTTCAGCAGGCCCTGCCAACAATTTCCTCCATCTCCAAGTGCCTGGAAGACAATAGGATCCCAGAAGCCGCCTCGAATGTGAAGAAGAAGCTCGACGCCATCGTGAACAGCTCCAAGCAACAGCAAGAGACCGAACCATCCACTGAGGACACCAAAACGGACCACAGTGAGCTGATTGGCAGAGGCACACACATCAAGACGGCTCTGAGGTGGTTGCAGAGTCACTTAATACACCGGGGCTCTTCTGTGAACAAGCCTGCGTCGGGTGCGAGCCATTCGAGATACGACATCGCCGTCCCTTTCACTGCTGCCACTAATGGCACGCTAAATGATGTCAGATCTGATACTCGCAACGACGAGACTACCGGTCACGGAACGACCCCCCACGCTATACTGGAATCCTCCATAAATGTCGCATCGAGCTACAAAAAACTCAGTGCTCCCACAGAGCCGGGGATGTACTATTATACGCCCGCGAAAATTGGATCCTCCCAGAAGAAGAATTCTATTGTCTCCTTGAAGCATTCTACCGGAGGGGAAATAGATGCTTTGCTTAAGGAGTGGACAACTGTGTACGATTGAAACACTGTATAATACTGTCCTTTCCATTAGGTTTCGAAGTAGTCTATTGAGTCAAAAACGTCAAAGGGGTTCATCTTGATAAATTCTTAGACTCCTCGATCCAGAGTGTACACGGGCTCAGAGTGATGCACAAGTGCCCCGATAGCTACACCATCAGAGTTCAGAATTACGGAATCTCGATCTCTACCATCAGAATTCAACAATTTTCTGCCACTCCTGCCTCCCTTTAGGTAGAGTCAACTCTCAAAACCAAGGCTTTCGCCGATAGTAGTGGGGCAGGCACTGTTGGGCAACCGTTTCGAATCTTCTACAGATTAAATTGCTTTTCTTTAAAGTTGTACAAGCTCCTCAAGATACACTTAAGTTGTATCTGCCGTAGTTAGCGAGCTCAATCGTAGCAACCCAAGCGAACCTTGCTATGCTACTTAACCCTCTCGACAAGCTCGACAAACGTAACTCAGACTCCTATGCTACAAGACAACACTCATCAGTGATATTCTGCAAGAGACTCGATTTCGGAGTGCATTAACGGATTTTTCACCATTGCATTGTCCCTGTTATACACCACGAAGGGTTCCAAGAGCGGGATTGAATTGACCTCAAGTTCCAGAATTCCAATTGGGGACAAAGTAAGACTTGACGAAATTAAAAGCACGCCATTCGCGTTGCTCTTTTGCAGCGTGTAGAAAGTCATCGATTGGGTTGATGAGCCTCTCGACCAGTCTGACCCATCCGGGCTCAGCTCCTAGAGTCCACTGTGATACTCCACTTGAGACGATGAGAACACCGAGCGCTTGCACGACAGATACGCCATGAGAAATGAAAATCCGGCATAGGTCTTCTTTTTCGCAAAGTATTGCAAGCGGCAGGGCATTGTGTCGATTCCGGTCCAATAAATTCGGGTCGGCTCCATAGTCCAGCAGAAGGCGGCACGTGCTCATTTGGCCATTTCGCACCGCCTCTGATAGTAGCGTATAGTCCACTAAGCCATTGGGGTTCATGCCGTGCGCGTACGCTGTCACAAGCACTGCATCCATTCCTCCTGCGGCGGCCAGGTACGCTGCAGGCCAAGGGCAGGTCACGAAACGTGTATCGATCACGTCAGGGATCCTGGATAGAAGCTCAAGAGCGAAATTTTCTTGTCTGGCCCGTAGAGCGACGTCGAGTGGGGTATGTCCAGCCCGGTCTTTATGCTGGAGGTAGTGCTTTGGTGCTTTTTCAAGCACGACGCCGATTATCTCAGGTTTTCCAACGAGGGCAGCTAAGTGCAACAGCGACGAGCTATGCTGTGGCCACTCCGGAGGCGCAAATTCAGATTTGGCAGGTATAAATTTAGTCCGATATTCTTGCCAAAGTGCATTGTAGGGTGAGGGTGATGGATGGTCGCGCCATGAACTGCGATGATCTGAGTTTAAACCTGTCCCTCGCAAATAGGCCCATTTGTTGAATAACAATTTTTCTTCTGGCCAATCAAAAGTGTCGAGTAAATCTCCTGACAAGATTTCGTGTCGTGAAATTCGATGAAGGTGATAAGGAAGAAATGAAAATGAGTATTCCAGAAGTGGTTTTGAGTAGCGGTGATAGCGATTGTAGGTATCAGGTGTAGTAGTCATAATCTCTTCCAGCTTGAGGTACTTGACGCAAGACTTCAAGATGTAGTAGTGGCCGCTTTGCAACGGGTCACTATGGGCAGACTCATGTAGCTCACTGAGGCCATATCCAAGCAGATAGTCAAGAACTGTCTGGTGGATCGGTTGTAGGACAGCTTCCCAACCATTGTACCGAAACTCGACCAACCCTCTGGAGAGATGTTTGACAACCTCCACCATGTCATCTTTGTTGCGTGTGAAATGCTCGCTGTTAACGTATTCGCATTCTGATTTGAAGCACATTTCGGCATCAATAGCCAAGAAATGCTGGACTTCCTTCAGTGTCAGTGGTCGAGCAGCGAAACACATCCACTGGAACAGCTTTAGAATCTGTTTTCGTTCTTCGGGGTCTTCGTCGGGCTCTGAAGCCAAGAGCAAGTTGCTATAAAGATGTTCCAGCTCTTTCGGTGTCTTCTTGATAGTTTCGAGGATGTACTCAATTGGTTTCCGCCGTTTGCTCAGAGAAAATACTCTGTCGGTCGTCAGGCATGCCCACTGGAATACTCCTTGGGATTTCCGTAATATTGCATGCTCGAAAGTCCGTCTTTCTTTTTGCTTGAATTGCTGAAGACGTTTTCCGACGACCACCTCAATATCGCCTTGGTTGTGATCTTCCATTTTGATGCTTAGGCCAGCTTCAAGCGTAAGAATCGGGTAATGCCTGCACGAGAAACAAATCTTGAGCACGCCACCAGCATGTTGAGCAGCGACCAAAACTTTCTCGAACTGCGTAATGAGCTTGAGAGCACTCTCTTCTCCAGACTCATCAAGAGCATCAACAAGGATATAGAGGTGATGCTTCGCAGAGACAACCGGTACCATCTCAGCGAAAAAGCGATAAAGCTCATCAACACTCCAGTTCCAGGCTCCTTTCTGAGCCCTTTCTTTCTGATTGAAGCTCTCTGTCAATCTCGAAAGGTATTCTGGAAAGTAGGGGAGAATTTGATTGAGCAATGCGCGGTACAAAGCGAGCAGTGTGGTCAGGGATTTGTCGCCTCTTCCGTTGAAGAAGAACGTTGCCAACACCTGTCGGTCATCCCTCTGGTTTTCGAGAGACTGAAAAATGTGCTTCATCATGGTTGATTTGCCTGAACCTGGCTTTCCGCGGATCCAGAGCAGTTGGCGTGGGTTCTGGGACCAATTACGGAACGTTTCGTGACAGAAGATCCAGTCACAGGTGCCCTCTGCGCTTTCGACACCATCATTGTGCCAGTCCTGATCTTGAAATGCTAGAGATCTCAAGCAGGCTGGAGCCATGTCAGTCAGATACCCTAAGTCAATGCTCACTCTAAGAGAACTCACCCAAGTCCTTTGTCGGTAATGATACTGTAAAATCTGTTGGGTGATCATATTAGCATCGTCTCTAACAAAGAGGAATTTCGAAGTCGCACTTTCTTGCTGAAACCCAGCATCGCTGCTCAGTTTCCTGATTTGCACAAGCGCAGCCCGGTAATTTGAATCTTCTACACTACTGAACTTGACCATATCGGAATGGTCACGATCTATCGGATGATAGTTGTTGCTTCCAATAGTGGCTGATGCAAAATCAACGAGCAATTCCTCTGGTCCCTGCATCTTCCAGAAGGCCCCGATCTATATCTCAGATTAGCAAAAGCCACGCTCAGCATATTTGAAGGATTACCTTGCAGGCAGTACGGGATAATCTTGTCTCGTAAAAGCTGGTAACCTGAATTTGTTTCGGCTCAAAGGCCTTTCGAAACTCGTCTTGATGGCGCCGAAGTAGTGCTGAATTTCTCCCCAGGGTCTCAAGCAAGCCGCGATTAGGTTGATCTCCAACCATAGGAACTAAGGATGCCGTTGCCATGCCAAGGTTTGGTACACCGAAGAATACAAATCCATGCGTTGCATTCAGAACTTTGGCGTACGCGTAATCCTTCATGTGGATGAAAGCCTTTTCTCCAATCAATATAATTGTCTGAAAGAGAAAATTTTCATGTGGGCAGTTGAAGTCGATGTCTAGATGTACTTTCGTGACTCAAAGCACATCTACGTCGAAAACTTCATTCAACTACTCACGTGGGAGGGGTACAGCGTCAAAAAGCACATGATCTGTCAATTCACTAACCTCTTTGATGACAAGACCGCCAAGGCTATGTCCAATGAATAAAAGAGACCTCGAGTGGCGCATCCTCTGAATGGTGTAAGTGTTAGCATATCATTTATCGAGACGTTCATAGAAACATACATCCTTGCTGAGGAGATCCATTAGGGCAGTGCGTAAACCAAAGCCCAGATCCGTAAGATTCTGAGCAGAAGAGCTTCCCTGCAACTGCGTGTCATAGCCGTATATGAACACTCGAGTATCCGGTAGATCCTTCGGCAACCCATCTCGAAGCCACATGAATGACCCTCCACGTTGCTTGAATGAACCAAAAGCATGACCGCTGAGACCAGAAATGGCGATGATGCTATGCATTTAATTAGCGAAGCCATACTTGGCTGCCGAAGTAGAGGTCCTTATCCACTCACTCCGTAGTACCTCCATCCTCGTCGCACTCATGCAATGGTGTGAATCCCTGAAAGTGGGTGTCCAAATGCAAGGTGAATCTCTCCTTTTCCCTGAGCTCCGCTTCCAACTGCCACTCGAACCCGTTGTTGCCAACCGTTGCGACATTGAGCAGAAGACTCCTTGCCTCTGACAAAGTCACCGTAGCAACCTTCTCATCAGCCCGATAAGGACTCCGCGCCAGCGAACCAACCTCCACGGTAAAATCGCCGTCTTGTTGAAATGCTGTCCTCAAGAGGTCCGGGATATCCTTCTTCCCGTACTTCTCCGGTATGCGTCTCAGCCTGAACACGGTGTCTGGGCGGAGCGCGCTAATGATTCGAGACTCCTCACGTGGCCCAGACCGACGGGCGCCTTCACCGGTGGTTGTCGTGAGCTTTGTCCGTTTGGCTGGCCGTGGCGACATCTTTATCCGAGTGGGATGCAAGCCCCATCAGGGCTTTGGCATGCTTGGGCATGTGTCGGGGACCGCTTTCTGGGAGTTGTAGCGAAGATGGAGGTGGAAGCTTCTGTGCGACAGAATACAAGGCAGCCGTCAGCCGCCGAGACGTTGTTGCAGTGGGGGCGCACACATCCACCAATGGTGTGTAGCTTCCAATGCATAATCCCTGTTCGGTCTATCATCGAGCCCCTCAATTGCGAACGAGGGTAGCTGTAGATCATACTCTATCCAAAGAATACGGGACTATCAAATTGCCAAAAAAAAAAAAGACATTACCATTCATTAAAAGTCGTGACAAGCTCTAATCTTTAAATCTATACCCCTCCTCTCCTCCCCCTCCCCACCCCTCCTCTTTTCTTTTCTCCCTTACCCAACCTCAACCCACCTCAATTCTTCACAAACCGCACAACCCCCTTCTCATCCGCCCCCAACCTCGCCTGCATCGTCCTTGTCACGACGCTCACCCTCCCCTTCCCCCTCCCCTTCCGCCACTCCTCCTCGCGCCACTCGCCCCTTGGCGGGCTGAGCAGCAGCAGCGGCAGGCTGCTCGCCTTCCACATGACCTTCTCGCGGCCCTTCAGGTGCGTCAGCACGACGCAGACGACCAACAACACCACGCCGCAGGCCATGATGAGGGCCGGCAGGGCGAACCAAGGCCAGGAGACGGCGATGAAGGTCTGGTAGGCGAGCGGGGTGCCGAAGGCGAGGGAGGAGTTGGTTGCGGGGGAGGTTGTTGAGTTCGATGTCGAGGAGGAGGAGGAAGTGGAACGGATGAGGTTGGAGAAGGACGCGGCAAGGGTGTTGAAGGCGGTGGCGATGTCGGTTTGCCAGTAGAGGGCGGTGGTGGGGGAGTTGTTGGCGGCAGTGATTTGGGCGGCTTCGTCGGTGTCGGTGGGGCTGGTGCGGTTGGTGCTGAGGGTGATGTTGAAGTCGGCGGAGAGGATTTGGGCGAAGGGGGAGGTGGTGTCGTTGGTGAGGGCGATGGTGAAGGTCGAGGTCGAGTTGGAGTCGGCGCTGGAGGAGTTGGTGGATGAGTTGGTTGCTTGGAATTCCTGGCAGGTGGAGCTCGACCAGCAGTCGCTGGAGGAGCTGGCCGTGAGTTCTACGTCGCGGGGTTCGGCGTTCATGAGTTGGCCGTTTCTCTGTAAGATTGTAGGTGGTTAGTTGGCTTTGCTTTTGTAAGTGTTGTGGGTGACTTTTTGAGCCGGTTTCGTCCAAGAAAGTGCTCCAACACGCATCAAACTCCCCCTCTTACACAATTCACCAACACAACTCCGCAGCAATCAAAGATGAAAACGAAAAACAAGAAAAAAAAAAGCATCCAACTTACCACTTCAACATCCTCATAAACCTTCGCACACCACCTAACCGCGCACGCCGTAACATTCCACTTCGGACTGGCCAGCGTATCCGCATCCCACGCCTGTCCACCCTCCTCGACCCCAACATCCAACTGCGCCACCGCGAACTCGAACAACCGCGGATCCTTGACACCGGCCGGATACGCCTCACCCGCGACGCTCCGGACGAGCGTGTACAGCTGGCCGAGCGGCTCGTCGTGCAGGGCGTTGCCGGCCAGGGCGCCGGAGCGAGGCTGCTCGACGAACGAGCCGTTCTGCAGGACGAGGGTGAGGTTGTGGTAGTCGGCCAGCGTGTACGTCAGCTGCGGGCACGCATTCTGCTCGCCGTCGGCCGCGGTCGACGCGTTCGCGCACGTCGGCGTGACGGAGCTGGAGAGGTCCTCGCACGTGGAGCACAGGCCCAGCGAGGCGAAGGCGTCCCAGGTGCAGTTGCCGGTCGGGCAGCCGAAGGCAGGCTGTTGCTCTTCAACCCCCAGAAGGGCGCTGAATATGGTTTTGCGCAAATTTGCTGTAAGGTGAAGTCTGATTAGCTGGGTTCCACGGGCCGCGCGTTTCACTTCAACGGTTTAAACCACATGGCAGCGTCTTACCGGAGCTGAGGACCCCACTGTCCGCCTCCAGCGCCTGGGCAGCAGGGAACCAGGTGTCGTTCGCCGCGACGGCGAGCGGGGCGATGCGCGACGGAAACGAGAGGATCTGCTGGGCGAAGGGATCGACGGCCAGCGCGACGACGACGACCAGCGCAGCGAACGACGCGATCAACGCCTTCGCCTGCATGCGAAACAGGAGCTTGACGCTGCCGATGGGCCCGCGCGCGGCGCCGTCAAAGAGGTCGAGGTCGGCCAGCTCGCGCGGCTTGCGGTCGGCCGGCTGGAAGTACAGCCAGCGCAGCTGGCCGATGCACTCAGCCACGACAGCCAGCATGAGGAAGCGGGCGATAGTAATAAAAGTCGACACCATGGCGTTCGGCGAGATGGACGGTCCCCAGTCGGCCAGCTTCTTGCCGTCGGCGTCGACGAAGATCCAGATGACGACGCCGAAGGCACCCAGCGCCAGCAGCACGCACACGATCTCCCCGATCCACCACTCGTTCCACTGGTCGAGGAAATGGATCCATCCGGGCGGCGGCAGCTTTTTCTTAGACGATGGCCCCCGGTTGTACTCGGGGTCCTCGGCGATCGACTCGTAGGGCGGGATGTTGGGGTTGCCGTCGAAGTGCTCGATGGCCCGCGACGTGCGTGTTGTGCTCATCGACGTGCGCCCCGACGGCGCCGCCATGGCGTTCATAACCGACGAGCTGGCTTCTTTCAGGGCATTTCCGCCGCCGAACATCTGGTCGCGCTCCGTCGCCATCGAGCTGCGCCGCGGGTCGCCCTGCAGCGTTGTTGCGTCGTCAATGTTGTTGTTGACCGGTCCATAGCCATCGCGGTTGTCCATCGTATATCGGGCTATTAGGGGGAGGGACGGCGGCGGCAGCAGGCCAGAGCTCTGTCTCTCTCTGGCTAGAGATTGCAATTGAACGTTGCGGGTGAGAAATGCTTATAATAATACGCACTGCTCAGATATAAACAGATCCTCTTGCGGCGCAGATGCTGGATCTGGCAGATGGGACCCATTCTGCGCACGTCCAATGAGCTCCATCACTGCTTGCCAAGCTGCTCTTCGTCCAATCGTCTTTTATGCCGCGTCAGGGAAATGTATGATCTTCACCACGGACCCAGAAAATTGTGGGGGCTGCTAGTTGTTCAACGGTGTCGTGGCGCATGCTTCTGGAAGAGAGCGCTTCGCACTGACAACGCTTTGAATCGTACGTTGATGGAACAAACCGCACCGCCTCGTCCCGCCGCCCGAACCGCGACGCAGCATACATGAGTCACCTGAGACGCCTTGCAGTCATGATTTTGTTGTTGCTCGATTCCTACGACGAATAGTGTTTATCCCTGCTGGTCCCTCGCCTCGTTCCGTTTTCCGTTTAAGGGGGATCCGGTCAACCTAATACATACTCCCGCCCGACCAGCAGTCCAAAAGTCCGGTATTGAAAAAGAAAAAGAGAATCCGCAAATTCGCCTTTCGCGCCCACTTCGCTTGCCTATCAAAGCGCCGGCGATCTTGATGGGTAACCTTTAGGAGAAATAGTACAGAAAAGAAGCCAACAGGAATTATTAAAAAGCCGGCTGCCCAGTCTTGCATTTTCAGTATGCAGCTAGCTCGCCATGTGCTCGTGTCCTCCTTCGCCAATGTCCTGATCGGTGCGGTGCTCTTGGGACGCACCCTCTTCTCGGCGGGATGTGGACAGGAGCGACCGATGCCCATGCGGCCATCTCGTCAGCCATGGCAGCTTTAAAGCCAGTAACCAATGCGAAGGCACTCATCCAACGCATGCGTGTGCTTGAGATAGTATTTCCTTGTTATGCCTCCTGTATGGCACACTTACGACGGCCTCCTCTCCGGCTTGGGCTTCCTGGGTCCTCCCTTCAGGGACTTCATGCGCGTGAGGAAACCGCTGGGCTTGGGCTCATCGGCTGGGCCTGCCTCGCCGGTGGGCAATCTCTCCAGGTTCGGCCGTCCAGGGGAGCTCGGTGCCCGAGCGCGACCGACCGAAGCGCCCTTCTCATCGTAATCATCGAAGAACGGGTTCTTCTCCTGCAGCTTGCCCCTGCCTCCTGCGCTCTGGGGACCACCCAACGGCGAGCTCTGGCCGTTCACGGGCGGGGGCGGGGGCGGGCGGCGGGATTCGTAGTCAACACCGGGAGACACCACACGTCCTCCGTAATCGCGACGGGGCTGCGAAATGCCGCGGATCCTCTGGGCGAGAGACTTCTTGCGTGCAAGGCCACCGCCACCCATTCCCATCTCCTGCTCCGAGTCGCGCCTCTCCATGTCCTTTCTGCTTGCAGGGGCACCCTCGAGGAAAGTGCTCGATCCGAGACCGTTAGACTCGTCACCGTGGATAGGCTCGATATCCGACTTGGGGTTGTAGAAGCCTGCCTGACCGGCCGACGGCTTGGGGAGGTCATCGTTGCGTGCGGCCGACGAGAAGTCAGAAAATCCCTCAGCACCGCGACCGTGGAACTGGTCAAGGTTCATGGAAGCGTTAACGGGACCAGAGCCACCCATAACGTTGTTGGCCGAACCCTCGGGGAACGCCTGCATCGGGGCCCGCTGAGATCCCTTCCGGTTACGGTGGGGGTTGCAAGCATCGAAGGGACCATCGTGGTGGAACACTAAGCGTTTTCGTCAGCAAACGGCGACAGGAGGGCCTCAACGAAACTTACTGCTCGGACCGTAGATGCCGGAGACGTCGAGCTTGTCAATGAGATCGAGACCCCTGGGCTTCCTGACTTTGCCGTCCTTGCGGCCGGATTCCCTCTCCTTGCGCTCCCTGTGCCTCCTCTCGCGACGCCGGCGCTCCTCCTCCATCGAGTGCTTGTCCATGATCGAGGACTCGGAGTTGCGACGGGGCCTGCGCGTCTCGCCGCCGCGCTCGGGGCTCTTGAAAATGTCGAGCTCCTCGCGCGGGGGACGGCGGGGAGGAGCCCTGGAGCCGCTGGCGTTGCGGCGGTGATCTTCATCCATCGGGCGGCGCGGCGGACGCCCCGGAGCGGTACCAGATCGCGGCGGGCCGGGCGGACGAGGGAAGGATGTGCCTGGCGGGAGTTAGCGACGCCAATCGGACAGATAGGAACAAACGCGTACCATCAGGACCGGCCTTCTTCTCATCCTTGTCTTGCAGACTCATCTCGGCCTGTGTTTTCGGATAGTCAGCGAACAGCTTGGTGAAGACGGCGAACTTGTCCATGGCGGTGGGCAGCGAGCGAGAGGGCAGGAGGCCAGCGAGGGCGCGGCGTCATTTTGTGCAGAGCAGCGAGTGGGCGGGCAGTTACACAAGCGCCTTTAGAGCGGAGCTTATCTGCGGCGGAAGCAGGGGCGTGGGAAATAGGCTCGGGACGTACAAACAGCTCTTCTGCAGCGGTTGCGTAGCTGGGCTTATCGGTAGCCATGTTGTTGGGTTGGTAGGCTGGGAATTGTGATTGGAACTGGCTTTGCGGCGGCTGGGAGCCCTCGAACTCTGCCAAAAAGGGGTTCCGCGACTGCGGGCGCTGGGCGGTGGTGCGCGGGGTGGGCAGTGAGGGCGACGGCGACGGCAGGCCTTGGGGCGATGCAGCGCGGTTGCGGAAGGGATTGTTGGAAGATAAGTTGAGCGACAGGGCGGGCGAGGGCCGACGCTCTAGTAATGGGAGGCGTAATCAGCGGCGATATGGGGCAAGGATGTTGCGCAAGGAGACGCATGAAACGACGACGGCAGCATAGGTGTGGATGTGTGGGTGGTTTGGCAACAGGGGAACGTACCTGGCACCGAGGGCTGGACGAGCGACATGATTGCCGCCCGATAACTGGCGATTGCGATCGGCTGCTAATAGGACCACTGCCGGCGAGAGATGAGGTGTTGCGTGTGTGCGGGACGCAGCAGCGAGTAGGACGGAGCGGGCAGCTTGCTGTTGCGCGGGCGACGCTTGGGCGCCCAAGAATGCTGAATGATGAAAGGCTGCTCGGATATGATAGCGCAGTGAGATTGAAACAGTGGAGGGGCGTGTCCGGGTGGGTGGTCTGGCGCGGGCTCTGCCTGGGCGGCGAAGGACGTGCAAGAGGGGTTCGCGGAGTCGCAGCGGCCTGTCCGTCTCTTTTAGGTACGCTCTGGCAGCAGCGACGCAGCGAGACCAGCGCCAAGTTTCTCCCCGACCAAATGCTGAGGGCGTGCTGCCAGAGCCGACTAAATTATAGCGAGTCAGCTGCAACCCCGGTGACCCTGGCGATCGAAATGCGCACGCCCAGGCCACTGCCAGGACCAGAACGGCCGAGGCTGGCGCGCCGGTGCCTGGCGCAGCGCGGTGGGCCGCGAGGCAGGCCAGCCAGCCAGCCCGCCCGCCGCCGCCCGCCCGCTTCTCCAGCAGGAGCTGAGTGGCCGCTCGTGAGAGCCAGCAGCAGCCCTGCCAGTGCCCTGCGTGCGGCCCGCAGGAGAGCAGCATCTGGCGTGCTCCCGATCCCGCCAGCCCGAACCGCTGCCAACTTGCGGGGAAAGCGCTGGTCCAGTGCCTGTTTCGGCGTCTTCCCAGCCGTCGTCGGAAATTCGACGACCCTCCCCGCTTCTCCCTGAGGAGCTCCTAGCCACCTGCGAACTAGCCAGCCAGCCGCCACCTCTAGCCCGCCGCCTCTCTCGGAAGCCAGAGGCACGCGTGCCCGCCGCCTCACAACGCACGCCTCCCGCTGCACAACCGCTCTCCCACATGGCCCTGGCCCAGGCACCCGAGGGAGCCGCCCCTGCCCCTGCTGCTGCTGCAGAGCCGCTCTACGGGGGCTACACCCGCTTCGAGTTGGAGCTGGAGGTGAGATTACAAATGCGCGCGACGGGGACGCGCAAAGCTCCAGGCTGACCCACTGCAGTTTGTCCAGTGCCTGGCCAATCCGTGGTACCTGAACCACCTGGCCGTGCAAAAGTACCTGGACAACCCCGATTTCGTCGCGTATCTCGACTACCTGCAGTACTTTGCCCGGCCCCAGTACGCAAAGTACCTCACGTACGTCATCCCTCTGCCGCCCTCTTCCGTGTGGAGCTGACCCGCCGCGCTACAGGCATCCCGGTCCGACGCTGCGCGCGCTGCAACTGCTCCAGCAAGAGCAATTCCGCAAGGAAATCATCATGCCGGACACCGTGGGCCGGATGATTGAAGAGGGCGTCCGAGCCAGCGCCGGCGATCGTCACGGCCGGCCGTGAGATTTGCAATCTCAGATTGAGTCCCGTGAGCACGCCATTATCCCCGCCCAAAGCCCGTGGAATGGTGCTTCTCTTCTCTATCAGCCATTGGCGCCGCATGCGGAAGGTGTCGTGCGAGAGCAGCATTGCATCTCGTGTTGCCGGGGGCATTCTCCATGAGTTCGAGCTTTAATCTGATCTGCGCGACCCCAGCGGCTGCGTCGCGGAGAACGTCCAAAGTGAGGAAGCTTGAACGGAAGCCAAAAACCAAACGCGCATCTTTGCCGACTGCTGATCCCGCGGGACGAGTGCATTCTTCGCGGCTACACAGACGACATGTACCTTTTATCAAATTCCTTTCTAAATCGGCCGTGTGCAATCTTAACGCCCTCTTGGTAACTGTCGTGGCACTTGAATTCACACGTTGCGCGGATCACCCTTCACCGTCTTTTTTCGCGTGCCTGCATTCCTGGTACTGAGCGGTAGTGCGGCGCAGCCAAGTAGGTAGCCCTGCCGCCCATGCATCCTTCTGAGAGCATGAGCCTAAATCGACATCATGATCAAATGATCGCGGTGCCCGCCCATCCCTCGCCAGCCTTACCGCTCAACATAATCGTCGAGAGACATTCAATTCCTCTCCTTCCTTGCTTCAGAATGTTTTGGACGCGCGTCAGGAAAAAAACGGTGGCGGACTTGCATTGGCCGTCCATTGCTCGCGCACGCTTCATCTATTAGCCCCCGCGTAGCTGAGATCAAAGCCAAGACTTACCGCACCAGCTATTAATATCTGTACCGTTCTTTCAACCGGCCAGCCCTCGCACAGTGGCTCGGAAGATTAATCTGAGTAGCCAGTGCGCCACGGCACCTAGGATCTGGACCGGAACCAGCACGAAGAAAGCGCAAGCTTTGGCGCCCATTACCCAAATTGCCGTTTGTCACGCTACCATCCCACATGGGGTTTACCGAAGGATCCAGTAGTACCCAAGCAGAGTACGTACAAGAAACAGCCACTCATGTGACCTGTGGAGAGGGATAGGAGCAGATGGCCACGGCACACGGCTAGTTCGCGAGTCGTGACCTGCAGTGGCGCAGGGCTTCCTTTGTGGCGCTGCTGATTCGCGGCTGGCCGAAGTGCTTTTCACAACCCATGGTTCTCGATACCTTTCGATAGTGTTTTCGCGCGTTCCCCTGAATGTATATGGGAGAGCCCTACCGGTCACAGTGCACGGTCGTGCATCCAGGTCGCTATAGCGACGCCGATAATCTTACGATAGAACCCTCTCCTTTCATCCCGCATTGTCCGAGAAGTGGAGGCGTCATCTTTCGGAGTCAATGTCTCCCGCGAACTGACCTGTCTTAGCTGAAGGACGGTTCTATTGTATCCTGTAGGAGTGAATGGGGGCCATCATTTCTCATCCCGAGCCGTATACCTCACGGCTCAACGGAGCTAACGCTCCTCTCATCCTCCGCAAGGGAGTGTGGAGCAGACTAGCCTTCCAGCCACTAAACTAGCCATAGCTGCCGACCACGCATTCTGGTAACGAGACCCGAGTGTGGTGGCCGCTGACGGCATACGACTCTATTTTTGTTCTTATCACCTCCCTCCCCCCCTTCGACGACGTTGCTGTTAGCAGCTCCACTTGGCGCGATACGAGACAAGCCACATCGTCTCACAATACGTGCTCGCTCGTCAACCAGCTGGGCGTTGAGGCGTGCACCTGTGACGCCAGAGCAGAGCTGAATCATCGGCTCGGCACCGATTGCGTGGTTAAAGAGTCAAGAGAGACACTACCCGGACGATCGCTCTTGAGACGGCGCGATTGCCTTGCTGCGAACCGACCTCGGAATGCTAGCGCGGAGGGATCTTCAAGGCAAGTCGTCCGCATGAAGCGATCATCACACGGCAGTCGAGCTCGCGATGATGCTTTAAATTCGGATTTGCGTTCCCTCTTCGGCCTCGAAACTGCCCATCAATTCTTCCCCCCACAAAAAAAGTGTGCCGTCAAACGCCATGCCCTGTATCAGGACCTGTGAATCGTCGAAAAGTCGTCCAATGCCTGTTTCGCCGTCGCCATGCAGAAATAAACCCGTACCCAAACTCCGTCGACTTTTGTACCGCACACTCCATGTATCCCATCATGCCGTTACTCTCTCCACTGTTTCGCGCACTTGGTGCACTGTGAACAAGTCAGCCTTGCAATCCGTGACCATAAACAAACCGCAGCCCTCAAAATCGAAACCACCATTCATATTAAAACCCCTTCCCCTCAATCATCCCGCAGCGGAACCGTCGGAAGAGGCGGCGAAGAAAAAGGAGACGCACCTTGAAGAACGACGTCATAGGCTCGTCGGCGCTGCGGATCTGGATCTGGTAGAAGTACGCGCGATCTCCGCCGCACTGCATGTTGGGGCACTGGACCTCGGTCTGGTCGACGTTCTCCCACGCGTCCTTACCGCCCAGCACGTCCTCAACCTCCTTGCGCTTCATAGCCTTGCGCTCGTAGTAGCGCCGGTCCAGCACGTACTGGTATGGGCAACTGCGGCACTCGAATCGGTTCTTGCCGCGCAGCGCCGCGTCGGGCGAGTTGTCGGGCACGTTGTCGGGGACACGCGACACGGTCAGCGTGTTGGAGCAGGCGGGGCAGACTGTGCGTGTGCGCGGGTGGTGGTTAGCGTGACACTTTTTTTCTTTTTGGCGCTGTGACTCGAGCGGGAAGCGCGGCTGCTGCCCTCGCATTGAAGGCGCAGTGGAAGAAAAAACGTACAGAGCAACATCGTGAATGCGACAGTCTTTGCTGCCTGGAAAATGGCGTCGAGATCTGAGAGCGCGCGGCGGCGCGAAGAGGTTGGTCGGTGGTACGAAGCAGAAAATGTAGAAGCTTCAGGAAAATAATGTCAAGCCTCCGGCGTCGATCATGGCGGGGGCTGCAGCAAAAGCGGGCGCGGAAAAGATTCCTTGGGGGGTGGGAACTTTGCCTGCAGCAGCGGCTTGAAAGGGTCCAGTCAAGCGCCGTCGCTCGAGCGCCAAGCGGCCAGCCAACCAGACCCTCCGCCTCAGGAAGGGCTCCTGATTCACCTTGGGTTGCTCAGCTCTTGTTACTGCTCTTCACTGACAGTTGCTTCGTATGCATTTTTGAGAGGCTCCAAGAATTTCCCACTTTACGTTTCTGGGAGATCACGATAGTTCATCTCGGAATCTCACTCCTGCCCTTCCTCATCCGTCACCCCTCCTGAGACACCCCGCTACCGTCGCCGCCGCGCTCCGCCGAACGAACAACCGCGCGTCCGTCCTTTCCACGAAACAAGCCACGAACGTCTTTCCCTTCCTTCAGGCGTCCATTCTTCGCTTCCCTGTCCTCCCCCAAAGCTCCCCCTAAGACAACAAATCTCCCCCACCACCGGTCAAATCCGCCGGCGAAGGAAACACAGAACCGAACGGAAAAGCGGCGACCATGTCTGACGACCACGGAGCGTCTCACCGCGAGCTCCTGATGGAGGCTTGCCGGCGCAACAACACGTCGCTGCTAGAGGAGGTGTTGGCGGAGCTGTCGACGGCCGGCGGCGAGAAGGCGACGGAGCACATAGCCAAGACGCTGAATGACGCGCGGGACGGCATCGGAAACGGCGTGCTGCACCTGGCGGCCAGCAACGGAGCCTGTACGTGTGAACAAACCCCCCACCACCAGTTCATTTCCCATTGCACTTCCCTACACAATCCCCGATTCGCATGGATGAGCAGGAACAAGGCAGCCGCTTTGGAGAAATGCTCCGGAGAAAAAACAGGCGAATGAAGCCCCCCCTTTCGTATCCCAGTTCCATGTCTCACATCCGCTTCCATCTTCCTTCCGCACCCTCTCGGTCAAATTCCATATATATATTGTGGCTTGTTCCATGAACACCCGAAAGAGCCCCCTTGCTAATCTTGCATCCCCCCGCGCTCCGAATTTAGACGACGTTCTAGACATCCTGCTCGACCAGGAGGGCCTGGAGATCGACGAGCTGGACCGCATGGAGAAGGACACGCCGCTGCACAAGGCGGTGCGCTTCGTCAACAGCCTGGCCAAGGAAGAGTGGGAGAACGGCGCCCACATCGTCGACATCCTCGTCGACGCCGGCTGCGACCCGCGGATACGCAACAAGGCCAAGCTGCGCCCCTTCGACCTCGTTGACCCCCGCAACACCGAGCTGCGCAAGATGCTGCAGAAGGCCGAGTTCGCCATGATGGCCGGCGGCGACGTCGTCGAGGAGGATGACGACGGCCCCACTGGTAGTGGAAGCGAAAGCGATTAAAAACGGGCAATACACGATATAGCAGTGGGGATGGGTGTGGATCATGACGAACGGGAGGCTTTAGATCCTTTTTTGGATTATCTAAGTGCGGGCGTTGCGGTAGAGTTGATAGATAGCTCTCGGCTTGCACGCGCAGGCGTCGTTAGGACTTTGGGTTCAGGTGTTTATAGGTCACAGAGCAAGGGCACATAGCAAGCGAGGATCAGCAAAAGAAAGCCCATTGAATGTTGCACTCGCCCATTAATGCTGGGGTGATTGTGAATCCGATATCCCTTGAGAAATCCTTATCCGTGATAGAGTCCATGTCTCTCGTGTAACCCATTTAATGTAAAAACCCACAACCGTTAAACGCCGATAGTCTCCGGGGTATCAGGTAGGATGCTCGGTGTAAGATCTAGTTGGCATTAGCGGATGTCCGACTTCTACGGAAGGAGATATTCTTACCGCGCAGCGAACATCTTACTCCTGGCCCTTGCCATCCTGACCCTCCTCCATGTTGACGTCCTCGCGAACAAGCTGCTTGGAGCCCTTGTCCTCAGGAGCCTCCGTGTCGGGGCCCTGCGAGAAGAACTTCATGCTCGTGAACTTGTCCTTCTGGCCGAAGTCCTCGGCCCACTTGGTCGCCATCTTCTTAGCATGCTCAGCCTGCTGCTCCTCGTAGTACTTGTCACTGCGAGTCTGACCACGCTGTAAGTGTAGTTATCCGTCTTCCTAGGAAAATGCGATCGGGAGACATCAAGGTTATTCCTGTACCTGAGGAGCGCGGCCAGCAGCCTGGATCATGGCCTCGATCTGCGCGAGGCGGATCCTCTCGCGCGAGACGCCCATGCCGATGGCGGTGTGCTGCAGCAACTCAGGGTGTCCAACGACCGAGGAGCGGTAGTCGCGCATGTAGTTGGTCTTGAATTCGAAGGGCGACGTGTCGGCGTGACCGGTACCGACGTAGCGAGCCTGGAGCTGCTCGAGCTGCTGCTGGGTGCGGAGCTTGTCGGCCTGCGCGTCGCGCGTCAGCGAGATCTTCTAGCGGCGAAGCTGCGGCGCTTACCATGGTTGTTTTCTTTAAGTAGTGGTGGTAGAGGTTTCGGAAAGTTTGAGTGCGATTGAGAAGCGGGGTTGGTTGTTGCAGCGCAATCGTCGTCGGCGGAAAAGGTGAAGGTGATGGAAGAAGACGACGCGGTGATCGCCGTCGCAGCCCTATGAAGTCGTGGGGCGGGCGCGGTTGATATTCGGCAGAACGCGCGTGCCTGTCGTTCGTTCGCGCGTCTGCGGCCGCGCGCTGCATCGCACGCACTGCACGTTCATCACAGCCTTCTCCACGCTCCCTGCCTGTCAATGCTCCCGGAAAGTCGTCATTGATGTCGCGCTCATACCATCCCTCGTAGGACATTCTCACCACCGCCAAACACGCCAGTCTGTCATTCCAGCATCACATCCACGGGCTAGCCTCCCCGCGCAATCCTTATTCACCCAACCACTTATATCTTCGCCATGCCGGAAATACCAATTACCCCTGGCTCCCCCAACCGCTCCGCAAACGAAGACACTCCCATGGACGATGCGCCATCCATCAATTCCGCCGCGACGCGCCCAGCTGCCGAGGTTCCGTACAACCGCGAATTTGAGGACAGCGTTATGCGCGTCATCTTAGATCCACCGGCCACCAATGATGGTGTTGAATCGCGCGGCCCGCTCCCGGCGTTCCTACTGGGCCGCGACACGGTGCCGCATGAAGAATTGCCCCTGCTGTTGGACGACGCGCGCCGACAGTACAAGTCCATCATCCCGGGGATCAAGCTCACCCATCCCACCGGTGCGTACGAGGGGGGCAATCCGGAGGTAACGGAGGAGGACAAGGCCTGGACCCGGCTGTGGATAGAGCGCAACAATATCAAGACGATGGACGACCTGGAGCGCGCCAAGGTAGTGGCCTATCAAGAAGAGCTGGACGAGATGCGCAGGCGCGCGCAGGCCCGCAAGGAGGCTCTCAACGAGAGGGAAAAGATTGAGAAGGAGCTCAAGGCGCTGAATGACCAGCGCGAGGTCGAGCTCAAGGCTCAGCGCAGCATCATCGAAAAGGCCAAGGCGAAGAAAGAGGAACGCAGGGCGAAGAGGACGAAGCTCGCTGCACCTATCGAAGAGGTGCATTGAGCTTGCCTGTTTATTTCTCGTCTTTTGCTTCTCGCTAATCATTGGCTTTTTATCGTGCCTCAGGCTCTTCGACGAGAAGTTCCGTCGACCGAGCCCAAGGACGATGTCGACATGACCGATGCGGTAACATCAGATATCGCTTCTATATGGAAACGGCCGGCTCGGGATAGTCCTTACTCCACCACTGTCACCGGGACAGATCCACCGACCGCCCCCGCAAGCATGAGAAGATGGATGAACTCATGCTCCAGGCCTCCCCCCGTCGATAATGAGATGCCGGGAACGCAACTCTCGGTCACCACAAGAAATCCACCGACTGCACCTGCTAGCATGAGGGTGGGGAGGTCATCTTCCTACAATGGGCCTTCTTACGGTACCGAGGAGGCTGTCAGTAACGCAACCCGCGGCTATCGGCAAAGTTCTGCTGACCGCTCCTGGCAAGAGAGAAGGGAATCATAATCTCGGAGGACAGAACAGCCAGGAATAGTCGGAAGTTGTGGAACGAAGCGAGGAGAAGGAATCAGGAACTACTTCTCGACGAAGAGGAGTAAAGGGATTTCCAATGAACGAGTTGGACATTCGAACAGGCAATGTGGAGAAACAAGGATGTTGGTCATGAGGAACATATTACTCGTAGATACCCCCAATTTGGAAATGGAATACCGGAGTGGGCTCCATTTTTTCTACAGGCATAACCACTTATGGCTCACAATTGATTAGGCCTGGTCTACGAATCACCCGGTATTGGTGCGCTTACAATTAAAATGCGTGGAAAACGTTGAGGTTTCCCCCTATACGTGAATCGGCTTGTGAGTTCCCCGTCTTCCGTACCCAGATTTTCGGCCTCAACGCCTTGATTTATTACACGCTATCCCATGATCGTCCTTGGCATGACTCTGAAACAATTTGATCGTTAATGCACTACTATCTAGTACCCCGCACATTCCGTGGCTTCCGCAACCGTTAGGCAATGACGTGCCATAGCTCTTTCCCCCTCGGTACAACGCCTTCAATAGTAGACCATAAATAGCAGCCAAGTCTTGACACTTGACTTCCACCTGACATCAACACCAAACCCCACAAGCAAACATGGCTCACCCAACCTACGTCTTCGGCGCCCACCAAATCGGCTCCATGTCCAAAGAGGACATCCAGTCCTTCCTGTCCATTCTAAAAAAGTACGGCGTCCGCAACATCGACACCGCGCGCATTTACACGGACAGCGAGCAGCGCCTCGGCGAAGTCGACGCCGCCATCTCCTTCATCATCGACACCAAAGCGCCGGCCTTCACGCCCCAGTCCCTCACGCGCGCCTCCATCACCGCCGGCCTAACTGAGTCCCTCACGCGCCTCAACACCGACAAGGTCGACATCTACTACCTGCACGGACCCGACGCCGCCACACCCATCGAAGAAACCGTCGACGCCATCCAAGACCTCCACCGGCAGGGCAAATTCGCGCGCTTCGGCCTGTCCAACTTCCTGGCCGCCGACGTGCGCCGCATCCACGCGTACGCAACGCAAAAAGGCGGCGTCGTGCCGAGCGTCTACCAGGGCAACTACAACGCCTTCGCGCGGGCCACCGAGAATGAGCTCTTCCCCGTGCTCCGCGAGCTGGGCATGTCTTTCTACGCGTACTCGCCGCTCGCCGGGGGCTTCTTCGCCAAGGATCCGGACGCGCTGGCGCAGAAGAAGGCGGAGGGAAGGTTCGACGAGGGGGCGAATGTGCACGGCGGCATGTACGGCGCGCTGTACAACAAGCCGGCCATGGTCGAGGCGCTGCGGGAGTGGCGCCGCATCGCGGCCGACGCGGAGGGGGAGACGAGCGTGATGTTGGCGTACCGCTGGGCGGTGTTCCATTCGGCGCTGGATGCGGGAAAGGGGGATGCGATCATCGTGGGGGCGAGCAGGCCGGCGCAGTTGGAGCAGACGCTGAAGGGGTTGGAGGCTGGGCCGTTGAAGAAGGAGACGGTGGAGCGGATTGAGCGGTTGTGGAAGGGTATCGAGAAGGATGCGCCGCTGGATAATTTCAATTCGTTCTTGAAGGGGAAGTTGGAGGCTGGGGCGGCGGCTCGCAGTGGTTGAAGCGGCTTGGATTCGGGTGCAAGAATGCGTTTTTGGGTCGGACGGTTGTGTGCTCGATTCGATGGCGCTGTTGATGTGAGCTTCAGGTGCGTGCCGCCTCACTTGCTCATTGCGGGTGATTGGCAAACCAAATGATGTCGGATTAAGCAGGGTCTCTCAGCATTAGAGTCCAGGGTATTAAATAAGTGCGGGAATAACCTTTTCTTTCAATTCTCATCATACAGTCTCCTTTCACGGCCGATGGCTAGCGTAGATTTGTTTTTTGCTCATGTCATGGGTAGCTGAAGCTATCGTCCGGACAAGAATGTCGAATAAAAAATTCTACATACACGTCCGGACGATAGCTTCAAGTAGCCACGCCAGCACCCCGTAACCCGCCGGTGCGTATCGTGGAGACTACTTCGGGCGGCAAGCTTGTTGTCCACCGGCCCAACAACGGAAACCTGCCGTTCGTCGGCATTCCTATCCCCGACTACTTCTTTCCTTGGCAGAGGATAGACCAGGATGGCAATCTCATCGAGGATGACTCCCCCGGCCGTGGCCGCCTAAGCCACCCGAACGAACAACTCGGCGGAGTTCAGGACGTCCTAGACTCGAGCAGCGGTTTGTGAGTCAGTGGGGGCGAGCTACCATGCGACTCATCCACGTACAGCTACGGGTTCGGGTCGTGGTGTAGGAGCCAGGGCGGGTTTCTCAAGTGTCACTTCCGAACACCCATTTCTTATATCGAAAGTCCTCTGCGAGGATCTCGTATTTCGGAGGGGATGATGGTGATGGCGTCCGGCTGATCAGAGTCGAGGGCCAGAACGTCCTACTGCTCGGAATATTGGTACGGCTCTCTCTGGCGCCAGGTGAGGCGGCGGCGGCGGCGGCCTTCCACGATGTTGGCGGCGTGGACCTCGGAGGCCATGCGGCGCCTGCGAGAAGCTGATGCGGGCGAGGGCGAGGGGGTCTTGGAAGCGAACGAGGAGATCTCCGCAGTAGAGGCTGTTGAGGCGGCGGCCCGCGCTGGGGATGCGGGCATGGTCGGCTTTGCGTGTACGAAGAGGAGTTGGAACCAAATCTCGCGCGTCTTCCACGCTATCATGGATGGCGGATATGCATCATTCATGATGCTCCCCCGCGCCGTCACGGACGTGATTGGCGAGTACGAAGACGGAGACTTGAACAGCTTCATGATCCTCGCCATCATCAAGAACGACGCCGGCGAAGTTGTAGGACGACTTGAGCTTATCAAGAGCTCGGTAAGCTTTCCTGCCTCTTTTCGAGGGCCCCTTCCACTAATTTAACGACTCTTTCCAGGACAACGGCGCGTACCTCGTTAACGAAGACTCCGTCAACAGTCTCATCACTCTCTTCGAGAGCAACAGCGCTCCCAAGGTCGTCTTTGTTGGCTTGATCGATGGACAGGCCAACGTCCTTAGCGTGTGTACACCGTCTGAATACAACTGTTTCACGCGCTAATTTAATCGTAGGTTGTGTACCTCCCCAACGAGGACAAAGTTTAGGGCGTCCGGGACCCTACTCTACGAGCTCTCCATACCGTTTCTTGGCTGCTGTCTTCGCTGGCCGACATTTGTTTGCTCGCTCTGCCGGTCGCTGTTTGGCGTTGCCTGGCGCCAGGATCCCGAAGGTTCTGGAGCCTGGGCGATGCTGTTGAAAAAAGAGGAGGATGGGTTCGTCGACTTGGAGTTTGTCGTGATGATTGTTTACGTCTTTCTTCTCTAGTGTTGTCACTCACCACCACCACCACCGACAACAACACGCTGAGGCCTCCGCCCGTTCGAACCACACATGGACCAAACAAAAAAATGGCAAAAACCTTACTTGCTCGCCTTGTGAGTGGCTCGCTTCAGGAAAAAACCCCCAAGGATTTTTATTACTTATGCTCAATCTTATAACCTTTTCTTTTTTTGACCTAGACCAAGTGAAGTTAGCATGTTCTTTTGATGGCAACTGGAGTAGTTACCACTCTGCCACTGTGGGCGAAAGGAGAGGCTAACTTCTTGATTTATATACCTTAGAGCACCCTCAAGATCTTCCGCCCAGTAATTGCCCGCACGAAAGCCACCGCATGTTTCCGCCTAGACCTGGCATGCCTGAAATGCGCAAATCATGGCCAGCACGATCGACGGACTAAAAAGAAATAGAAGACGAGAACCGACATGCGCTCACGCTGGACGAAGAAAGAAGAAAGCCAAAAAGAAACCAGAAGCACCACCCGACCAAAGCAAATTCCCGCCCGCCCTCCCTCCAAACCACCCACGCGCCAGATGCCCCAGCTCCCTTCAAGCGCATTAAACCCTCGCCCTCAACCACTCCCTCATCTCGGTATACATCTTCAACTCCTCCTTCCCAAACCCCCACATCGTATCCACCCAACAACTGATATGGCCCTCGCCCTCCGTAACCACGCACGCCACCTCCCCTTGTCCCTCTCCTCCTCCTCTACCCCACTCATTCCTCACACTCTCCACACAATTCAGAATCCCATCCAACAACACCTCGTACTCGCCCGCCAGGAACAGCACATCCCGCACGGCCTTGGTATCCAGCCCCTTCCACCAGCCAGCGGGGACGTCGACGGGCTCGTTATACGGATCCGTCGGGCGCCCGCCGAGGAAGAGCGTGGCCCAGCGCGTGACCGAGGCGGCGCTGATCATGTCGCGGGTGGCGTTGCGGGCGTAGGACGCCGTCGTCGTGTCGAACGAGACCCAGGGCGATATCAGGACTGCCGCTCTCAGCCTGTTCTCGCCACCGCCCTCATCACCGCCGCCGCCGCCGTCTTCCTCCCCTTCGGGATCTAAATCTACCCGTGGTACTTCCGGATGCGGATGCAAGATGTGGCTCAGCAGGGCGAGCGTGAGGTTGCCGCCGGCGGAGTCGCCGCCGACGAGGACGTTGCCGGGGGCGAAGCGGAGGGAGCGGAGGACGTGGTTGAGGAGCTGGGCGGCTTGGGCGAGTTGCCGCGGGTAGGCGGCGAAGGGGGCGACGTCGTAGTGGAGGACGAGGGCGGCGAGGCTGTTGCTGCTGCTGCCTCCGGGAGTGTTGTTGTTCAGGTCGTGGATGAGGGAGTGGAGGAGGATGAAGTGCTCGGGGGCGGCGGGGACGGAGTAGCCGCCGCCTGTTTTTTGGTTTCGTCCATGAGCATGTGGAGGTTCTTTATTTTTTTTTTTTTGTCCTGCGGATGGGATGGGAGGGGAGGGGAGGGCAAGGGAGGAGGGGAAAAGGGAGGGACGTACCGTGGAAGAATATCCACACTTTCTCGGCGCCCTTGGAGCCGACCCAGTAGGCGTTTGTGCCGTCCTTGAGGGTTTCGGTGACGGGTTGGACGTTGAAGCGCTTGCAGTAGGCGAGGTAGGAATCATCTGTCCCCGGTGCGAGAGCTCTGCCAGAAGAAAAATAAAAGCGTCTCAGCCATACGTGATCCACGTTGGAGTTATATCTTTTTTTTTCTCGTGAATTATAATAGTTCAGAGGCCATACTGCTCCGTCCTCGAGGTATTATGTGTGACAAGCGTCCGCAGCGCCGTGTATCCCATCAGCCTCGCGAACGAGGAAGGCCGCTTGCGCTTCGATATGAACTTGGCCGTCAATGCCGTCCAAAAGGTCTTTCCCACTGAGCGCCAGGGATTCATGGAGTTAGCGCGATGCAGACTGAAAGCAGCAGTGTAGAACTGGTCAGAACGTACAAACAGCCGCGAGAATGGGCACGAGGCTCAGCTTCTCGAAAAAGCCAAGCCTCAAATCCGCCGTTCTTGGACGAGGGGCCATTAATGCAGTTGAAATAAGAGAGACAAAGTTTGTGAGAGGAAGAAAGAAGGTTGCGTGGTTTTCTTTTTCTCCCCCTACTGCCGTGCGATGAGCTTCTTTTTTATCTTTTCCCGGGACCAGCAGAGTGAGAAATGTCAGCAGCTACCGTCTAACTAGCCGGGGTCTGGCGCATGGGATCTACTGAGAAGTAGTCCCCGCATTTCGGCATACCCCTGCCGCTGCACCTTCTACCGCTTTAGGCAAAGGCTCGCTCGCCTCGCGCATCGCTTGTGTGCGATGATGCTAGCGATGGCGGCAAGCCGCAAAGCCAACCGATGGGTGCCGCGACCCCGGTCTTGCGTCACAAGGGTCCGGTGGCTTGCTCCTATGAGGCATTCCGGAGCGGCTGGCCGAGTTAACAATGGCCATTGTGGAGGTCAGCAAGCTAAGAGGACTGGCTCGTTTTTTAAATGGCGCAAAACGCCGTGGCCGCTCATCGCATCATCGCCCCGTGTGGCTGCTGTGCGAGGTTGTCTCGGGGAGCGGAATCGACGTTGTGTCGTGCGCGTGTGCTCACCGGCCGCGTGCGTTGCTCATAGCCTTGCATCAGTGGGGCGTCTGGGCGAAAATGGTGTTTTCGGCCGATAACTCCGAGGTGAGTGCACGTTTGGGGATCTGCTGCTGGCGTTATGCATCGGTTGACGGTCACTGAGAATGCCGAGACCATGATCGTCGGGTACCAACACCAAGCCTACCCGAGTGCACCAAAACTCCTTGCCGCTGTCTGACTCGTAATAGGCAAGAAAATAGGCAACAAAATGTTTACTTTATGCATTTGAATACACCGACGATAGATCAGAGATCTAAAGATGTAGAGCAATTATATATATGCGTGTGCTTTCTCTTCTCCTATCATTCATCATTCGAACAAGAACGCGAAGATGGCTACTCTTTCTTTGCTTCCCCAAAGTCTGCCAGGATTTCTGGGTGCAGCCGCAATAACCGTAAGTATCCTTCTGTCAGTGATGATATAGCTTTGTGTTGACCAATTAAAGCTCCTCGCTGGGTTTGGTTGCTTAGTCTTCTACAATCTCTTCCTTCACCCGCTACGCTCCTTTCCTGGGCCCTGGTACACCCGTGCAAGCGTTTTGTGGTTCATATACCACTCATTCAAGGGCGATGTTCCCTTTTTGCTCCACAAGCTGCACCTCGAATACGGCCCAGTGGTCCGACTGACGCCGAACGAGATTTCTTACACTGACCCCAAGGCATGGAAGGACATTTACGGTCATCGTAATGGCATTCCGGAGAACGAGAAAGACGCATCACAGAACTTTGACGCAGACAAAGCACATCCCAGCATCATACACGCCGACAAGGAGATGCACTCCAAGATGCGTCGACTCCTCGCCAACGCCTTCTCGGACAAGTCCTTGCGTGAACAAGAACCTGTCATTAAGCAGTACGTTCAAGTGTTGATACGTAGACTGCGCGAGCAAGCAGAAGCTGGAAATACTGTTGATATGGTCAAGTGGTACAACGTAAGCACATGAGCATCAACTAGAAGAGCAATCTTGCTAAGATATGTAGTACACTACGTTCGATGTGATCGGACACCTCGCACTTGCAGAGTCGTTCGATTGTCTTCAGAATTCCGACTACCACCCGTGGGTCTCTGCAATCGGGGCGGCCATCAAATTCGGGGGGTATGCACGCGCAATCAATCGCGTCTGGAGCCAGGGCGGTCCAATGGTGCAGAAACTGCTGGCTACTTTCATCCCCAGGCCGATCCAGGAGAAGCGGGCGCGCGGTCTGCATCTTACACAAGAAAAACTGGACCGCCGACGAGCAAACGATCCTCCGTACACCGACCTTCTCACCAATTTTCTAAAAGCAGAGAGAGAAGGTACTCTGCACCCCCGCGACGTCGACAGCAATGGCCCAGTCATAGTTATAGCCGGTAGCGAAACCACAGCGACGTTGCTCAGCGGAGCGACATACTACCTCCTCACTCACCCGGAGGTGTACAAGAAGCTGGTTCACGAAGTCCGCAGCGCGTTCACCTCTGCCGACGAGATCACGCTGAGCCGTGTCAATGCTCTCCCTTACATGTTGGCCTGTCTTGATGAGACGTTCCGCGTGTACCCTCCGTCGATGAACAGCCACCCACGCCGCACTCCACCCCAAGGTGCTACCATACTCGGCCAGCACATTCCCGGAGGGTCTCTTCTGGGCATGAGCCACTACGCCACGCACAGGTCGCCTTTGAACTTTGCCGAGCCGGACAAGTTCATTCCGGAGCGTTTCATCGATACTGAAGATCCGCGGTGGGCGAATGATAAGAGGGAAGCGTTGCAGCCGTTCAATTACGGGCCGCGGAACTGCATTGGTCGGAAGTAAGTTCATATCCTCCATTTTGATTGAAGTCAAACTGATTTGTTTGCCAGTCTTGCCTACATTGAGATGCGCATTGTTATTGCCCAGGTGTTGTATCATTTCGACCTTGAGCTCATGCCGGAGAGTCAGAATTGGCTTGATCAGAAAGTGTATCTGGTCTGGGAGAAGAATCCTCTGTTCGTCAGGTTGAAGCCGGTGGCATGAAGTCCCATCAATATTTGGCAGTTTGACAACCGTCATTAGTAGTCTATGTTACTCCAATTAGCCCTTATCTATGCTGCCGTCTGTAGTATGACAAGGCTAAAATTGTAACTCATCCGATTTGCCAATAAGCCGTGCAGAGAAAGGTCACACTGATGTCAGCCCTGCATAGCATGGTAACCCCTGTTGTACGCCCCGCGTGCAAAGTAACTCTACCGATGTACTGCAGGTGATGCAGGACGCTACAACCTCATTATCTCTACTCCAAAAGTTAGGATGGAGACGGGTGGAGCTCTCTGCGGTCTCGGGCGAGCTGTGACCGAAGCTGCCCTGACTCGCGCAAATCCATGCCGTCATGTGGGGGAGGGGCACAACCTCTCTCACGACTTCTCTCTACCAATCCACAGCCATTCTCTAGCACATTCGTAGTCTCAAGCCATGCCAAACCCAAGGTCAGTGTTTTCCTAAAGTCAGCACAACACACATCTCACACAATGGCCCAGCTACGTCCTCGTCACCGGCGCCACCGGCTTCATCGGCAGCCATGTCGTCGACACGCTGCTCCGGCGCGGCTACAAGGTCCGCGGCTCCGCCCGTTCCAAAGCCAAAGCTGACGAGATGCTCGCCGCGCGGCCGCAATGGAAAGACCGGCTGGACTTCGTCTTGGTGGCCGATTTCGAAGGCAAGACGGACCTGACCGACGCCGTCAAGGGCGTCGACGGCATAATACACGTCGCCAGCGTAAGCACCTGACCTCAATTGACATTCCCAAAAGAGACAGAAGAACTTACAGCATCACCAGCCCTTCAACTACAACACCACCAACAACGAGCGCGAACTCGTCCTCCCGGCCATCAACGGCGTGCGGGCCATCCTGGCCGCCGCCTCCGCCACCCCCACCGTGCAGCGGCTCGTCCTCACCTCCTCTTTCGCCGCCGTCATCGACATCGCCCGCACCGCCGGCCCCGAGTTCACCTACACGGCGGCCGACTGGAACCCCCTGACGTACGCCGAATCGATCGACCCCTCAACCACCGCCGTCGTCGCGTACCGCGGCTCCAAGAAGTTCGCGGAGCTGGAAGCGTGGGAGTTTGTCAAAGAGAAGAAGCCGCACTTCGACCTCGTCACCCTCTGCCCGCCCATGGTCTTCGGCCCCGTCGCGCATCCCGGCGTCGCCAGTCCAGCCGCGCTGAACGAGAGCAACGCGCAGCTGTGGTCTGTCCTCGACAAGACAGCGCCGCTGCCGGTGGCGCGCGTGCCGCTGTGGATCGACGTGCGCGATCTGGCGCACGTGCACGTCGAGGCGCTGTTGAGGGATGAGGCGGGGGGCAAGCGGTACACGCCGGCTAGCCCGGAGCACTTTTCGTACGGGTTGGCGGCGAGGGTGGTGCGCGAGCGGTTTCCCGAGAGGGCGAGAGATCCGCCGGGGAAAGAGCCGGCGGAGGATGAGACGTTGCCCGGGCCGAGTTATGGGTTGGATGGGGAGACGACGGCGAGGGAGTTGGGGGTGGAGTATAGGAGATTTGAGGAGACGGTGGTGGATTTGGTGGGGCAGATGGTGGCGTTGGAGGAGGCGGGGAAGTCGGCGTGAGGAGGGGGAAGGAGAATATTTGTGCCGGGATGCTATATATGTGGATAGATCAGATAGAGTAGAATATGGTGCGGATTATATCTTACTGCATTAATGCGGCAAAAGCTTAAACCAGCAGGAAGTCATGAGCAATTGAAGCAAATATTCGTTGCAAATATCGGATCGCCCAAACTATAGACATCCTCCTCTATTAAGCTAGCGTACTTTTGTCGGGTTTGAAGATCGTGCATGCGGCCCTGGGCTTCCATTTATGGCTACAGAACCACTTTTGGGTGACCAGACTTCGACCATCTCTCAACAAACCCCAACGTCCCCACAACAATCACTGTAAGCAAGCAGTCACGTCGCGTCATTCACCTGACGCACCCTGTGACAGCAGCCCCGACGTTTCCCGGCCAGCATCCCATTCTCCCGTGTTATCCCATGTCCCGAGACCATTCACTGACCCGACCCTGCCACAAAAGCTCCCCGATCGCGTCCCCCAAACCATGACAACTGCAACTCCCCGACCCAGTCTTCCCTCCTCATCGCAGGCCGGGAAGGACAAGGACTTTTTCCTCATATCCCAGGCTCGCAACGCGCATCCCTGCATCACTCCAAGCCCGAAGCCGACTCCCAGCATAGTCAAGTCATTCAGCCTCTACAACCGCAGACCAAGCGCATTCCAGCACAGGCAAGACAAGAAGCGCCGATTCTACGGTCCGCGCTCCATCTCGGACGGCACCCTAGTGCGCGGCAGCGCGGCGAAGGCTAGGGCCTCTACGTCTTCTTCCTCCGGCTCGACAGTACTATTACTTCCGCGCACCCACGACATACCCTCCTCCAGAGACACAAAATCTCTCGATTCTACCTCGCTCCATGACAACGTCGCCGCCGCCGCTACTGCTGTCACCGTAAACAACCGCAACAGCGCGCCGACCACCCAACCCGCCATCAACCTCTCCACCTCATCCAATTTGACCACCACGACACCCGCCACAATGCCTCCAACACCAACAGTCGCGCCAGGCACTCACTCACCCTCTTCAACCCTCCCCTCCATCCAACGCACACCAAGCCGTTTCTTCGTCCACCACCCCCTCTCAACGACCATCGACTCTACCACCACCATACCGCCAACCAGCAGCTCATCTCCATCATCACCCCCCAAGCCGCCAACGACATCAAACAACTCACTCTCAACGGTCCTTCACCACAGCCTCGGCAACATCAGCAGGCGCAACGCCATCCATGGCCGCGGTGGTGGCGCGGTGGTGCCCGCTTTTGCGACCGTTTCTTCCGCGATGTTGGTGCCGGAGCCGTTGCGCGTCAATAATGTTGGCACCCACCGCCACGTACGCCGGCAGGGCATCGCGACGACGCCACCGGTCTCGCCGCCTCCGAGGCTGCGGCCGCAGCTGCAACGACTGCCAGGCTCCTCGCTGTCTGGACCGCCGCCGAGCAGTGCCGCTACGACGGTAAGCAACGGAAACGGGAGCAGCATGGCGTTCACGGCGTCATCACAGTCGTTGTCGAGCACCGTGGCCAGCAGCAGTGGCGAAGCAGCAACCGAGAGGAACCTGCAGATGGCAGCTACGCCGAGACGGTTGCTCTTCCCGCCATTGGCTCGGCGCGCGCAGCAGCAGCAGAAAGACGTTCGAGGAGGAGGAGGTGGTGGTGGTGGAACGTACCCGTTTTCTTCTTCTTCGTTTCTCGCTAGATCGGCGCTGCGGGATGGAAAGGGTGGTCCAGGTGGTGGGAAGGTCCTGGAGAGCGGTGGGGATGGGGTGGTGAGGAGGAAGCCGGTGAGCACGCCGGTGCTGCACGAGAAGAAGATGGTGGGAGAGAAAAAGAAGTCGAACAGCCGCAAGGGCGAAAAGGGAGTTGGTGAGGGCAGTGCTCGAGGCGAGAGCAGCAACATGGACGACGACGGCGTCGGCATTATCAGTGATGGCTCCTATCCCGAGGAGCTGGAGAGGCTGGAAAGGGAGATCCTGTCGCTGCTTTTTCCGGGCCCCGAACAGCGCTATTCATCTTCTTCCATGTCATCGTCGGCAGAGCGGAAGCTGCATGAACTTAGAGGAGGAGGAGCATCATCGGTCATTTCGGGCGGCTCTTCGGACGAGTACCAGGACTGCTACGATGGCTATATGCCCAGCAGCGACACCACGACTCACCCGGCCAGGCCCAACGCGCAAAACAACCGCAGCGGACCCTTCCCAACCGCATCCCCACCACTCCTCGACCCACGCGACGAAGCGCAAATGTACGCCCTCATGCTCGACGAAGAACAGTCCGAGCCCGACAGCGCCAGACACACCACCACCAGCAGCCTCCCAATCAGCGACAGCTACGCCCGCCTCAATCAGACCGGCTGGCAATCGAAGCTAGCCCGGAAGAAAAGCGGGAAAGATGAAAAGCAAGAGGACGAGAAGACGCTTCGGCAGATCATCCGCCAGCAGCGCCACCAGCAGCAGCCACCATCGCCAGTGTCACCGCCGTCTCCGCAGCTGCTTCCGCTACCGTCGCCGATCCCGTCGCCGACGCTGCCGCCCCGCTATCGTCGCAATGGCGCGCGCCAGTCGTCCGGTCCGCCGCCGGCGATGAGGCTGCCTGATCCACCTGTTCGTTCGCCGCCGAGGCTGCATCGGTCGAGGCTGTAGATGTTCTGGTATTGCTGGGGGGTGGTGGGGGTCGAAATGTGTGTGTGTGTGGTGAAGGTTCGGAAGGGGAGGTGAAATGGGTGGATTGGTTGATATGGTTCGGTTCCGGGTTTCTTGGTGGGGTCATTCATTCAATGGGCAGGGTGTTATTAGAGTGGGTCCAGCGTTGTGAAGCCAAAGGAAACTGGTTTCATCGGTTTTAAGGTCACTTGGTAAAGTGACGGAACTCAAGCGGGTATTCTGGGGGTTTCTTCATCGTCAGAAGGGAATTAGTTGCGAGCTCAATAGCTAATTTCTGGAGGAACAATGAAATCGGAACTTATGGGTACTTTGGATTCCAATATTTTGATATGCTCGTCTCCTTAGCATTGCAGTCAAAGGTCATACTGTCCAACATCCGAGAAGCCGGAAAGACAATGCGCTTCCTCCACATCCGAAATCGGCAGTTCTACGTTATTTTCGTCCTCAACACGATGCAAGACCGAAAAGCTGGTGACCAACTCACACGCAAACTTACCACCACAAAAAAGAGCGTCCAACACGACCTTCCCGCCTCTGTCATCGACTCTTATTCACATCCGCCAACTCAATCCCATCCTTCCCATCCTCATCATGCCTAAAGCTCGCCCTCCTCACACTCCCACCCCCCTGCTGATGGTGATGCTGGTGCTGCGCATCCCCCGCCTTCAAATACCCCGCCGCCTCGCCCCTCTCCGCCTCATCACTCTCCTCAATCTGACTCGCACTCCCCTCGCCCCTATCCTCCACCACCGCCAGGGCCGGCACACCCCCCGCTCTCCCCTCCTCCTCGGCACTACTACTACCGCCGCTACTACTACTCTCCGAATCCTCGCCATGAATCCCGCCCACGCTCTCCATCGTAAACGGGCTCGCCGTCGGCGCATCCAGCACCGCCAGCTCCTGGGGCCCAAAGTAGCGGGGCAGGACCCACGTACGTACCGGAATCAACGCGAGGATAAACACCGGAAACCCGACGGCGGCGATCGTCTGCGTAATCGCAAACGTCGCGCCAAACCCCAGCAACTCGAGCCCGACAAACGCCCACACGGCGGCGGGCCTGACGCGCTTAAGCGGCAGCTCCGCCGCGCTACTCGTGAACGCGCGGTCGCGCGCCAAAAACGCCAACTTCGCCGTGATGCCGTTCCCCTCGAGCGCCTGGACGCCCATGACGAAGAACAGCCCCGCGAGGACGGCCTGCGGGATCAGGTGCAGGACGACGAGCAAGGGCCCGGTCATGGTGCCGAGCGTCAGCAGGCCCTGGGCGAGATTCGAGACGCGCTGCTCGACGACGTGGTCGACGACGCGGCGCGTGTGGCCCTTGTTGTGGGCCTCGTCGTCGTCGGAGACGGTGCGGGTGACGCAGAGTGCGTTGGTGTGGAAGGGGGCTTGTGGGATGAGGCCGTTCGGGAAGGGGATGCCGAGGAGCCCCGAGATGCCGGTGGTCAGGCCGAGGAGAAAAAGGTCCCAGTGGAAGCCGGCGGGTTTGCGGAGGGGGAATTCGGTGCCTTGGGCGATGAGGGAGGAGACTGCGGGAGTTTTGTTAATAAGTAGTATAGAGAAGTGTAGAGGTAGAGGCGTACCGTTGTGGTCGAAGTAGAAGAGGATGGTTAGGAGGATGGCGAAGGGGATGGCTAGGAAAACTTCGCCCACTTTGATGTCCCAGAAGTGGATGAACCATCCTCTGTCGGTGGTGGGGTAGAAGGCTTTGCTTGTGGGGAGCTTGAGGAGTTCTACGCCTTGCATTTTGCCAATATGTACGAAGCCGGTGAAGAAGATGACGGTCAGGGGCGTGGCGTAGTCCTCGATGAACTTGCGTACATATCTGTGGAAGAGGGTGCTGTTGCCGACGACGCCTCCAATGTACGCCACCATGAGGACGAGTAGAGCAATCATGATGGAGAGGTACGCCGATGTGTCACCGGCTTCCCATTGGCGAGTCAGGACTTGGATTCCTTTCTGTAAGTAGATGAAAGCGACGTAGAAGCCGAAGATGTCACAGGAGAAGCGAGTGACATATTTCAACCAGTTGCAGGCGTTCGTGATGGCAAGAAACCAGTGCATAACAAGCGACCATCTGAATAAAATCAGCTACTTGTACATGGAAATGTCCATGATGACTTACAGGCCAATCCAGCACATGAATGAGAAGTAGTTAATGCCATGAGGGGCTATGATATCGTAGACCTGGGGAATGAGTAGAAGTCCCTAGGCGTGGTTTGGAAGAACTTACCGTATAATTGAACACAGTGATGGGACCTGTTGACGTTAGTGAATGGCTCTTTGGTTCAGACTTGTCGCTGAGGCTCACCAGTGACGCCGACGATGACCAAGGGCTGAGCCGAGAAGACGGAGAAAACAACGGAAGCGAGAACGGAAGCTAGCAAGACCTCATTCACGCCAAAGCTGGAATCCGTCTTTGCAAACATGTCCAGCGAAAAGGCCAGAGCGGGAAGAATACTACTCGTGCGTTAGATATGCTCACCGCAAACAGCTTCCTCAGCACAACCGGCACGAATGCATTCATGAAGGGCACCATTGAGATTGATATCTGAATTGCCTTACTTTGCAAAATACATGTAGATGGTAGCAGGGACGACTCTGTAGTCCCAGGCGTCTGTCCAGTCGGAAACATAGTAGGGGGCTCTTCTGCGAATGTCATGGACCATGCCCCTGAACCACCGGATCTGCCACCACTTGTCATGCCTGTGGGTTGAAGTGGTGCGTCCCGAGGCGCGCGTCGTGTGACGGCTCAGGCGGTCATCGCTCTGGCGCATCTTCCAGGAGGTCAAGGGGACGCGCTTCTGCCACGGTTTCCGCGATCTGCGATCAGTCGATGCGAGTGAAGATCGGCGCTGGCCCGGAAGGGTGTAGGCGTCGGATTGGCTCATGGTGGGCTTCGTTAGCGACAGGGGGCGGACGCTGACCACTTCAAAAGGACGGCGACACAGCGGCGCAATCGTCTCGGGCACGTCAAAAGCTTCAGCGACGTCAGGAACGCGGCAGAGCCATGCCGGAGGCCGAGGGTGGGAGATTTTCTGGGCGGCTGGGGATGCGGAGAAGTGAGATTAAGGTGCGCTGGAGATCGCCCGAGCGGCGGGGCGGCTGCGCTCTTCATCGTCCCCACATGCGTCATCGCTCGAGTCATGCTCGATTTGCATCTGCCTTCGCCAACCTCCAGGAAGAGACCGAGCATCGCTGTTCCGCTAGCGCCGGGAAGCGCTGCGACCCACAATCGACCCTGCAGCCGCCTCTTGACTCGTTTGCCGAAACTTTCGTCGCGAGCGAATGGCGGTGAAGTAGACTACTGTCGTGCCGTTCCCCGCTCCTTCCCCATCGGGAAAGGACTCTTGCTTCGGAGCCATCTCCATTGCCAGATGTGCCAGAATTGGAATGCCTATGCTTTCTTGTGCCAATCCGGGTATCACTAGGAGCCAAAATCAGAGATAAAGTTTGTAAGAATAGAGATGAACATGGTAAAATTAGACTTAACTTTAAGCAACAATTATATGCTTGTTCCAATACCTTGGCAATGCCAGAAAAGCTACAGTGCATTAAAAGTCGACCTTAGCGAGACTCTTTTGTCAGGCTTTTACTATCTACGGCCATTTATATAGCCGCACATAAATTCACTACTACATTGGATGATATTGTAGAGTCATGAGATTTCTGCTCAAAGGCTCGCTCAGAGTCCTTTAGCTACCACTAGATAGCGTCTCTCAACAAATGCTACGTAGGACAGTAACAAGAGGTATCATTACCAAGAATAGGCATACAAATATTTACATCAGCTTTAACATACTTTCCCCGAAATACTCGGCTAGAACTTAGCGGCAGCTGCCCATCCTTTCCTACACCAAAAGCCAAGCAACAAACACAACAGTGCGTCCATACGAGAAGTATCCTGACCTACCACATGCCGAATAGGTTAGTAGCCACCACAGCCATCCAGAGACCTTGTATTTACGTGGTCGGTCACGTATCACCAGAGAATGGTGTGTGCTTGGTCGTGCAGCATTTTCAGTAGCAATCCAAATGCTTGAATAGATTGGAGAAGAAGATTCGGTCCGAAACACCAGTATCTTCTATATACGAGAAGGCTAAAACGAAGAAGTACATCCGACGGTTAAGAATTGCGCCATCAGCTACGACGAGGTCTCATCGCTCTACCACATTCCCGAACAAGGCACTGCGCTCAGGAAGTTCTACAAGTCTCTCCTGGGCCGCATCGACAAGATACCTCGAGAGATGTAGGCTCGGCTGATACAGCCGCTGGCCAACAGCAATTTCACCGAGAATTCCGACCTGCCGATGATCGACAGCTTCCACGCCGACTTCATCATGGGTTTCGTGTAGATCTCCTCCAACTAGCGGAAGAGCCAATTAGAGAAGAACTACACGCACCCAGATTATGCGGATGGAAGCGCTCATGAGTCCCTAGTACAGGAAGGATAGCTGGGCTGATGCTCTTTGTGAGGCAACATTCGACACTCGATCAACTCGCCAGTCCCTTGGGATAGAGAGTAGCAGCAATCCTCTGTGGTCGATGAGGGATATACCGATGCCGTTGGCGGAGGAAGACGCGCGGCCGGTACTAGTGGTCTGACAGCTGCTTGGCCTGCTCCCTCACACCGGAAGAAGCCGGTTCTCCGGTGGGCGTTTGAGGCGGTGCTTGATGTTGCGAATCTGATATGCTTGGGCTGGATCATTTGGAGGAAGCCATGTGTCGGTGGAGATGCGGAAAGAGCCGCAAAACTGCCTGTTCCTGAACTAAAAACGATAGCTCTTCCAACTAACCCAGACACTGCTACGTAATGGCGCTTCTGGGGACCGTGCACCTATCGCGACTTCACCTAATTTTGAAGGAAGATGAGGTTGAGAAGATGCTGGAAGATACGTCCAGGGATTTTCCGGTTGATTGAGCGTGACCGAAGGGACGTTAGGCTATCGCTAGAGAAGTGGGCATGTGGACGTTGATCCGGACGTCATTGTTCTTCGAATCGGGCCTAGTTGAAAAGGTAAAGGATTTTCGGAAGGCTGGTGATTGTTTTGATTTTCCCGCCCGCACACTGAGGGGTACTGCAGCCGAATTCTAGCGTGAACTCGTTTCTGCTCATGTCATTGGTAGTTGAAGCCATTGTTCGGACGTTGATGCGGAGTTAACAACATATACATTCACATCCAGGCGACAGCTTCTACTGGCCACGTATGTTGAAAAATCGCAGAGGCATAGCTACCGGTTGTTCCGGACCCTGCTATTCCTGACGCTAGCCTTCGGCTGCAATACCCGTCTAGATGTCGAAAAAGTTGGAGGTCTGTTGTTTACTCAGGGTAGACCCATGCGGTATGACATCAGTCGAGGCGATGACAACATCAGTGGGGTCCATCGCCGATTATTCCCGTTCCTGAAGCGTCCACGGAAGCGTAGCGAACGGTGGAAATTTGAAGCAAATCACCTTCAACTCAGGATTCAAGGCGTTGGAGTGCTAAGTGAAATGAAAGGTCAAAGACCACGACGGCGCAATGTGTCCAGCAGTGGGGGCCAAGCCAATGCCCCAGACGCCGCCTCGGAGCGACCGGGACTGCACAGACAGGGTCCAGATCCTTAAATGACGAAAATTTGAGCGGATCGATAAGCAGCCGACGCTAGAGAACGAGGCATCTCGAAATGAAAGCATTCATGGGAGGGGGATGTCCAGACCACCTATACAGATGTACGATATAAAGGCTGAGACAGAGAATGGAATTGGCCAGCGCTGAGTGGCAGTGTGGGGCCTGAGGTCCCGTGAGCCCGAGCAAGGAGAAGCGCGACGCGTGCTGCAAGGCGGGTGCGACGCGTCTGTTGGGCAACAATCCAGAGCTCCAGAGCGTCCCTTGGCTCGCTGGCGTGTGCGACTGAACGGGTTTGCTCGGGGTTGGAGTTTGGCCAGGCTGGCAAGTGATTTGGGGTGCGTCAGCGCGCCGCCAGGGAGCAGAGGCCACCGACCCAGCAAAGGGGTACAAACAAGCGCAATCGCGCGCGCTGCTGGCAATATTTTTTTCCTCCTGCCTCGCCCAGAGGCATGTAATCGCTCCCGTCCTGCGCCCTTGGCTCGCCACCCTGGCTGCTTCGCGTAGGTCAGCACGGGAAAACCCAAATAACGCGACTCTGCTGCCGGTCCGAGCCTCAGAGCTTCGTAAACGACATCAACCTGCCAGAGGCCAGCCACCACCCAGCCCCGGACGCCAGCCTTCGCCCATCCTGCGGACTCCACGCCCCGCCCACAGTACCATTGACCTGCATCTTACTGCGCATTTTTTACGGTACGTTGCTGCCTTTGCCCGTCGCTCCTGCAGCTGGGGGCACCCGAACCACGGATGGCCCGTCCTGCAGCGCTGCAGCATTCCGGACTCCTCCACCTGCGCTCACCTTGCGCTCCCGTCTGCTCTCGCAACTCGCCATCCGCTGCGACAGCTGCAATGACTAACTCGGACCAGACACACGACACCATGCCTCCAAGAGGCGGCCGCGGCGGTCGTGGCGCAAAGCGCGAAGTCGTCCAGGAGCAGTCCGACACGCCCGCTTCCATCGAGACGCCCACCCGCAAGAAGAGAAGAGTAAGCTCGCCCACCCGCCGCCCGACGCGCTCGCACCCGCACCTAGTAACCGCCGCTCAGCTGAACAACAACGTCGACCCTGCGGAATCGAGAGTCCCGACCCGCCCTCCCTCCGCCCAGAGCGACCGGACAATAGGCAGCGATGATGAGGATGAAGGCAAAGAGAAGCCCACCCCCGAGGAGCTCTTGACTCAGGTCGTCCCGCTACTCCGCGTCGCCGGCTACGTCACGAATGCCCAGGTTGAGCTTTCCAACGAGCTGCAAAAGCGCGATCCGGCCATCGCCGAGAAGGGCAGCACTCAGGCTTACGCCAAGATCGAGGGCCACAATTGGGTCTTCTTCGCGAAGTCGACCCACGTCGTCATCGGCAGAGGCGAGCACGGCTATTCTGCACGCCAGGCGAGCGAGAACGGTGGTGGCACGCCCGGTCAGCAAGTCGGCAGCAGCTTCTACGGGCAGCAGGGCCCCACTGCTTCCGAAAAGGTCCACATCGACCTGGGCCCCGACAAGCAGGTGTCGCGTATCCACGCCTGGATCGACTACGAGCCCGACGCGCGCTCATGGTTCGTTCTCGTCAACGGCCGGAATGGCCTGAAGCTGGACGACCGCACGCTCTCGCGCGGCGAGAAGGTCAAGCTGCACTCGGGTTCCGTGATCGGAGTTTGTGGCACTGAGATGATTTTCGTGTGCCCTGGCGAGTCGATCGATGTTCACCCATCGATTATCGCACGCGCCAGGCAGGGTGAGTCTGGCGAAGGCGAGGATGGTCAGGATGAGAGCTCGTTCCACCAGATGAACAACGGTCATGGAAAGAGTACTGGATCTCAGGGAGGTCTTCCCCCAACTAGCGCTCCGTACAACGGTTCGAATGCTCGCCAGCACGGCCAATACAACCAGAGTCACTCTTACCAGGCCCACCCGCCTTCATCGGGTCCTTTGGCGCCCAATACTCCCATTCCCTCGCGAACCAAGCAGTCTCCTAAAATCAAGACATCTCCCTCTGGAGCCTATTCCCGTGGGGTTATGCTTGAGAGCACGGAGCACATTGACTACAGCGCCGACAGCGCAAAGGACTTGAAGCCCCCGCACAGCTACGCCCAGTTGATCGGACAAGCCATCATGTCGTCGCCCGAAGAGCAGCTGACGCTGGCCAACATTTATGAATACATCAAGAAGCACTATGCATTTTACCGCTTCAGCGGCGGCGGATGGCAGAACTCGATCCGCCACAATCTCTCACTGAGCAAGCATTTTGAAAAGGTCGCGCGCCGCACGGACGAGCCGGGTAAGGGCATGAAATGGCGGCTGGTTCCGGAAGAACGGGAGAACTTTTTGAAGAAGGGCATCCACACTCGCAAGACGCGCATGGGCTCCTCCGGACCCAACTCGCCGGCGATCGCTCAGGCTAGCGAGCGTTTGCACGGAGCCGTCACCGTCAACCCCGATGTTCAGACCCCATCCCAGCCCTCCAAGTTCCGAGTCAAGGAGTCGCCCCGCTCCGTTACCCCGCCGCTTACCAGCTATCCAACGGCAAACGAATCCTACACGCCCGATCGCGGTCCACAGCCACAGCGCAAGCCTCTACTCAACAGCGATCAGATCTTCACCCCCATCAACGACCGCAAGGTTACTTTCCCGCCCATGCAAACTACAAATTTTGGCCGCGCGCTGGAGCAAGAGAGCAATATACGCAATTCGGGGGCCATTATCGACAGCAAGACCGAACCGGGTCCTACGCCACGCCCCCGCTCTTCTCTTGACTTGTCTTACTCGCCGCCGGCAACAAACGGCTACAAGACGGCTGGCCTGGATCTCCCGGAGACCTTCAACGGCCTAGTCACGCCCCTTGTCGCCAAGAACAAGCCACACCTTGCCCCTCCGAGCACAGCCAAGATGCCCAGCCAGTATTGCTATCTGAGTTCTCCTGCACCATTCTGGAAATTCGCCGACCTGGGATCCACACCTGCGCGCCAGTACGTCGATTTCAGTCCGAGTAAGGAATCGAAGCCCTTCAACTTTGGAAACGACGAGGAGAATGAAAAAGACGAGATGGACGATGACGAGGAAGAAGAGGAGGAGGAGGAGGTAGAAGCAGGCCCAGTTCAACCTAGCTCGCCGCCCGTCGTCATGGGCGACACAGCAAGCCGAAGCCGAAGCCGGGAAGGATCCAATTCGGGAGAGGGAGACTCGCAAGAGCTTTCTCCAGCGACACCAACTCGGCCGAGCAGTCGCCGCTTCAACACAGCCGAGGAGGTTGCGGTGAAGAAGCAGCTGCCGACGCAGCTGGAGGGCGATGACAAGGACGAAGAGGGCATTGACCTCATGAAGTAAGTGGTTCAGTCTTTGAGGATCAGGACGGTCTAACAAGACACAGGGGATTCCAAGGAATTGGGAGCTTCCACCGCGGACTCAACCAAAGCGCAGGCTTCATTCGCCGCGGTTGAGGGCTGTTCCAGATCGGATGAAACAATTTCAGTTACGACAAATTTGTATACCTTGCGGGACTGGCTAGAGGGAGTTTGGGCGTGCAGGTGCTCATCTGGTGGAATTCGGCTTCGATTCTTGTAGCATGAGTGTATCATGCGGTTTATTTGTGCTGCTCTGCTGTACTCCGTTCGGGTCGGGCATTTGATTCGGAGGGCGGATTGAGTTCAGCGTTCTGTTCGTATTGATCATGGCTTGCGTGCTTGTTGCAAACAGCGATGACGGTTGACGGCATGTCTGGCGGCGATATCACTGGGCGGTTTAGGTAACGCGCAATGAACAATTTGTGGACTTTGACTCTGTTGGATGGTTACACAGGCGATGCGTGCGGCCAACTGGACCCTGTCGCGATGTGCAAACGTGCTTGCATGCCGATGTCGTGCAGGGTGTCCGAGTAGTGCTCACCTAAAGACCATTGCGGAGGGGAAGGGCCAGGTTTCTGTGGTCGGCAGCCGCATCCCCGACTCAGAGGCCGGGGTGCAGGCACATCACAATTCACACTCAACAACGTGCCTGGAGAGTGCACGCGCAAACAACAGACGACGCGGTCTCGTGCGCGTCCACCTCACTGCTCTCGTCGCAGGCGCGCCTCAAACGCATCCGCAGGCTGCCGCTGAGACTGCAATGCCTGGAGGCCCGCTTCCGAGCTGAGCCTAACCAATCAGCCCAACGAGACGCAAGCCCGCCACTACTCAGCCCGCTTCCTTCAACGACACGTTTTCAGCGGCCGCCGCCGCAAGCACTACTCGAGCCCAGAGCCAGGCAGATCCACCGCCGGTCCAGCCACCAACCACTCAAACACCCGGGCGAGACCTAATGTCAGCGAGCGCATTGAAAGGAGGAGATTCCGAGAGAGCGTAGTCTAGGTGACGCTCGTGCCAGCCGCAACCCCAAGGTCCCGTAATTCTCCCCTGACGCCCAGCTCCGTCCCGGTCTACCCATAGCTTCCCAAATCTCCGTCTGCTCGGCGCCTGAACTGTGTCTCCAAAGCGGCCCGTTGCGCGCCCCTCCATCCGAGAACGACCTCTCGACAACCTCCCTTCCCTCCCAACCCTCGTACCCAAAGTCCAAGTCCGCTGGGGATTAGCTGCCGAATCCTTCCCCAAGGCAACCACCCGCCACTTTTTTTTCTACCCCTCGCCCGCGCGCGCGCTACCCCGACCCGAGAGCTGCGCTTGCCCGCCCTCCTGCGCAACCCGGCGCCGCGCGTCGGTCGGTCCAACGTCGAGCTTTCCGCCGAGAATAAAACCTTGAGGTTGGGGTGGAAAAGGAAAAACACACGTCATCCGGATCACGGCAAACAAGGGTTAATTTTTGGGGGGCTGCACCACACAACAACAGCACCAAAACCATGAATTCCTTACGGCAATCGTGTCGCCCCAAGCACCAGGTGCTGATTCTGAAGTGCTACCCGCGCTTGCAGAAGGGCTACCGCGAGGAGGAGGTCAAGCCCAACAGCTCCGAGCTGAGCTACCTGCTCTTCTACGCCAGCTCGCGGCGGACCAAGCTGGTCAAGGTCGGCGACTTTTTGGACAAGAGGACCGCGGGGGATGTGTGGAGGAGCAGGATTGCGTACGTGCCTTTTTGTTCGCCATGGTTTTCTGCGCGCGGTGGCTAGATGCTGGCAGGATTGCGCTCACCACTTTTTGTTACTAACTTGTGTCTCCCTGCGCAGGAGCGTACTCGTCACCCTCCAAATCCTTCAGGCGCTCATCGAAAAATGCCCCAAGGATATCCCGCTCTACGCCAACAGCGTCCTCAGCGTTCTGCGCACCGTCCTGCGCTCCAATGATGTCACCATGGTTGAGGCATCCGTGCCCATGTTTGAGGCCTTCTGCGAACACCAGGACCCCGCGGCCCTCGCTGCGGACAACGAATACCTTACCCAATACGAGGAGATTGTGCAGCTGTACGCGCAATTCGCAAACAAGGAGGACCAACCCGCCCCAGCTGGCGCACCCCTGAGCTGGCCCGTCGCGATCAAATTCCGGAAGGCTGGCCTGCGCGCGATCAAGGCGGTGGCCGCTTCGGAAAGCCTGGGCGCTGGCAAGCAATTAGATGCCATAATCCCCGTCATCCTCGTCAACCTGTACGCGGACAACGGAGCTTACCTGCACCGGTTGGAAATTCTGGATAAAGAGAAGGAGCACCATGACAAGGAGGCGGCAATTGCCAGGAGGAAAAGCACGTCGACGGTGCCTGGGGAAAGTGAGGGGGATCCGCTCGCCGCCTCGGGGACCACGGAGGACGCGGACAAGATCGCGGAAGAGGAGGCCGGCGTCATCGCGCTGCAGGCGCTGCGGAACATATTCACGTACGTCAGCCGGGACCAGCTGCGGCTCGCCACGCTCGCGGCCATGAAGTTCATCACGTCGAAAATCAAGTCGAGCGAGCATTTCCCCAACGGCCTCGTCGACGGCTCGTGGCCGGCGGAGCTGTGCGGCAAGATGTGCAGCTGGGCGCCGGTGCAGGATCGCTACGTTATTCTTGTTACTACTTCCAGTTCGCTCGTTCGGAGTAAGGCTGTTGAGGAGGATTTCGAGCGGCAATACGTTCTTGCCACGCTCGTGGCTTGGCTTCTTGGCGATTTGCACATCAACTTCATCGGGCTGAGCGTTATGGATGTGCTGGTTGGCTTGATGGGTCGCATTCTCGAGCTGCTTCAGGTGGGCGGCGCCGCTTCCCTCTTGAACGGAGTGGACGGAAAGGCAAGCAAGGACAGTATTGCAGCCCCTCAGGAGAGCAGCACTCCCGATAGCAGCGAACGTGCGACGACACCGACCGATGCACGGAAGATGCTCGTCCAACAGCTTAAGAAGTGCGTGTCGAACCTGGCTACGCACATCTACTACACCGACCAGATTCCCGATATGGTTGCTGCCGTTCTCTCGCGTTTGAAGCCGGTGGGAGGCGGCGCCTCTAACACCGCCGCGGCCATTGAGGATCCTAGCGGCACCGTCGAGTCGGTGGCCAGCTCGGCACACCTGCACGAGAATCCGGGCGCGGACAACTTCTTCTCGTTTGAAACAGCGAGAGTGATCGCTCTGGAGGCCATCAAGGATATCCTGCGCATTGCAAACGCGCACGGCAAGGATGTGGATAGCGGAAAGGGTTCCGTTGGCCGGAGCCGCACCGGTGTTGATGCCTGGGAGGGCACGCAGTGGTTACTCCGCGACCCGGCTCCGAAGGTGCGGAGAGCGTACACGGATGCACTGCTCGTCTGGCTGGAGTTGGAACTCAAGAAGACGGACCTCCGAGCCGTGCCTGAGAGCTATGGCGGCAAGACGGAGAGGAAGGAACGGAAGGAAGGGGATAGTTTGGTCAGGAGAGCCGTCAGCAACGCGACGAGCCCGGGCTCGCCGAGGGACAAGAGCCCCAGGAGATTCCGGACGAGCTTCCTCCAGCTGCTCCACCTCGCCGTGTACGAGAATGCGCACCAGTTCGCGCTTGCGAATGGATCCGAGGCCGACCAGGAGATCCTGCTTCTCCACCTTCTCCTCGCTCGTCTGGTGGCCAAGCTCGGCGTCAATGCCCTCTGCACCGGCCTGCCGATGATGTTCCGTCTGCAGGAGGATATTCCCAACGTGGAGGGTGCAGCGGCGAAGGTTCGCCTCGGCAGTTTGGTACACGGCTACTTTTGGGCGCTTTCTACCAGCTTCGACTTTGCTGCCAGCCACCCCGGAATGGCGATTGGAAGCGAGATCAACCGGCGGAAGGAGACGGGCATGTGGTTGCAGAGCGTCTCTATGCCGCCTGTTGAGCTCAAGGATATCGCGTCTGCGCCTGGTCTGACGAGCTTGCCAGCCGACACTGTTGACCACGAGGCGCTCAAGCCGTTCGACAACCGTCAGGAGCTCGTGGACCAGATTGCAGAGGGATATGCCGACAGTGTTTACTCTCCGCCTACCAGCGCCCCTGGTAGCCCCAGCCGGTCGTTCTCAGTCTCCCTCAGCATTCCGAACATCACCGGTGGCGGGTTCATGGATGACCCCAGGGACTCCCAGCTGCCAAGGTCGAACGTCCTGCCGCAGAAGGTCAGAGACCAGATGATGGACTCCTGGAACAAGGAGGACGTGCTCGCGGCCATGGCATCCAACCACGACGCCAGCTCGCAGTCGGGAAGCCTCAGCATCTCCCACCGGACCAAGCGCGCCCACACCCACTCTTCGGTGGCCACCGCCGGCGACCCAAGAGGATCGAACGGCTACCTGGGCGTCAACATCCCCACCGGCCACGTCAGCCCCATGCCATCCCCATCGATGATCAACCACCACCACCGCTCCGCCCTGTCCGGCCTGAACGACGGCGGCCACCACCACCGTGGCGGTCCCGGCTCCAGCTCCTCGGCCCGCTCCGCCATCCGCCTCGACGACCTCAAGCGCGTCCTGTCGGAGAAGGGCGGCGACTCCTCGTCCCCCATCCTCCCCATGACGCGCCGCGGCCGCAGCGCCGAGGGCGACGACGACGGCGACGACAGCGACAGCATGGTTTCGGCCGACTTCAGCACCAGCGAGTACAGCTACGCAGCGCCCGGTTCCAGCTACAGCCATGGGACGTCCGCGGGCGAGGATGGAAACGGCGGCCAGACGCGTCCGCCCCTCTCGACCATCCCGTCCTCCTCCATGGGGCTCGACGACGCCGCCGCGTACCCGCCCGTCCCGCAGATCCCGGCCGCGTTCGCGGGCGAGGGCACGCCGGCGACGACTACGACACCGTCTGCTGGTGACGCTTCGCCGGGTGCGGAGGCGCAGCAGCAGCGGCCTCGCACGGCGACGAACGGCAATGGCTCGCGCAACAACAGTCTCGCGGCCGGTGCCGGCGTTGCAGCGAACGGCAGCGCCATGCGCGCCAGCCGCAGCGTCAAGAGCCGCGCGGGCCAGAGCACCAAGAGCGGGCGCGGCCGCAGCCGCAGCAGGAGCGTCGTGACGAGCAGTGGGAACAGGCGGACTGACCACGGGCGGATGGACGTGGGTGGACTTCTCGCGGGCATCGGGGTGGATGATGATGACGATGATGATATTCTTGGTGGTGGTGCTGCGGGGGGTGGTGATAGTGGGATGTTGGGGGGGAAGGGGTATTTGGGGGTTGTTAATGCGCCGTATTGATTTTTTTTTCCAGAGGGGGGGGGGTCTTGTTGAGGTTTCTTCTGTAGTGGTTTTAGGGATGGGATGGGATGGGGGTGGGCAAGGGATAGATCCTTTTAGGGGTTTGTGTGGATGGACTAGGAGTGTGTCTCTGTCTCTGTCTCTCTGTGTGTCTGTTAAGAAGCGTGGATGGGATACCACCGTTTTTTGTTTAGCTCCGCGTCTTTTTTCTCTTTTTTTTCGTCCTCCACTCTCCGCGCCTTACCTCGCCTCGCCTTGCCTGGCCTGGCCTGGCTGGCTGGCTTCTTCTTCTTCCTGTCGTCATGCCTCGTCGCCGTCGTCTTCTTTGCCTTTCTGGCCGAACTCTTCTGTTGGCCGACTTTCAGATTCTTCTTTCCCAACTGTTCCTACAGAACGTCTTCTTGTTAGGTCACATTTTGTGGCATTCTCTTTTTAGCCAGTTTTTATACCTCGATGAAGAAGAACAGAGAGCAGAGCGAAGCAAAAGGCTGAGCAGAGCAAAGATGAAGGATCTGAGCGTTTTTCTGAAGCTCTTTATGTTTGGCCTCTTATTGAATCGGGCCCCCCAACTGGGACTGAGCTGACCAATACGGTAATTTTTTTTCTCTCTCCCCTCTCCTTGTCCAGTAGTCTTGTCTCTCGTATTGATTTCCTGTTGTCGTGGTTTCTAGCCTCCTCTTTCTCCTGTTTTTGAATGCGTGCGCGCGTCTCTCTCGTCTGTTTATGCGTTTGTTAGCCACCGTCTTTCCTTTTTCTCCTAATGCGTTAGTAATGGGCTTTTGTGGCCTCTATCTCCCACTTCCCCCTCTCTTCCTCGGTTCCCTACCCCTCGGTTTGATGTTCGGCTTGGAAGACGGGTCGAGTTTGTTGCACACATTACGGGTATATGTTCTGTGTGCTACGAGCAGGAACAGGAGCAGGAGAAGTAGCTCACGTATTTATATATGCCGGGGCGGGGGACGGGGGGGAAATGGTTGGAAAGCTTTGAGCGCGAGGGGGTCATACACACGTTCCCTTTTCCGTGTTTTTTTATTTTTTTTTGGCGTCAGCCGCCATCTCCTCGTCCTTCGGGACAGTAGTATCTCCTTAATCACCTTTTCTTGGAAGAGATAGATAGGGAAAGTACATATACCACACCGTACGTGATTTCATTGTTGTCGCATAGCGCTCTCGCATCTCTCTCAATTTTTTCCTTTTTCGTAATTGTTGTTATCTGGTTTGTCTGTCTTTGCTCGTGTTCCTCTTCTCCTGTCTTTGCGTAAATATCCCTCCTCTGATTGATCTCCTTATCTGCTCACTGTTCTGTACCTTGTTTGGAAGCGCGAGAAGAGGGAGCATCGGCGCTGGTGGCGGCCATCAACTGGCCTGCCTTGCATTGCACGGTTCGTGGAGTTGGTGGAGAGGGTAGGGTGGTGGGATGGGAAGCGGTAGGGGAGGAAAAGGGAATGAAAGGGGTGAGGCGTGTATATAGTAATGACTCCTACATACATATACATATACTGCTTGCTTCGACATTGAAAGAATTTCGGAAATTCGGGAAAACTCTGTGCTGTTTTTGCCATACTTCTTGCTTGTGTGGGGTGAGGTCTAGTCACATGTGGTGATGTTGAGAAGGTGGGCAGGTGGAAGGTAGTGCAATTGCTTTACCCGTGCAGTATCGACGTACGCCTGTGTTCATACTTTGCGCCAGTGCGCGTGGCCGATGAGGTAGTGATAATGGCACATGCAGTTGGAAGCAATCCACATGACGCGGGCATTATTGGGCTTTTCTGTTCACGCGGGCATCGTTATAGTTGGCCCAACTGCTCGAGCTTGAGATATAGTGCTTTAAAGTGATTCCGAGGTCGATTTTCTTTCTTGCCTGTGGCTTCCTGGAACATTTTTCTATGTGATATCGAACTAGACAACCACTATACTCTGTCTTGTTCTTTGTGGTTTTCCTTGCGACATTGAGAGGGGTGATTATGGCTTTGGGTTCATTTGCAACGTTGTTTAGGCCAGAGACTATATAATGTGGCGTAACTAGAACAAACAGTGATTCTCTGCGCCACGCTAGCTCAATGTAGCTCAGCATCATCATTCAAGCCTGATGAGCAGCATTACAACAATAAACAACCTCCTTCGCTCGCAGGCTGCATCCGCATGCTTGATAGGAAGACAGGGAGGGAGGCGGACCAGTATGCGAGTAAATCCACCACTCTAGCAGTCGATGGCGGCATTACTTGTTTAATCCACCTCGATTGAGAGGCGTTGGCGTCGAGTGCTCGGGAGGCAGACATGGTCAGTTTATATAGTCGACCATTTCCAAAGCACCGCAGCTGGCTTGCTCGCACACGGGGGGAAAGGGGCCACGGGAATGGCGCGCGTGAGCTGCTGCAGTCAATATCTCGTGCGCCGAGGTGGAGGCAGGTGCTCGGTAGCACGTTCATGCTGCCACGGGTTCACTGCAAGGGCTCGAGGGAGAGGTGGTGATTTAAAAGACATTTCCGTTTGCGATTCTGACACCGCAATGCTGAAAAATGTTCATTTAGGCAATGATTCGGCTTTATTTCATTGTGTATCGAGGTGCCACCATTCATGATCACTTGCGGCGGCGTCGTGTCTCGCTTTAGAGACGGACGCCGGGGACCCTGCTTGGTATTGAAGCAGTGCGCTGCATCACTGCTAGCACTGATGAAAAATCCCGATGATCTTCATAAAGGAATAGTGATGTTCATCAATTATGTGTAACACTACTGACGTGCAGCTCAGATCATTTATGACGACCTCTCAGCTTTGACGCTTCGGTCGTGAAGCGGCAGTAAGTCGAGAGTCTTCACCTTTGCCCCAGAAAAACAGACAGCGAGTGTTCTCAGTTAGTTCTGCATTCTCCATCGAAGAAATCTTATTCCAGGTCAGTGTTGAGACAGCAGGCTGTTGACTACTGAGAGCCGCTTAATATCGCCGCTAACCGCAGCCAAGGACTGATACCCATTCAAGCACGTGCGTCCTCGTTGATACGATGAGGTTTCATCAGCTGGGTTACTTGCGTTTGAAAAATTTAAAAATCAAAAGGAAGCGGAGTGAATTCGATGATATTGTGCCTTTCCGCATAATTAAGTCGTTGGCTTCTCTAACATGGGCGATTATTCTTGAAAATGGACAGACAAAGCATTTACAAGGGATGAAAGAGTGCTATTAGGAAGGATGCTCCAACCCCTCCGACCTCATTCCAATACAGGATTCTTAGGATGGATACCTGTTTGACCGAAGTCTTGTCCAGTTTGGCCGCAGGCAATGTGAACCACATTAGCCGCAGTGTTTCGTACAATGCAGGCTGTTGATGACGCAAAATTTCTTTTGATGCAAGGGATACTTCATTACCGAACTATCCTCGGGAGAGTATCTATCGACGTTTGTCACCCTTCCTTTCTCTTTTTTTTTTTTTTACGCTCTTGTATCTCAGCTGCCTTAGTAGACCTCAGGAGCTTCAGTCTTCGAAGCCCGTGTCTTGAAGCATATCAGCTTCCTTCGAGGTCATTGAAGCATTCATTTAGAAGTGGACATAGATTTCAGTGACACCATGTCCAAATATAGACTTGAATTTCCCACGCACGCCCAGCGCAATCGCATCTCGCAAAACATCACCACTCAGGTTCAATCCTCCGCAATCCACCATAATTCCCACGGTCTCGACTCTGGCCGGATCTCGGGCGGGGGTGGGAAGGGGACCAAGACAAAGAAAAATGCGGGGAAAGGTCATCTCCATCGATAACCGCACCAATTACCTGTTCAGGACGAACGGCCGGATAGCGAAGGAGATGCCATTCCCGGAAGGCTGGCTATCGTGATGTAGGCATGCGCGGACCAATGACGACGACGTGTCGACATTATTGGCGTCGTTCTCCCCCGCAGCTCTGGGTCTTGGTGAGGGGCCGTGGTCCGCATTTTCCCACCCCACCCCTCTTTTTTTTGCTTGGGTGAGGAGGAGGAGATCTAATACAAAGGGCCGCCGCTCGCGTGCTTGCGCGGGGCAGCGATTGTAATGTTTTAAAATCAAACTTTTTGGCCGCGTCGAATATCGCTGTTGAACAACATAGTGAAATCCTTGGCGAAAATGGCGCAGACGATGAAAGCAGTCCACTACGAAGGCCCGTTCAAGGTCTCGGTCAAGGATGTTCCCCTCCCGAAAATCGAGCACCCGGACGATGTCATCATCAAGGTCACCACCGCGGGTATGTGCATTCGTGGTGTTCTCTTACGGGAAAAATCCAATAAAACTGACGGTGGTGCCACCACAGCCATCTGCGGTTCAGACCTCCACATGTACCAGGGCCGCACGGCCGCCGAGGCCGGGTTGGTCTTCGGGCACGAGAACATGGGTATAGTCACCGTACGTACAGTCCCCCCTTCTCGCAGCCGATGGCTAGCGTGGATTTTGTTTTTTTGCTCATGTCATGGGTTGCTGAAGCCATCGTCCCGGACGAAAAAGTGGAATTAAAACAAAATTCTACATACACGTCCGGACGATGGCTTCAACTGCCCACATATGTTATCTTTCCAAGAATGAGCTAAGGCATATTTACGCCTGCGGCTTACTATTCTTCACGCAAGCCTTTGGCTGCGATTACCCCCTGTACTCTGCATCCAAACAGGAAGGAAAGAAAAAAGAAATGAAATCCACAAAAACAAAAGAAAAAAGATAACCATCACTAACCCCCCACGCCCACACCCCCCAGGAAACCGGGCCCGGCGTAACCCTGCTCTCGGCAGGCGACCGGATCGTCCTCCCCTTCAACGTCGCCGACGGGCGCTGCCGCAACTGCGAAGAGGGCCGCACGGCCTTCTGCACGGGCGTCAACGCGGGCTTCGCGGGCGGGGCGTACGGCTACGTCGCCATGGGGCCCTACCAAGGCGGGCAAGCGCAGTACCTGCGCGTCCCCTACGCCGACTTCAACGCGCTCAAGTTGCCTGCTGGCACCGAGCACGAAGCCGACTTCGCGCTGCTGGCCGACATCTTCCCGACGGGGTGGCACGGGCTGGTGCTAGCGGGCTTCAAGGCTGGCGAGACGGTGGCCGTGTTTGGTGCTGGCCCTGTCGGGTTGATGGCGGCGTACAGCGGGGTGCTGCGCGGGGCGAGCAGGGTGTTCGTGGTGGACCAGGTCGCTGAGAGGTTGCAAGCGGCGGAGAGGATTGGGTGCGTGCCCGTTAATTTCCGCGACGGCGACCCGGTGGAGCAGATCATCAGGGCGAATGGAGGCGAGATGGTCGATCGCGCGGTGGATGCCGTGGGTTATCAGGCCGTTGACGCGTCTGGGAGCACGGAGAAGCCGAACATCGTGCTCGATCAGCTCATCCGCGTCACGAGGCCGACGGGCGGGCTGGGCATTCCGGGTTTGTACGTGCCCGCGGATCCTGGGGCGCCGGATGAGCAGAGCGGGAAGGGCCAGATTCTGATCTCGTTTGGGAAGCTGTTTGAGAAGGTAAGCCGGGATGAGTGCGGTGTTGAGCGATATTGCTGACAAAAGATGAAGGGCTTGTCTCTCGGAACCGGCCAGTGCAACGTCAAAGCGTACAACAGATACCTCCGCGATCTGATCATCTCCGGCAGGGCCAAACCTTCTTTCGTCGTCTCTCATGAGGTTTCGATTGATGAGGCGTCTGATGCGTATGAGAAGTTTGACAAGCGAATCAACGGGTATACCAAGGTGCTGATTCATCCCAATGGGCCTCTTTCGTAAGGTGGCTGCAGGTTAGCGTGGGTTGGAAAGATCTGAATCTGTTCTACGCACATAGCCCGAGCCTATGCTGGTATTCAAAGTAGTGATATGAGATCACGACAGAACAACGAAACTGGATGGAGTGAAAAACAAACGACGGAAAAATCTTTTGAACATGTGATATGACGACCATTACCTACCACCCTCACTTCTTGCGCTTCACCAGCCCCTTCTTTCTCTTTCCAGTGACATCCCTTCCCTCGTCGATCTCCAACAAAGCTTCTCTCTTCTTTTCTCCCACAATCTTCAGCGCGTCACGAATGACCCTGGTCTCGACGTTGACGCCCTCCTCTTCGTACTCGACCATCTTCGTGCCAACCCTGTCCTCAATGGACAAAATGAGCTCCACATCCCTCTGCCCCACCATCGTCACGCTCTCACCGGAGCGTCCCGCACGCGCAGTACGACCGACCCGGTGGATATAGTCATCAGGGTCGCGAGGGACGTCGTAATTGATGACCATCTCAACGGCGGGAATATCGAGACCACGGGCGGCAACATCGGTAGCCACCAAGATGCGGGCAGCCTTGGCGCGGAAACGAGCCAGGTTAGATATGCGTTGAGACTGAGGGAGGCCGGAATGCAAGCTTGCCACGCGGTGTTCGAGAAGACGCAGCATTTGCTCGAGAAGCTGCGCCGTCGAGGTGCGGTTGACGAAAATGATGGTGGATTTTGATTCGTTGGCGGGGGTGAGGAGAAGGGTATGTAGATAGGCTTCCCGGTGAGTGACGGGAACCTGGAGGTACTTTTGCTGCAGGGTCGTGGGGACAGCCAGGTCCTCTGTGTCAACTTCACAGACAAATACTTCTTGCTTGCCAGGTGTCCGCGGCATATCTTTCAAAGCGCGGACCTCGGGTGTGACGGTGGCCGTAAACAAGAGGGTCTGTCGTTGGCTTGATGGTGGGAGGACGGAAAGACAAGTCTCGACGTCGGGAAGCATGCTGCCGCGGCCAGATGCGAGAAGGCGATCGGCCTCATCGAGGACAACAAAGCGTACCCGACGAAGGCCGCAGACGGTGTCTTCACCGGACGATTTGATGTGGTCAGCAAGACGGCCGGGAGTGGCAATCACAACATGGGGTCTTGAAGCCAGTGCTATTGCCTGTGAGCGCATGTCGGTACCACCAGTGACCAGGATGGTCTTGAGATTTTGAGGTCCTCCGATAGCATTGAATTGCTCGTAAATTTGGAGAGCAAGTTCACTACAGATGATTAGGAAGGTGATTCAAGCATTGGGATCGTGGTACATACCGAGTCGGGGTTAGGACTACAGCAAAGATGGCCACGGGATCTTCGCTCCATTTCTGGAGAATCGGCGCGGCAAAGGCAACAGTCTTACCAGAACCTGTTCTGCTACCGCCAATGCAGTCTCGGCCTTTGATAATCTCGGGAATACAGCCTTTCTGAATGCCTGTGGGTTTTTTGATGGCCATGGCAGAGAGAGACGCAACAAGCCATGGTGAAACATTGAGAGAAGCAAAGGAAATGTTTTCTTTGTAGTTCTGGGAAGCGAGAATAGTAGCCGGTGTCTCTTTTTGGGCGACACCAGTCTGTTTCGCTTTCACACGTGAGAGCGTCGAGGTAGGCAGGGACCTTGGCTGCGGCTCATCTTCTGAATCCGAGTCGGCGACAGGCGACAATTTTCTCCTTTTCCTGGCTCCGTGCTCTTCAACTCTCACATGCGAGCTCTCCGAGTCGGAGGCCGAGGACGAGGCGTCTACGGACGAGGGCGACATTGTTTTGTCGTTCACAGTCGGAAGCCGAAGAAAGTCGTCAAAAAATCTTGGGCGCTCGGAGCTGGAGCTGGTTTATCCGGGCTCGCTTAGTCAGGCGGGCCACGGCCCATGGCGCGCGTATCCACGGTACGGGCTCCTGTCTCGACATCTGGCTCCTGCGTGGCCGGCGGGGTCTTCGGCGCGGGCTGAGACGGAACCTTGCGTTCGATTGGCTGCCAAGGCTGTGATTCCAACCTCGACTCTGCGCATTGCTGTTGGCCGGCAGCATGAACTCTGCTTGCATGCGTCGCCGCGATCATGAGGAGCAGCGGGCGTTCCACCAGCAACGCCAAATGGCACGCTGGCTCGAAGCGCCGAGCCCACGATGCCCCGCAAGGGTCCATCAATGCATCTCGTCCTTCTCCAGAGGCGAGATCCCCCTGGTGATCATCGAGATGCACGGCGGCCGGGATGCGGCGCAAAGCGCGGGCTCTGCGAAAGCCAGAAGCAGCCAGCGGCGCATATGGAGTCAGGCAGGCCGCTCGCAAATTGCCAAGCGCACCGACGACGAAAGACTCGGGCGGGTCCGCATCCACAGCGTTCGGGACACGTGTGGGACGCGGTGTTGCTTCGCCGGCCCCCTTTGAGCCTGCCGCTGCGGTTTTGGCCCGCTCCAGCCGTCAGCAGGCTGGTACTGTCGGGGGGTCGGCGTGACGTCGACGTGCCGGGGCGGTTCGCTCGAGGGGAGCCCGGCGCGGCTCTGACCACCCGTTGCGCGCTGCAGCCGGCGTGTAGTAGGGCACAGCGGCGCCAATTCACCGCCAGCTGCGCATACCGAAGGGCCCATTCCAACTCTATTGCGGCCGCGGAGGTCGGTGAAGCTGCTCTGGTGCCGTCACATAAGAACAGCGCCTTATGAAACGCACCATCCGGCCCCCAGCCCAACGGCCAAGGAGTCCAGCTACGCCTCACGCGGGCGGCTACACGACGGCTACAGCCGTAAAACCTGCGCTTCGCCCTCGACCTCGACTTGCTCCCTCTCTGCATCCCTTCGCTCGCTATCCTCCCCCACCTGTCACCCGCCTGCCATAGGGCTGCCCGCACTGCGCGCTGGCCCAGGGAGATCGCTCTCGGCAGACCCAGACCCAGCACGCGCCAGAACCCAGACGCAGACGCGCACGCAGCCGCACGCACACGCACAGCTGTCGTCCATTGCGCCTCCCAAGCCCCGCGCCGCTCCCGTCCGCTGCCAGCTCCTCCGCGCCGCTGAACTCCCAAATCCAGCCCAATCCTGACGCTCCACCGGTCCCACCGCACGCGCGCACGGCCGGCCTCGATAACTGCAGCTCCACCACTGCTTTCCCCTCCCGCATCGCCATCGAGCGGATCCCCTCGACACCACGGCTCTCCTCGCTCCCCCATCGATCCAGCCTTCCTGCAGCCAAGCGCCGCCCGCCCCGACCCGATAGCTGGGTCGAGCCTACAAAGGAACACAAAGCCTCCTCCCGCAGCGCTTCCCGCCGCGTGCCTGACGCTGCTGGTGGCATCGCTGCGGGTGCTTGCAGACCCTGCACAAGGGCTTTGGCCGTGTGACTCCCGAGAGAGACGATAGTCGAGTCCGCCTCCAGCACCATCCTACATGCAGCCGAACGAAGCCGCCTCCGGCTCGCGCCCCAGTACCCCGCAACACCAGCAATCTCAGTCTTCCAGCGCCATGTCGACGCCAGCTCCTCTTCTCCGCCCGCCGATCCCGGGTGCGCGGAGCCACTCCTCGCCGCGCGCTCCCCGCCTGGGCCTATCCATCCCGCCCTCTCCCAACGCAAGACCCGTCGTCAACGGCCAGACAGCATCAGACGTCCACCAGATGCCCGCCCTGCACCCCCCGCAACAGCCCCTCAACGCCCGTCCGTCTCTTCCGAAGCTCGCCCTCGCCACCCCCAGCGGCGGCCAAGCAACGCCGCAGGAGGGCGCCCCCAAGCGCGGCGTGGCCGGGCTCAAATTACAATTACCAGGCAACTCGGCGTCGGGGAGCAGCAATGCCTCGGCCAACAGCCGCAGCGGCAGTTTCGGCGAGCGCGGCCCGCCGTCGTTGCAACTTAACACGCTAAACAACAACTCACACGACCCCATCTCCGCTCTCTCTAACGGCCAATCGCCCACCCTTAACTCCAACTCGTCCGCCGAGATGACACGGACCAATAGTGATATAATGGTTCTGCCCGACCTTGCTCAGCTGCAAATCGACAAGGGCGGCAACCTGGAACCTGGCGATTTGGATAATGCCGGCTGGAGAGCGGCAAGCAAGGAGGGCCTGATTGAAGAGCTTGGTTCGCTAGGCGAGGGTGCCGGTGGTGCGGTTACGAGGTGTGTCTTGAAGGGTTCCAAGACTGTTTTTGCGCTGAAGGTGAGACTCTCACATGTCTTTGACTCGGACCCCGAACTTACTGGCGGCTTAGATCATCACTTCGAACCCCGACCCTAGCATAAAACGTCAGATTGTGCGTGAGCTGCAGTTCAACGCCTCCTTACAACATCCCAGTATTTGCCGTTACTATGGAGCTTTCCAGCCTCCATCTAATACCTCGATAATCAACATTGCCATGGAATTTTGCGAGGGCGGTTCCCTCGACTCGGTCTACCGCGAAGTTCTCGGCCGTGGGGGCCGTATCGGAGAGAAGGTGCTGGGCGTCATCGCGCGCGGCGTGCTGGAAGGCCTGACATACCTTCACAGCAAGCGTATCATCCACAGAGATATCAAGCCCTCCAACATCCTCCTGTCACGTGCCCCGATGAACCCTGACGGCTCGAGGCAGCACGGCAAGGGCTCTCGTTTGAATGCCTGGGAAGGCATCGTCAAGCTTTGCGACTTTGGTGTCAGCGGAGAGTTCGGTACCAAGGGCATGGCCGACACATTTATTGGAACTTCGTACTACATGGCACCGGAGCGCATCCAGGGTCTCTCCTACACAATCACATCCGACGTGTGGAGTCTGGGCGTCACATTACTGGAAGTCGCCCAAGGCCGGTTCCCCTTCCCGGCCGATGCCGATGGCGAGAGCGGTGCGATAGCACCCCGCGCCGGCCTTATCGATCTGCTCACGTACATTGTGCGGCAGCCGATTCCCAAGCTCAAGGACGAGCCCAAGAACAACATTTCCTGGGGAGACGGTTTCAAGTATTTCATTGAGTGCTGGTAAGCTAACATCTCCACGAACCAAACTTTGATATCTTGCTAATCGGTACACTAGTCTGGAGAAGGAGCCCAACCGTCGGGCAACACCTTGGCGCATGCTGGAGCACCCGTGGATGGTGGAGATGAGAAGCAAGAAGGTCAACATGGAATCCTTCCTTGCGAAAGTATGGGATTGGAAAGACTAGGTGGCTTTTAAGACGCAAGGAGAGAGCTAGAGAGTGTCCAAAAGTTATTTTTGTTCACGAGGCACTCTCGCAGCATCACACATACACACACACACAAAAAGTTTCGAAGCTCGTGACGCTGCGCGTTGGGCTAAAGGCAGGGCAGACGAGATGATGGGAAAAAGAAAAGGAGAATTTTCAAAGCACCAACACATCAAGGCACCTTTGCTTTCTATCGAAGAAAGAGATTGGACTCACCCACACGTGATCTTTCCTCATCAAGGATCGATTCGTTTAAAGGGTTTCATCGTGTCTACCAACCTGGGTTTTTTGTTTCGGGATTGGTAGTTATCGAACGGGCGGCCGCCAGCACACACGCACACACAAAGGCATTGGAAAAGGCGTTCTCTGTTGTATTGTTGCTTTATTTGTTTACTCGCTTTTCCGGTTCGTCTTGGATCCTTCCCTGTACCTTTTTTGAAGGGGATTCGGCGGTTGGTATTCAGTGTGGATGTCTTTACTTTTGCCAGGTGATTGAGATAAGTGTATGGGCGAGTCGATTCCGTCCCCGCACGTTCAGGGCCTGCGGATGTGTGGAAAAGCCTGTTGGGTTGAGAAAGACGCTGGTAATTGGAGTAATTGACTTCTGATCAACTTGTTGTGTTTTGGTGATTAGAAATTATGAGTTCGCCGTCACTTGCATCATTTCACTTTATTTTGACATCTGTCGTTCGCGGTAGGTCGGAGGTTAGAGTCATGACGTATATCAACAGTCATCAAAGCACATTATCAAATTTCGTCACGCATCAGATGGAAGTTTTGCATTTTACATCATTTCGATTTCCATCTAAACCCTAAGAAATGGTATCTCTCTAATCCAGCCATGATGGGGGTTCCGGCTTTTATCGCAGCTTAAAATAAGCAACGCTTCCCATCTATCGTACGCTTATACCGTGAGGGGCGAAGAAGGACTCGGAGGGATTTAGATGGCCTTGGCGGCCTTGAGCAGGCTGGGCAGCTCCGACTTCTTGGCCTGCAGGTCGCTGTTGCCGCCGATGTGCTTCTTGTCGATGAAGATGTTGGGGACGCTGCGCTGGCCGGTCATGTCCTCGAGAGCGTCCTGGATGGCGGCGCCATCATCTACATGTCCAACGTCAGCAATCCGTATTCTTTTTATTGTTTCCAATCTGGTTGTCTTCTGGTCGCGCCCGGCAGATCTCGGAATTCGCTTTTTTGCCGAGGTAGATGGTGGGGTGTGGTAGTGTGTAGGGCGAATAAGAGCGAGGCTAGTTGCGCTTGTACGTACCGACTTGGTCGAGCTCGATGGCGTAGTACTTGGCGCCCAACTCGGAGAGCAGCGACTTGGTGGCGCGGCAGTAGGGGCAGTAAGACTTGCTGAAGACGGCTATTTTTTAAAGGTTAGCTTCTTCCGGCTGCACAAGAGAGGAAAATATGGTTACGCACCAACAGCGTTGTCGTCGATGATGCCCTGGGCCTTGGTCTTCGCGGCAGACATACTGGCGGGACTGGTTGCGCGAGTGAAGAAAGATCGTAGGAACTGAATGATGGGCAGTTGGTTGGAGCGCTGAAGCTTGTTCCACGGATGTGGGCAAGCTCAAGCTAAGGTGGGAGGGGCGGTGGTTATATAGAGGCTCAAGTGGGGAAATTGCAAATAGCGCCAGGCCTGGACCGGATGGCGACAAAGAGCGTGGATGCGGGATGGAGGGGTTGTGTCAGTGGTCGATTGCTAAGCGTGAGGGCTGAAGAGTGCTCGTGCTGCTGCTAAGCCAAGCATTTCGCCGGGGCCGCGCGCAGGGACGCTGCATGACGCAACCCCGATCCTTGGCGGTGTCACTTGCAGCCAAAGCTGCCACCCAAACTTATCACCAAACAAACCTCCTACCCGAACCGGCCACCTCTTTGACGATCTTTCGAGACTCGAGCCATCACCCGAGAGATCCCGCCCCGTTACGCGACACCCCCACCATCCCGCCGCCCCCGACGACGCGTCCCGAGATATGCGCGCGCGACGCCATCCCTAAGCCACACCGTCTGCGACTCTGCTAGGGGCTCTTTCTCCCCCCTCAACCCCCCAAACAACATCTTCGACACTTCGACTCAACACCGCGCGCACCACCAACCGTCCGCGCCATGAGTGGAGACTCGGGAAGCATCGCAGCCGCCGCCGTGGCGTCCGCGCTGGTCAAGCGCTCCTCGGCCGGCTCCAACGCCTTCTTCTCCATCTCCGTCGCCGTCATTTGCCTGCTGGTCTTACTACTGCTACGCTACTACCTGCCACTGCGCAAGACGCCCGCGTACCTGCTCGTCCCCGTCTTTTTGGCCCTAGCCTTGCCCGCCAGCATCATCCTGCTCGTGCCCATCGACCTCGGCAGCGTGAGGAGCGTCAATGGCGAGGACAAGGGCGGAAGGGGCGTCTGGCTGCCGGAGCGCGCTCTGCTGGTCTGCTGGAGGATAGGATACTGGTTAACCTTCGTCCTTACTTGGTACGACTCCCTTCGGTGTGGGAAGTGAGGGGGTGGTTTCGCTAATTCGTTTTTTTGCGCAGGGCGATTCTTCCGCTTCTCGGCGAATACAGCGATGCCGGCTACTTGGCTCCGAAGTCGCGCTTCCTTTACTCGCTTCGCTCGAACGGGCAGTACTGGATGATTATCATTGGCTGCAGCATTGTCGGCGCTATATACTTTATAATGACCAATGGCTTCCACTTCACGTCTTTGAAGGGTTTGGTCATGGCTTTGGCCTATGCGTGGGGTCTCATCCTCGCTATTTACCTCATGGGTCATGGCCTTGTGGCTCTGCCTAGGCGGCTTTGGAGGAGCGCGAGCATAGCGGAGCGGTTGAAGAGAATCCAGGCCCATGCGCCCAAGGTCCACGAGAAGCTTGAGGATGCTACTGAGAAATTGGAGGACTACGAGGCGCAGGTCATGCAGTTGAGGAACAAGAGGAGCTCAGTGCCCAGAGAATTCCAGGAATGGATCGAGGAGCTGGCGGACACTGCATCTCTGTTGGAGGCGCAGCCGTCAAGATCTGTTGGCGCCCCGAGAACGACCATTCCTTCAGTGATTACCGAGAAGTACTTGGCCGATCTGACCAGAAGGCTGAAGAGGGCGAGACACGCAAGGCTGCGCTTTGAAGATGAATGGGCGCGCTTGGTTTCTTCCGCTGTTTTCACCCAGGCTATCCTTGATGCTGCGGGCCCCAAAAAGCTCGATGCCACGGCTGGCTCTACCTGGAGACGGGACAACTTCTGGTCCCGACTTGGCCGAAGGACGCTCAGCCCTCGCATGCGTTATCACTGGCATACCCATCTCATTCCTGCCCTCTACTACGCCTTGAGTGTCTTCCTTGGATTGGCGTCGGCTGCTGTTGTTTGGTCTGAATTTACCAAGGCTATCTCCGCCAAGGTCAATATCATTAGCCGCACGGTTGTCCACCATCCCAGCTCCGACTCAAAGATCGGCTTCGCAGGACAATGCATTGCAGCGCTCTGGCTACTTTACATGGTTATGTCCGCGCTCTACGCCATCACCGAAGTCAAGATCTGGGGCAACCGCGCATTGGTCCGTCGCCAAACCTACGCCGAGAGCGCGTGTTGGTATTCGTGCCAGGTCGCCAAGCTGACGGTGCCGCTGGCCTACAACTTCATCACCTTCTTCGAGGGTGAGATCTACAAGGAGACGGTCTTCTTCTCCTTCCTCGGCAAGCTGGTCAACCTGACGCCGCTCGGCTCGGGCTTCTCGAGCTACTTCCCCATGCTCATCCTCATCCCGGTGGCGGCGACGCTGTTCGGCCTGTATGGGCGGGCCAAGCGCATCATCGGGCTGGGCGAGTACATGGAGATCGGCGACGAGGATGACGACGAGATCGACAACGCCTTTTCGGGCTGGCGTGAGGGCCGCGCCCTCATCGACCGCGAGGTCCACGGCAACGGCCTCCTCGCCGGCACCACCAGCGCCCTCGGCCTCCGCAACGCCCCGGCCGCTGCTTCTTCCTCGTCCTCTCCGCTCGCCGGCTCCTCGCCGCGCACCGCCAGCCCTGCCCAAGGCATCCTCTCACCGAACAAGAACCGCTCCCCCGTCCGCCCTGCCGGCTTCGCGAGCCACAACCGCACCGCCACCAGCACCGCCGCATGGCAGCAGCAACAACGATCGACAGCTGCTTCTGCTTCTGCTGCTGCTAACCCTCCTTCGTCGTCTTCACGCGGCCGCCCCGCCGCCGAACGCAGCACCAACAACATCTTCTCCAGCGCCGCCGCCGAAGATGCTGCAGAGGCTGAAGGTGGCTGGCTCGGCGACTTCACGCACCGCCTGCGCAACACGTTCGAGACGGCAGACTTCACGCCGCCGAAGTGGATGAGACCGGGTTCGAGTGATGGGAGTGCTGGTAGTGGGGGTGGAAATGTAGGGGGTGGTGAGGGGGAGGGAGCGCTGGGGCCGTTGGAAAGGTTGTTTGGGGGGAATAGGGGGGGTGGTGTTAGGTTGAGGTAGTTGGTTGGTCGATTGGTCTGGGGAGAGGGGGAGGGAACGGTGTGAAGGAGAAGGGAGTGAGTGCTGCTTGGGTAATATGCATGAGCGTGGCGTTGGATGTATGCGTTTTTTTGTTTTTGTTCTGTCCCCTTCTAATACTTGTTCTTGTGTATCATCATCTCTCATTTCGCCCCTTGACTTGGGGTTTTGGGATTGCCCCCGTTTTGATTTGCTGCGAGCATGGCTGGTGGCGGTGAGGGACGAGGGACGAGGGACGAGGAAAGGAGTCTTGTAGAAAAATATGGCGCGTGTTGGGTAGGATAGACTTTTTTTTCGCGTGGAAATCAAAGAGATCAACAACACTTCTAAGCCAACAAGGACCTTGTTTACATCTGTAGGAGGTGGGGACTTGGACGTTTTACACGGCAAGATACCATGCATGGTGTTGAGATACTACTATGATGTCACACTTCTCCTAAACTTTAGACCCCCTTGCTTTTTTTTTTTTAGTGGTTCTACTACAGTCTCCTCTCGCAGCCGATGACTAGCATGGGTTTTTTTTTTCTTTATTTTTTGCTCATGTCATGGGTAGATGAAGCTATCGTCCGGACGTGTATGTAGAATTTTTAAGTCCACATTTTCGTCCGGATGATAGCTTCAACTACCCACATATATTACTTTTTCGAAGAAAAGGCTGAGGTATAATTACGCCCGGGGCCTTAGTATTCTTAGGGGGGGTGTTGCAGCCGATGGCTAGCGTGAATTTATTTGTATCTTATACCATGAGTAGTTGAAGCTATCGTCCGGACGTGAATGTGTAATTATTATTTCTACATTTACATCCGGATGGTAGCTTCAACTACCCATTCATGTTGTTTTTTCGAAGAAAAGGCTGAGGCATAGTTACGTCTGGGGCCTTACTGTTATTCTTCACGCTAGCCCGCCACCGGCTGCGAGACCCCCTTCTACATCTAAGATTCTTACCCATTATTCCTCAGGGCTTCCCCCAGATGCAAAAGAAAAATTCACACGCACCTTCGTATGTTCCCTGAAACCATACATGCAACACCACACGCCCAGACGACAAGACCAATTTTTATTGCGAGCCAAGACCGGGGAGGGGGACGCACGCACCCACCGCCGCCAAAAACCCGAGGGGATGGTGATAGGGCAAGGTAGGAGTAGTATCGCACAGCAGGGTGTGCGTCGCTGTGTGCGGGCCGACTGCTTGCCCAAACTCTAAAGCCTAAACGCTCAACTTCGAACGTCGTGCCAAGGGGTTGGCGCAGACACGTGGCGATGCAGGACCGTGTTGGTGCTTGCTGCGTGTGGCTGGCGCTGGCGTGGGCGTTGGGCGTGCATGGGCGTTGCGCGGCGGTCCGAATAGCTGGGTTGTGGGATCGCGGTGGGATGCCTATACTACTACTATCCTTCGTTTATTTTGCCTCACTTTTTTTTGTGCGCGGTAAATGATGCTGGGGACTTTTTCTATTGCACTGCGTTTTCTCATTCGCGAGTCGCTTTGGGGTAGTACGATGTACTACAAGAGATGCATTTGTTGCGACTGTAAAATAGGAGAAATAGTACAGGCGAAATAGGCAGGGATATAAATTGCGTCAAAGTCGTGGCATAACACAACGGGTTATTACTACGATTGATGTTCATCAAAGACAATCACAATTTTATTACTTCTTCTCCAGTGGCTTGGTCGTTACAAGTTGCTTTGATCTCTTCTTCGTTATTCTTCATCTATACCCTTTACTGCGCTCTGACCATCTGTCCCCGACAGCCAGTATGGAGGGATATCGCAGCCGAAGGCTAGCGTGAAGAATAGCAAGGTCCCAGGCCTAAGTATGCCCTAGCCTTTTCTTCTCTTCTCCTTCTTTCCCCCCTTAATAAACAACATACGTGGGTAGTTGAAGCTATCTTCCAGACGAGAATGTGGAAATACTCTTAAAGAGGTACGTTGTTATTCGTAAACTCTCAGAAAATTCAATTTGTTGCAAAATCCCGGGCATCAAGATATGCCAACTACCTTGGTAAAGTCGTCCAATTCAGTCTAAATCGAAACGTAGAAAATATACCATTTCAATGAAACGTGCTTCAAAAGAATAATTTCATTGGAAGAGCGTCGCAAGACCCTGAATCACGGCTTGGTGGACCCCTTTCCTTTCCCCTGGTAAGCAAATCGAAGTCAACCACGGATTTTCCGCTTCCAGCTACGAAAAAATGTCACTTTTATCTGCAGTTTAAACTCTTTGCGCCGCGGTAGCCAAGGACTACATATAAACGCACCAGGCAATCAATCTCTTACCGTCCAGATCTCTTCCTCATACAATCAGAGAAAAGAGAAAACAGCAACAACCACGACACCATGTTGCTCGTCCCTTCCAAGATGCTCGCCGACCGGGTGTGCTCGACGTACCAGACCGCGGGCACTGCTCCAGTGTCGTCTTCCTCGTTCTCCTCTTCATCATCACAACCGTCTGAATTACCACCTGTGTCACCACTATCGACGCCACATTCCCTGCCGCCACTCTCCACATGCACAAGCACCACCCCAAGTTCCTACATCTCCTTCTCCCCCAACGAGCCAGAATTCACCACCACACCACCACTATCACCAGCCACACCAACAACCACCCCCCTCACCACCACCACCACCACCCCGCCACCCCGCCCACCCCGCCCACCCCTCAAACGAATGCCGACACTACAGCAGTTACCGGGCGAAATTGTCGAAGATCACGACGACACACCAGCACTTCCCCCGCCGCCACCGCCGTCATTAGCATCCTCGTACTACTACTCCTCCTGCTCCTCGTCGTTGACATCGTCTTCGGAGTCGCCATCGTCGGCGGCGGCGTGGGTGCCGCTGCCGCTGCGCTTCAAGCGGACGAACACGCTGGTCAGCAGGGACAGCGAGAGCGCGCTCGCGCGGATATCGCAAGCCAGTCCACGGACGGCGGTGCGGAAGAGGGTGAAGAGTGTGGATAAGGTGGTGAAGGGGGGTTATGGCGGGGCGGACGGGTTGTGGAGTGTGAGCGATGATGGGGAGGATGAGGAGGGAGAGGGAGAGGGAGGAGACGAGAACGGAGGGGATGGCGGGGGGCTTGCGGCGGGGGTCAAGAGGATCCTGGGGGCGCTGACGAAGAGGTGGTGGTGGAAGCAGCGTGACGAGGAGGATGGTGATGATGAGGAGGAGGAGGTGGTGGTGGAAGAGTGTTGTATTCACTCTGGTGCGGAGGCGCGGGTGGACAGGTTTCAGGAGTTGCATTGTAGGGGGTGCTTGCGGAGGGAGAAGGGATCTAAGTTCAAGCAAAGTGGAAACTGGGTTTGTTGATATCAGGTACGCGCAGGTTGCATAAGGGTAGAAACGGTCATGGGTGTGGATGACCGAGGTTTGATGCGAGGTTTTTTTTTTTTGAAAAATAAAAAGGATATTGTAGTTCATTAGAGGGACGCAAAGAAAAAAGGTACATATCCTTCATCTTGGGAGCCTTGGAGACTCAGTGAAGCCTTGGCACATGGCGGGCAGTTAAAACAAAAAAACCAACAGACTTGGGCTCCAGATGCTGCAAGATGTGAATCTTTAGATGACGGAGAATTCACATGTGTGCCAAAGGGAGAAGGTGCGGACAATTTCTCGGACGAGGACCGTCAGGGCTGCGGATGTGTTCGGCTGGCTGACCCAATCAATAAACCACGGCTGACGGCAGCATGATTGGAGATGGTGTAGCGGATATAATTTAGCGGCCAAAGAGCGGAGACGGGCGGAGGACGACGGGATGTTAGCCTCATCATCAGCCACAAGAGAGATCGTGGATTCAGTCCCATCTCGATGCGATTTTGCAATGCAGCTGCGAAAGTGATCAAATGTCGACAAATGACGTGCATCAGCAGTGGAGAACGCTCCGAGCAGTAGTAATCATCGTCGTCGAGTGGCGAATGTGGATAGAGCAGGGGTGCGGTGCGATGCGGCTGGGATTGCTGGTGAAGATCACCCGGCATTACCAAGCACGGTGATGTCGTGTTGCTCATGTGGGATGCTTTGAAACGGCTTGGTTAGACCAAATGCGGGCGGCGCTGAGGGGCGAGTACGGCGAGCTGGCTCCTTACCGGTTCCATTCCGCGCTGAGAGAGCAGGTTGGAGCTTGGGAGCGCAGGACAAGACGGTTACGCACGTCGGCCACCCGGCTGGGCGCGACGCGACGCGGTCGTGTTGACGTCATCGGTCTGGATCTGTCACGGCACCCAGCACGGATTCGCTGCGAACGAACTGCTGCACAAGCCGTTCTGCCAATCAGTCCGGTGCGGGTCAAGCCTTTGCTTGGCTGTTGTCCAAATCATGGTCAAGGAAGGGTCGCGCCTGCCCTCAACGTCAGACCCTTGGCTACGCACTATAACCCGTCCTCTTCCACACACGTTTCCTATTTCTCCACCCATTCACTGTTGCGCGACTCATTCTGCTCCCCCAGTCTCCAGTGTCTTTCCGTCGTCGCTCGTCGTTTTTGGACGTCGATTATTTCCGCGAGCAGCCAGCCCGTTCTGCCGCTTCCATCCGTTTCCGTCACAACGAACAGGCCATTCATAACACCACCACAGCCACCAGCAACACCGCTTCAGCCTTCGCACTGCACAACCCTCCGCCATGGCTGTCATCTGGGGGCTCGATCTCAAGGAGATGCAATGGGGCAAGTTCAAGAACTCGTACATGTGGAACAATGAGTACCACCTGCGCCGCACAAAGTTCATTGTCTACCAATGTGCCATGATCTTCTGCGTCATATCCGAATCTCTCGGCACCGCCGTGCTATCCGGTATGCACCTCTCCTTCCCGCCCAACACATCCAAACACTAACAACCGAGCCAGATTACATCGACCAGCAGCGCCTCGTCGCCAAGCTCAACCACGACGCCTACGTCTACAACAACGACTACGTCGGCGCGGGCTCGTACAACATCTTCGTCGGCGTCTACATCGCCACCATCTTCGGCGGCGCCTTCTTCTTCGACCTCTTCTGGCCCGAGCGCCGCGAGTCGCCGCAGGTCAAGCTGGCCTGGCGCATCTGCTCGGTGCTGGCCTGTGTCTTCGCCCTGTCGTCGGCCCTGACTATGACTGTCATCACCGCTACCCACTTCGCCTACGTCGCCGGCGTCAGCGACGAAGAGGCTCGCCGCTTGCTCGCCGCTTCGTACAAGAGCCCCGGCAGCCCCATGCAGTACCGTCACAGTGGTCGTGCTATCGCCAGCGTCGTCTTCCTCTGGCCCGGCTTCGTCGCGACCGTCGCCAGCACCGTCATCATGTGGAAGAGCTTGGCTCACAATGACCGCCTCGGCCCCAAGAGCACCCACGCTCGCGAGGCGGAGAAGGGCTACGGTGGTGCGCCGGTCGTCGATGGTCCTGCTGCCACTTCGGATGGCGTTGCTCGTCCGGAGCATGCGCACGTGAACGGCAGTTCTTCCACGGAGATGAACGGTGAGAAGGCTTACGAGGCTGTGTGAGTGAGTGGTTGGATGATGAGGCAAGCACTGAAGTGGTAATTGGGGAGTGGCCTCTTTCGATTCTTTCTACTACCATTGACAATGTTTTCACGACTTGATCATGATGATACCCACCTGTACTATTAGATTACGCATTGGGACTGGGCTGGGCTGGGTTGGATGGATGGAAACAAAAGAACGACGATTTCATTCATACGGTCAAGAGGATGGATGAGGACCGGTAATAAGTAGGGTTCTTTTAGGCTTCTTGTCACTGTATTACTTCACCGTTGCAACCACTTTTCATCAATGCGATCGATAACAAGTACTTCACATCCGCATGATTTCCCTTATCGACACTGACTTGCTATATCTGTTGTCACATAGCGACGTGCATCTGTGATGTCCCAGTGAACGTCACAGATAGCAATCCCTCTTCAAGCAACGCTCTATACTTCTCCAAAGTCCGTATGCTTTTGTGGTTTAGGCCAAAACGAAAAACATATGATAGGTATCTAGAGCGCATAAAACCTTAAGGCTTCGCCCTTCTCTCGCTCTCCAGATACAATGATTGAAAATCTTATATATCTAAATGCAATGAATTCATCTCTCTATTCTCTCCTTTTCTGCTCTCCTCTTCTCTGGATAAGCTTGCAACTTACGATTACGAGAACCAGAACTGTAGTAGAATGTGTGCAGATTTTAACTTGACGTGTCCCACCCTCCGAGAAGAAGACTATTATCTGCTCCTACGCAGAGAAAGAGTAGTGAATTTAGATTAACCTGAGGAATTTCCTTCTCGCTGAGCTTATTATAGGTGCGGGTTGAATTTGCTCGAGGATCCGATTCCGTCTGACGTTGGCCTCCCGCCTGTTAAACCATCTTTTCAGGTCTCGGGCGTTTCTCCAAGGATCCGGATTCCCGGACGAGCTGGTCCATGCCGTACTGGCCGCAGTAGACATAAGCATTGTAATTCCGAATTCATTATCGCCGTTGCTCGTAGTGACGATGGCCCGTATGCCTAGCACGGGTTTGACATTCTCACACGGATGGCCCTTTTTGTGTGAAGTTCGCTGGCCACTGTGCACATGCAACTGGCGGCGAATTGGGAAGCATCTGGACTCAATAGCAAGCCTGGTCACCCGGTATGCCAGATTGCTGATCAGTATGACGGTACTGCGGCGGCAGATGGTCGATTGTGACCGTAAGAGGCACACATCGTAGACCAGTAGGTGTTCGACATCGTCGAACGTGATCGGATGCTTCACTATATCATTTTCGACCTTTCCGTCTCGGGGGAAAAACAAGCACCTCTCCGAAAATAGAGCGTGCAACTCTGGTAGCTGAAGCAGATCTTTTTTTCCTTTTCCAGTAAGCACGTTTCCGGATAGTGAAATGCTTATTTGTCACTTGCCGTACCATCACTCAACCACCAGTGGCTCTGAGTTGCACACACTTGATACGAAAGAAATACCTCCAGGCACGGCTATTCTACAGTAATACCTGGAGGCTTCCTCGCACCCCAAAGTGATGTCACACAGCAGCGTGTTATTACCACCGCGGTCTTAATCAGGGCGGATCCCAACCGCGGTAGACGTGTACGATGTCGGTTCCATTAGTGCTGTAGCAAGTCAGGCTAGATGGAGAGCTCTTGTCCGGATACAGCTGTTCGCATTCATGTCCGGATAGACGCATCATCTACTCCAACTTGTTACAATTCTAAATAAAGCCAACCTCGACCTGCGGCAATTTGACTTGCAATAATGCACGAATCTCCACACGTCTCCGCCACTTGTTGGAAGACCCCTTAGATTCTGTAACTTGCACAACTATCAAAAACGTCATGCGGGGTTGGTTCGCATAGAATTAGAACATGGGGAGTTAAAGCTGGAGTCACGCCATACCCACGAACAGAAGCATTCAGACCAGAGAGCTTCAGCCGCGCTAACTCAATCGAAATCCCAAGCGAACCCCCCAGTCCTGTAGGCTATGGCGCTTAGAGAACCCTGGAAGGTGTAGTAGTTTTCTAATGATCTCATGACAATCGGTGTACTTTCGATGCCCTTACTTCGATCCCGGCTCCCTCAATGCTGGGAAAAGCAAGCGCGGGCGAAAAAAGAGACCATATGACCGGCGCGAAAGGAATTTCCCAAGAGCCAAAAAAGAGAACAGCAGCAATGGACCAGGGTAGAGGGGATCAATCCGGCATGAAAGCATCAAGCATGAAGCATGAGAAAAAAAATCTTAAAGTTCTTCGTCGGCTTATGCCGAACGATGCTACTTTTACGGTAGTGCAAGAATGTACACAGCCTCCTCCCCCGCCCGGCATACATGGCCTCTTGTGCGACCAACCACCACCGCGCCGCCGCTTTCTTCTGAGTCACTTTACTCTGTTCTCTAATGCATGATCTTGATTCCTCATGACTAGCGGAATGAGGCAATATCTTGTGTTGCCTGTGTCTGTGTGTGTGCGGCGCTGATCTTACACAGTCCTCCGGTCCGACATGGCACGCGCAATGGTTCCGAGACCAGCAACCTCGACGACCTGTATGCAAAGAAAGGAAAAGGCGGTCAGTCCAAAAGCGATCTCGAATGGAATGAGGAAATAGAGACAGCGTGGGGGATGATGGTTGATGGGACCATATGGTAGCATCGAAAGAAGAGACCAGAGACAAGCCAAGTCGCAGCGTTGTAGTGCAACCGCGCCAATATGATCTGCAACAAGGGGGCAGGTATGTGCAAAAAGCCACAAAGAGCCGCTGCCACACGTCGTCCTTCCCAAACCGGTCATGGGGACGCCGAATGCGGTATTGTGCCGGGCTATTTGGGAAAAGCGGAGGCTGAACTGCCAAAAAGCCACCGCTGCACACACGCTGAGACAAGGGGAAAGCGTAACTTAACGTACCTTCTCGTGCCAGCTAAGCAGCACGCTCATGGCCTGACCACCGCCCTCGCCGCTGCCGATGCGCGAGGATATCGAAGACACTTGGGAGAAGCCGGTTGGCTGAGGGGTGAGGTTCGACTTGGGGCCGGACGGGGCGCCTTGGGACATGCCCTTGTAGCTGTAACCAGGTGTCAATAAGCAAAGTCTTCAGGTGTTGAGCCGCCCGGGCGACCAAAGGGGAAATGGAACGTCAGGAATCAAAGATCCGGGCCAGTCAAAGCAGAAGCTCAAAAGCGCGGCTATAGTTGCACGACCGACACGGGCACGGAGTAAGACGTACAGGTACTTCATAAGCGTGTCCAAAACCTCGGGACCGCCTTCAGACTCGTATATCCTGCTCAGGATAGGTGACATTTCCGCCTGGCGGATGGATTGGAGCACCTCAATGACAGTGGCGGTGTGGACGTCCTGCGGGAGTAACATTGGGGTCAGCAATCGCACGCCAGGAAAAGCATCATGCCCCAACGGTGTAGCCGCGGGAGGGGGAGAGAGGCGGCGGCAGCGGCGGGCGAGCTGAAGCCACCCCCATGCCGCCCGCATCCCCTCATTCAGGCAGATGCCGCATGCACACATACACACGCGCAGCGCATTCTCCCGCAGCGTATAGACTAGTTCTCCTATACCCTCCCTCCCATGCCTCCGCGATATTTTCCAATATTTTGCCGGGGAGGGGGCCGGAGCGGCGTCGACCGAGCGAAACTCACCTTCCCTTGCTGATCAGCCCCGTAGGGCGCATTCTCGAGGGCACCCTTCAGCGCGCCCTCGCTGTCGCCGCCCCTGAGCAGCTGGCGGATCTGGCCGGCCAGCGTCTGCACGTCGGCCGTGGCGACAGGCACGACCGAGGGCGTCAGGGAGGCCATGTCGAAGTTGGCCGGCGAGTCCGGGTCCAACGCATCGATGTTGATGGTGCGCCAATTGATGTTTGCCATGTTGGACGTGTGGTGGGTGCGTGGCGGAGGCGGAGCTAGCTGGGTGCTGGGTGCTGCGGGGAGAGGGGGGGAGGGAACGGTGGCCGGGGCGGGCGTCGTCGGGGGGGCCGGCCAGCTCAGGCGGGTCGGTGAGTGTGCGCTGGCTTTTTTCTTCGCAGGCGCTGTCTGAGACCTGAGGGCAGGACGGGCTGGCGGGCGTACGAGAGGAGGCTGCTGAGGATGAGGTGGGAAGTGAGTGGCCTTGGGCGCGGTAGGTGACGTGGGGTCGGGTGCTCCTGCGGGCGGGCACTAGGCGGGCGGGTCGCTGAGCTTGGCGGCAGCTGCTTCGTCGAAGCACACAAGCCTCCCCCTCCAAAAACAGCACCAACCCTGGAGCCCCGAACAGCGCTGTCCGCCCCGCTAAGTCGCACAAGCAAGGGTTCGGGCGACGCGGCACACGGGAACTGGATGCGAGATATGTGACGCCTCTGCTCGCCGAATCGGGAGCGTCGACGAGCGCCTCAGGCAAGCGCGCTGACCGGGAAACAGGGCATGCCGCCAGAGATCTCGCCAGCTTCATGGATGTGCCCATCGATCAGCCGTCGCCGGCTGCAGTAGGCGCGGGTGACAGCCAGCGGGACCGCCTTCCGATGCAGCCCTGTGCGACCGTCACACGCCCGCAACCCCGGCACGGTTAACAGAGCAGACAGACTTGTCGAGAATGTAAATCGTGATTACGCGCATGTTCTACTAGCCCGCCGTCTCCCCCTGTCTCCAGTAAGACGGCAATGCTCTTCTAATGATACACACAGACAAAGGCTTCCCAGACCAATCTCCCCTTCGCGCCGGAATTGCCAGAACCCGATCATTCATGTTTTGCGCCGTACGAGTTCCGTATTGTACAGTAAAAGCCGTTGCGTGTGCGTGCAGAACGAACTGCGATGAAACGAAGTCTATGCCAATGTTCCCAAAGTGGTGGTAAAAAACACAAGGAAACAGAAAAGAAAAAGAGGAGGGTCAATAACGAAAGCAGCCCCAGTTTTGGTATCCCCTTTTGCGTGAGCAAACCCATGATCTAATATAACGCCTGATGAAAAAACTTTTGGCATGGAGAAAAGCAAGGAGGCGTCCGTCGCTACTAATGATACACTGCGGCGTAAAGCAGGCCG